GTGCTAAATGAGAGATATCATCAGATTGATTAGGCAAGAGAATGGTGGGATCTCTCTCCTCGAAATTCCCCTGAATTTCAGCTTTGCTCAGATCAAGCTGCGGCCTAGATCCCGATCTGTGGATTGAAGAAGTCCCAGGAGCAGAAGGAGCCATATCTCTCTCTCCACCACCACCACCACCACCAGCACAGGCACAAGCCTGAGATTTTGCTTCAGCTTCTCCTGGACCCGCCATGTATATTCTTTATTTTATAAAAGATAAGAAACCCAGAAAGATCGGATCACCAACCACTGCCTAATTCCAACACTACAACAACAACAAAAATCCCTACTTGCAAAATTCTAAGATACCTTCAATTAGACTAAACAAGCAAGCAAAACCCCAGTAAAACAAAACGACACGAACTGTTAAAAGTCGTCAACTTTTTGCGACGACGAATTTTAAACAACTAACCTGTTCAATTTTCTTTTTTGGCTAGTAGGAAAATAAAATGTAAGTGGATGCATGTTGTAATCATGGATAAGGTTTGGTGTTTCATGTTATAGGCCAAACTCGAACTTAAATTGTGGCTTAGAGTTCCAATGTATGTCATAGATGATGAGTAGTTTGGCGTAAGAGGATAAGATGTGGATTTAAGCCCTACTCAGAGAGTCGTTTCCGCATCTTAGTTATGGCGTGGTCTAGATTAATTTGAGGTTTAGAAGCTAGGAAAATTTGATTCAATTTTGTTTATTTTAAATAAATAAGCAAAGTTGATTCAATTTTGTTTGTTTTTAGTTATGTTTGTTATGTTTGTTTTAAACATAAGCTAGTTTAAAACAAAAAAAAACTAGTTTCAGCAATGACAAGGTTGTGCTCGACAGAAGATTGGCGCGAATCCCTAGTATAGCCTCTGCTGCCATGATCTCTTGATTCTATTTAGCTAATAATATGCTACAACAATTGAGAGCCAAGAAACTAGTATTGAGGCAAGTGTGCTTTTATGATCAACCAATCGTCAATAAGCTGAAATGCTTATTCAACAGTTTGTAACGATCATTGGCGATGACAAGTTCCATGAACGAGAGAGTAATGTGAAACGATCAGTGAGAAAGTTTCTCCAACAGAAACGTACACATGTTGATAACGAGGAACAATCCTTTCTAACTAGATTTACTGGTATGTACATTCTTTCTATCCATGGTTTAGGTTTGGAGTTATTTTTCGTGGTCTTGAAGCTTATTTATTTGTTTTCAAACAAAACTTTCATACACGTGGGCAAAAAATAACCTTTTACAGAAGAAAATGGCATACATATGGATTCCTTCCCTTACCCATACGGCCTTACTACATCGTGCTGAGAGATATCGATGCTTTACCCACAGCACTGGGTGATCTAATGAGAGAGGCAACTTTTTTTCTTCACTTGCTTTCTTTTGGGTGGAGGAAAGAAAGAAAATTAAAAATAGATACTAAAAATGTAACAAAATGTCCACTTTTTGTATTTGTTTTTTGTTTTTGCAATGGTTTGAGCTGATGCAAAGCTCGCGGGACAGAATACATACATGTTGGCATGAGAAAGCTCGAGTGCTGAGAGATTTTATTCGTCTGGTATGAGTGTGACTCGTGCTTAGCTCTTAAAATTAGACTGTTGTATATACATTTTATATACGAAAACCGTAGTTACTCACAATCAATACTACAAACTTAGCTTTTATATTATACATGGGAAAGGTGTCTAACTTCTAATAAAATAAAATAGAAAAAGATATTAAAACAAAATTAAGAATCAAAACTCCTTAGCTATTTCCCCCTTGTTCTGAGTTCTAACCATAATCGATCCAGTGGCGACGTATCGGACACGTGGACATGCCGACATGCATCTTGCGAATAAGGGCAAAAAAGACTTTTGCCTTTAATAGCGACCGCAACTCGCAAGCCAACGCGAGCCTCTAATTTCTTTTTGTTTCCCATTTCCTTTTTTCTAATCCTTAAAAAGAGTAGTAATAAATGATTTATAAGTTAATCCAAATGAAGTCTTTTTCATGGATGATCCATCTTCCTCTCCACCACTCTAATCCCTTCCTGCTCCAATTTGCCAGCTTTGCATCTGCTTTCTCTCTCTCTCCCTTTCTAGTATTCTTTTCTTCTGTGATTTGGGTTTGCTCTCGTAACCCCTCTCTTAACGCTACTACTTGTCGAATTGATTTTTTTGTTTACTGATACGGGGATTGGAGCTTGAATGGCGATTGTTGTTTAATATGCTCTCGGAATGGGTTTCTCTCAGGCCATTCGCCTGAATCTTGCTTCCTACTCTTCTCTTTCTCCCTGCGAGGTTACACCTTTTTCACTTACCTTTCTTCCTCTATTATCCATTGCTGCTGATTCACACGACTTTACTTTGTGTCTGGCCAAAACCATCAAAGTTTTGGTTTTTGTTTTTCCAATTAAAATGAAGGTCAAGTTTTTGACTTTGATTTCTATGATATAATTTCTTGATGCAGTGTTGTTCAGCAAGAGTAAACCAGAAGCAGACGGGTCTTGTTTCGTTCCCGAGCACCGGAAGGGGAAAGAGACGTTCTTTACTGAGTGTTAAATCAGTCTTGAACATCAACGATAATGGAACAGCTGAGCCATCGAAGCTTCTTCTGGAGAAATTGTTCGCTCGGACACAGAAACTGGAGAGACAATCGAATCAGAACTCAGTTTATCAAGATGAGGATCGGCCCTCTTCAAACCTGGGAGTGCTTGAGTCTGACCTTCAGGCTGCGCTAGTGGCCTTGTTGAAAAGGGAAGAGGACTTGCAGGATGCTGAGAGGAAGGTTCTCTCCGAGAAGAGGAAACTAAAGCGGGCAAAGGAGGGGTTAGAAAAACGAGAGAAGATAATCGTTGAAGCTTCTTTGAAGCATGAAAGTCTTCAAGAGGAGCTGAAGCGAGCAAATGTGGAGTTAGCTTCACAGGCCAGAGAGATTGAAGAATTAAAGCACAAGCTTAGGGAAAGAGACGAGGAACTCGTTGTTATGCAATCGTCCTTGACTTTGAAAGAACGAGAGCTAGATAAGATGCGTGATGAGTTTGCAAACAAAAGCAAGGAGGTCTCTGTGGCTATTTCTGAATTTGAAAACAAGTCACAACTCTTAAGCAGAGCCAACGAAGTTGTCAGGAGACAAGAAGGTGAAATACAAGCACTGCAGAGAGCCCTCAAGGAGAAGGAAGAAGAACTAGAAACTTCTATGGCTACGAAGAAACTAGAGCAGGAAAAGCTCAAAGAAACAGAAGCCAACTTAAAGAAGCAGACGGAAGAGTGGTTGATAGCCCAGGATGAAGTGTATAAGCTCCAAGAGGAAACCATGAAACGCTTAGGAGACGCCAATGAAACCATGGATGACTTCAGGAGAGTGAAAAAGCTTCTGACTGATGTGAGATTCGAGCTTGTTTCTTCTCGAGAAGCTTTGGTATTTTCCAGGAAGCAAATGGAAGAAAATGAGCTACTATTAGAGAAACAGTTAGAGGAACTCGAGGAACAGAGGAGAAGTTTGTTGTCATATATGCAAAGCTTGAGAGATGCTCACACTGAAGTAGAAAGTGAGAGAGTAAAGCTCAGAGTTGCTGAGGCTAAGAACTTCGCACTTGAGCGGGAAATATCGGTCCAAAAGGAACTGCTGGAGGAATTACGAGAGGAGTTGAAGCAAGAGAAATCTTTGTTGGAGCAAGCTATGCATGATATATCTGTTATTCAAGATGAGCTGAACAGAAAAAATAACGCGTTTCAGGTATCACAGAATCTACTTCAAGAGAAAGAGTCAAGCTTGGTGGAGGCCAAACTAGAGATTCAGCATCTGAAGTCTGAACAGGCCTCACTAGAACTATTACTGCAAGAAAAGGATGAAGAACTCACGGAAGCTCGAAATAAATTGGAAGAAGTGAACTGGGAGGTAACAGAGCTAAAGATGCTTATGACGAGTAGAGAAGATGAGCTTACGCAGGCAACTGCAATGCTGAAGGAGAAAGATGTCCAGCTTCACAGAATCGAAGGTGAGTTGGGAAGCTCCAACCTGAAAGCCACTGAAGCTGAAATGGTGGTGGAAAGAATTGCAGAGCTGACGAGCAGATTGGTTATGTCAACCACCAATGGTCAAGATCAGAACGCATTGAGGATTAACAATGAGATAAGCTTTGACTCGATGCAGCAACCAGTAGAAAAACCACATGATGATTACGAAATGGAGAACAAACGGCTGTTGATGGAGTTAAACTTCACCAGAGAAAATCTACGGATGAAAGAAATGGAAGTTTTAGCTGTGCAGAGGGCTTTGACGTTTAAAGACGAAGAGATCAACGTGGTCATGGGGAGATTAAAAGCCAAGGAGCAGGAATTCAAGAGACTGAAAGAAGAAACGAACTTTGACAGTGAAGATTTGAAATCGCTGTATGCCTTGGCACAGGAGAGAATCGGGGGGAAAACAATGGGTGATCTAGCCATAGAGAGGCTTCAGCTTGAGGCAGCTCAACTTGAAGTTGAAGCTGCAACGAGCGCATTACAGAAGCTTGCAGAGATGAGCACGGAACTTCTAACTCAAGCTGATATGAGCATCGAGGCTGATCCTACTTTCATTGGCATGAAGGAAAACGGGTGTCCTCAGGTAAACAGTTCAGCCGGAAGTAACGATTGTATTGCTGAGGTAAAATCAGAAGTTGTCAGGCTCTGGTCCTTGACAGAGAAACTTTTAGAGAATGCAGGAATCGTTGCTGGTACATCCACAGGCATGAAAGATGTGAGTTTATGAAAAATTAGATTATACAGATCTGTATGATTTTTTTTGTGGATATGTAGAATTACCGGGTTTTATATATGTCGTCACTAGAATTAAGCTTGTGCTGATTATAAGCCCTGTAAAGTTGTCTGATCAGTTCTTGAAAAGGTTATGGTAATGATAACGTTATTGGAAGTCGTTATCTAAACGAGATTTTGGTCCAGGCCTGTGAAGCAATTTGCAAGGAACACTTGATAAGACGAGTATTTGGTTAAAAGATGATGGTATATGCTTAATCCCATCATATATATAGGACGAGAAAGTATTTCACAAAGTTCAAAGAGGGAAAAAGGAAGTTATTATGTACATGTACTATCATGAAACATGTATCCCATTACTAGAACAGTGTGAAACAAAGACCACACCTGACCAGGTTTGACACACCTAATCACGGCCTTAAACACTGAACACAAGCCATTTAGATTTGCCAGAGTCCTGACCATCCACAATCTGACAATCTCCTTGTCCACTCGTGCCTTCGCGTTGTTTCACATCCTTTGATCTTCCTATTTTGTTTCCAACGAAGAATCCTAACTTCATTGCTGTCAATAGACCCATGGCAATCAGCAAAGGTCTCACAGCCCAGTGAAAATCCTCCAGATGCTGATATTTTTTCACAACTCCTTGACAAGTATTGAAATTCACAATCTCTACTTCAGATGGATCTGCAAGACAACTTGCACGTTCCTCTCCGAAAGGTAACACTCCAGGGAAATTCACCTCGAGGCAACCGTTTGGTAAAACCCGAGAGATCCTGCCAGTTGCCCAAATTCCTCTACTTTTACGCATCCATTTGAATCTCGGGATAACAACATTGGCTTTGAGCTTCACAAACTGACCCACACTGTATGCTTTAGCCATCTGAAGCTGAGATGCAGTTCCTTTCCAGAGTATTGGCAGTCCTATAAACCCAACAGCTACATTTCCATCACGGTCGATTGAATGGAGAATACCAACCGGAGAGTGCCTCTTGTCTTCTCCGTCCTTCAGACGTACCCAATCTCCAGAAGCTAAGCCGTTAGTTACCCGTTCAAGAACAGAGACATGAACCCTTAACGGATCATGAACACCATGGACTTTAACCAGCGCATATTCATCTGGGTCGGTGTCGCGTTCTAAACCAACCACCATTCCTTCTGGCACATCCATGTCCTCGTGCTTACCCGAATTGGCAGGCTTTCTTGAACGCACCGTGTCTCCCACTTGCAGATGATCCTTTGACAGAAACCATTCTGTATAACCGAGAGTAGCCGAGCTCTTCCTGATTTCTCTACTACTATCAATGCCTCTCCAGACCTCTTCCTCCTCCGAGTTCTGCAAGCTGTCAAATCGAATCCAGTTAATATCACTAGTCAAGGTGGCCAAAAGTGCCGATTAATATGTACATCACGAATAAAGAAACTGGATTCCAGAAAACTATCAAAACACCAGAAATGACACTGAAGAAGTTGTTCATTACTATTACAATTCTTGAGAACTACTAATTTGTCAGGAGGTACTGTGACCATATGTAGTGATAATAAAAACACTTTTGCACCATCTCATTTAAACTGAATATAGAACAGTGACAAGGTATGATTTACCTCTTCAAGACGTGTAAGATGTCAGTCATCGATGGTCGGCTGCGAAGATCATACATAAAACAGCCCCGAAGTAGGTTCTCGAGCGGAGGCGGTATGCCACTGGGGATATTAAGCTTTTCTTGCTTTTTCACCACTAAGTCGTATATTTCATCGACGGATCTCCCACACCAAGGTTGTACACCAGTCAGCATTTCCACAATACTGCATCCAAATCCCCAAGAATCAGTCTCAAAGGACATGGGACCTCTTACTTCCGGTTGCCATTGTTCTGGGGCCATATAGTTTGGAGTTCCATGTCTCATTGTCATATCAGAACTTGGCAAGGGGATACTAAGAAGAAGATACGGGATTCCAACATCACCGAGGATGGCCTTGTCGTTATCACTGAGAAGAAAGTTAGAGGGCTTAAGATTGAGAATCAGAAACCCTTTTGAGTGCAACTCCAGGATCCCTGTAACCAGATCAACCCCGTATCTGTAAATTGTCGTTCAACATAGATGAGAGGACATTAGTATTCAGTATAAAAATGAAGACGACGCTACTACCCTGAGCTGCTTACTAGTGTAATGCAAAATTACCTCAATACATCAGGCAGTGAAAGCTTTCCTCCTTTAAGCCGAGCCATCTTGTCACCAACACAGCCCTCGTAGAATTTCATGATGATGCATATCTATAGTACAGAACACAAGTGAACTTCTCAAGAGATCTGCAATCAAACAAAAATTGAAAAATATAGGGAGACTAGAGAAGAAAACACAAGTTCTTTTGTACTTACCCTTCCACTGATACTAGATACTCCTCGGAGCAGACAGACATTCTCTATCCCTTGACACTTGGAAAACAAATCCTCAAACTTATCTACCACAATCCTTCTTTGATCCTCCTTGATAGGATGAAGCATTTTGATCGCCACTTCATGATGCTCCTCATAGTCCTCGGTTGACTGGTGATGAGTAGCCAGCCAAACATCACCAAAGGGACCTCTTCCAATTCGATGCCTAAGCTTCAAGGTTGCAGAATTCATCCAAGGGCTTGTCCCGGCTGCTAAAGCGCTCTCAGATTCGCCTTCAATGATTTCATACTCAGAATCATCCGGCTTTCCAGCAGTAATCTTTGAAGCCATATCTGAAGCAGAAGATATAGTTTCACCAGTTAAACTACCACATAAAATGCAACACACAAATCAAACTTTTTAAGGAAGAACTCAATCACATAAGTCGAAAGCAGAACCACGAGAGAAGAGAATCAAACCTACGTCTACTAAAAGGAAGAATGCTAACTAAATATAAAACAGATTCCTCAGGTGAGCTCGTACCGAAGCTAAATATCATTATTACATGGCAATCAATATATGCAATTGAAGAGAAAAGTCAGAAAACAGAGACGTGTATGTATTCTCAACATTGAAATAAGTTAGCGATACGAACAAGGGAAAAAGACAGTATCGTGGAGAAGTAGAAGAAGAAGAAGCAACATCAACCCATCACAATGAAAACTCAATTACCGCAAGAAACTAGAATCATGAGTCAATCAAAGAAATGACCAAGGTTAAAGAGGAGTCAGATCTCACAGATCAAAATTGTACACGAAATCAAATTGAAAGTTAACTCGAGTTCCAATGAAAATCTGAGCACACACAGATTGATATCAAAAAGAAAAGAAAAAACGCAAAAGTAGAGCAAAAGAGAGTAACCGGAAATGAGGGAGAGACTTTGGATATAAACGGATGTTTCGACGGATTAAGAAGGCTTACGAAACCCTAACACCAGTAATGACGCGGCGAAGACGAGGGAAAATGATAAAAACCAGTAATAACTCCAAGTCCCTGATGAAAGAGAAACGGAGAAAACAAACAAAATTAAGAAATGATCATCGGAAACTGAAACAAGTAACTTCACGAGCTGAAAGAGACAGAGAGGAGAGGAGTGAGAGCGAAGCGAACCTGCTGTGAGAGAGAGAGAAGACGACGGAAGAAGGAAGAGGAAGAAGGCGTGGAGGCCCCGTAAGTTGCCTAATGAAACACACCGTATCGTTACTTAACACCACAACCACAATCCCATTTTGATTTAGGTAACAAAAGAAATTACCTTTTTACTTTAATACACTTGAGAGATTTTCTCTTCATTTTTTCCAACATAAAGAAAATTTATGTTAATGCAATTGCAAAATGCAAAGTATACAATGTTTAGCTTGTAAGGGTGCTACATATTTAACAATGTTGCAGATGAATTAGCTGAGAAAGCTAGATGGAATAGACTGTTAATTCTGTAATCAAATGGATAATGTAATCAGTAATCGTTTTCAGTAATGGAATACATTTACGATAATAATAAAGTCGTCGGGAAAAGTCGCCGTAGTGGTGTTCGCCGGGAAAAGTCGTCGTTGCTGGGATATTATGAACCAAGAGGGAGTGAATCGAGTCATCAACCACCATTTTGGCCATAAAATTGATGAATGGTTTTGACATGGTAGTCATATGGATGGTTTTAGCCACCGTGAAGAGTTTATTTTGCTTATGATCGATCCCTCAAAAATTTCAACTTTAATCGACTACTAAATACGAGAAGAGAGCTAATTATATATGAACTTACAAATAAAATTGTTCTTCTTGAACGACAAACAATCCAAGAGAGACAGAGAAGAAGAGAGATTTACAGTAAATTTTCTTGTAAATGAGTTTAGGAGACACAGAAATTGCAAGTTGACCAAAATAGGGTTTTTAAATATTTTCGATTTTTTAAGAAGGAAGAACCTTCTTGACAATGTCTTCACTGAGAGCAGCGATCTGAGAATCCAGAGCTTTAATGGTTTCTTCCTTCTGCTTCTCCAAGCTCAACAGAGCTTCCTGTAGCTCCGCCTCCACCTTCTTCCTTCCTTCCGCTAGCTTCTCCTCAACCTCCACCTGCCAACAACAACAACCAAAATTTATAATCCAATTCTCACACTACCATTCCCGATTTCTTCCTTCTGAGATAAATGTCCTTGTTTTTTACCTGCGTCTCCTTCTTCATTTTGTTAAGCGCGGCGGCGATCTCAGCCCTAGCAGCCCTCATCACGGCGGCGGCTTGTTCGTCGAGCGCCTTCACCTCCGTGGAAGTGTCCTTAACGCTCGCAAGCTTCTCCTTGATGGCACTGTCTCTCTGGTCCATGAAGTTCCCAAGCGGCGAGTAATAGAGCTTGTCGAGCGCGAACATGAGGAAGAGGAACTCCACGACGATGATCGGCAGCGTAAGGTTGAAATCGAAGAGCTGGGCCTTCTCCATCGCTTCCGCCATCGACGGCGGGGCGAATGCGGCGATTAGGGCTAGCGATTTCACGGTGGCGGAAGATAGTGATAGAGCCTTGGTGCGGAGCTCGGAGGAGGAGATGGATTTGGGAATCTGAGGGAGTTTGGCGAGTTTGGGAATCTGGACGCGGCTTGGTTGGTTGGAGGAGAGGAAGATTAGGGGTTTGGAGGAAGCCATAATGGAGTTAGCCATGGCCACACACACACACACAGCTTCGAGAGGTGAGAATGCTGAAACTGATCTCTGTAATCTCTTGGAGACGAAGAGAGAGTGAGAAAGAGAGATTTCCTTTGGAATATGTTATCTCTTCCCTTTACCACACAAATAAGCAGAGGCTGAGTGGTGTGTGACCCAAAATTAAAAGGAGCGGAAAAACCAAACAAATGATTGCGTTTGGCCACAAACGTAAACGCTCTGGTGTTTCAAACGCAATTTCCATCCTCACGTTTAAATTTCATTTTTTAAATATAAAATATTCATAAATGTAAACGTCACACAAACAGTTAAAAAAATATTCATTGGCGTTTGGCTTTTTGTTTTTTTTAAATTGCAAATGGTTACAAATGGTTAAAAAGAAAATATACACTAAACGCAAACACAAACAATCAAGGCCTTATTCGCGTTTTGCACGCACACACTCACACAAGAGCGAAGTTTATATATAATCATGGAGACTAGAAATCAAAATCTCTACAAAAACCAAATGAGAATGTTTATCAGTCTATTTTCAAGTTTCAGAGATGAGTTGTTTTCTGTTCCAAACATCTTTCTCTGAATAACACTTGAAACGAAACCTTGCGATGAGTTTGTTAAAAACTCTGCGGTGACTCGAAGTAGAAGCACTCACGGTTCTTTGTTTAGTCCCTCGTTGAGTTGTAGTTGAGTTATAAGAGAGCCAACCTCCCAATACAGTCGCTAAAAAGCTTGGTTGTGTCTGAGGGATGGAGTCTACACCGTCTTCTTGACCTTCTTTTCCCTTCTTTCTCCAGGTTTCGTTTTTGATTGAGAACCTAGATGGTCTGAAACATGTATCAGTCTCATGACTTGTAGATTTCGAGTGATGAAATCTAAAAACAGTATCAACAATGAAAGGGGAAAGATTCTTCTTACAGTTTAAGTTGTTTCAAAGAAGAAACACGAGGTGTCTTGCTCTTCTTCTTCATCAGCAAGATGCCGTAGTTTGATATATGGCGAATGAATCGAAGCTGAATGATGTTATTTGTCAAAAAGATTAAAACCCATTAGCCAGAATGTAGTCGAAAAAGACAAGCTGAAATCGATCACCAAATCTTAGCTACCCAAACCAATAGCTTAGCTAGACCACATCACACTTGTGAAGATCAAACAAAATCATAAGCATATACAAATCGATGGATTTCCATAAGACTTTCCTTTAGAACAGTTATTTATCACAGAAAAGAGGCTGATTTACAAACCTGATCTCCGTCTTTAATGCCCAATTCAATGAGGTACTCAGCCTCGTTAATCAATTTTTGATCTTCATAGGATAAGCAGAATTGTCCCCAGACATGCGGCCTTGATAAGAGTAGGATCATCAAGAAACTTTTAGCAATTACTTGATCTCTTATAGACACAGAGCTCGGAGATGTAGAAACAAAACGAATACTAACTCAAATCAAGAATCAAAACGGTACCATGAGATCTTGCCAGGGCCTGTGATGGTTAAATGAGAGAAGGCAGCTTCTACAGCCATCTTGAGCTCCCCTACTGTGGCTGATTTCAACACTTCAAGACCTATAAAATCCATTTCCACAATTCTAAAACTACGCTTAAAAGGAAATCGTAGTAAACCACAAATTCTTCAAAATTCTCTCAGGAAACAGTTAACCTCAAACTCGTCGTAGAAATACTCTTTTAGAGGTTTCATCTTCAACAGATAACCACAAAGTTCATTGTACAAAAACAAGCAAGCAGATGCAGGTGAATGATGGTATACGTACCAAAGGAAGATCCATCAAGCTTGAGAACAGTGAGTTTGATCGGCTCCTCAGGCATCTGATTATAATTAAAACTCCTCCGACGCGGGAGTCCGTCGATTAGCCGGAGAGGAGAGAGAGACGCAGCCAAAGAGCGGCGTGGAACTTCCATCGAAAATCAAGAATAAGAAACTGATTTTTTCTATTTTCCGGCTAAAACATCTAGTTCCAGGTTTTCGACGCCGGAGAAGGCGAAATCAGAAGTGTAGTTGAGTCAGAGTGGGAGATTGACGCCATGGGAGGAAGGAAGAGGATGTGGAAGGAGAGAGAGAGAGAGAGAGAGAGAGAGTGAGATACTTTGAAGGGAATCAGGGTTAAGGGATCTCTCTGCTTTTTCCCGGTTACATGTTTTGCTTTTTTGGAAGAGCATTATTTGTTATTTATAAATTGCATATACATGAACGTCATAAACAAGAAGCACCCATGGCCTAATGGATAAGGCGCTTGACTTCTAATCAAGCGATTGTGGGTTCGAGTCCCACTGGGTGTGTTTCTTTTGTTCTCCACCTTTGGTGTTGAACTGCTAATAATAGTTTTTGCAATATAAAGTTTTTGTTTTTAAACCGTAAGAGCAACTTCATCTGCTCGATTACCGTTTGTTTAGAGCTAAAACAAAATTTTGATATCACCGTGAAATCCAAGAGAAGATTGTTTATTTCATCGCTCATTGGGAAATTTCGTAAAAGAAACTTGAAATTTTGAAGAATTTATATTAGATTCCATGAAAACTGAGTCATCCTTCTCTATAATCATTTTAAATACAAAAGGAAGAAAAAAGAATCTGACAACTAAACAAATCCCAAAAAAAATAATCAGTTTCTCCATAATCCAACTATGTTGAGCCTTCTTGAAAACAGAAGGGAAAAATAAGGTCTCTCATTATTAATTCTCCTGCAAAAAATTAAAGTTCAATACTCTATATCTACTTGAACATTACTCTGGTCAACAACTTCTCCTAAAACTAAGGCTTCCCTTAGTTTCTTTCTCATGGACCCTTTATTGTCAAAAGCCCACTCACGTTTGTGACTGCCCCTTGTTTGTTTTGGAGTAGTTACCTCCCGATGATTTTATAGTATGCATATAAACCAGAGCCGAAGAAACCAAGAAGCTGTCCAATGACATTCATCTGCGAGAATGAACACAAAAAAAAAAAAACCAGTACTGAGATGTAGTAAAGGTAGATGGGCGTGTTTTTAGATTCAATAGAGTGAATGGGACGGTGAAGAAAATACCATGTCGAATGGGAGTCCACCAAAGAGCATCCAGCCTAGTCCAACGGTGAATAGATCCTGCAAAGATGATATAATGTTCAATGTTTCTGCTTTCGGTTATCAAATCATAAGACACAAAAACACCTCAAAACAAAAATAATACAAGTCTCATCATTCCCAAGATGCAAGATGTATGTAATAGCTCTCAGGAGCTCTTAATCAAAAGGTTCCTCTCCTTAACAGATTAGTTTCACATTTTCTTTTGTACAAGAGATATTATAGAGTGAAATCGACCTTCATATTGCCACATATTGTCTGCGTGAGAGCCGAGTTGAGAGTGGTGTTAAGGAAAATGCTGTAGTTTAATAAGAAAGCCAACACGCACGAGCAGAGTAACACAACCTGGGTGAGAACATAAACAAGAGAAGAGATCATCAGTCTTGCAAACAAAACGTGGACAGATATAAGGCAAAAGAGCGATTTACGGTACCATGAAACCGGGAGATAAGAGGTGAGGAAAGTTAAAAGTCTTCTCCAAGTCACCGCAAATAAATGTCCAAATCATCAATATAGGTCCGCATATAATTCCTATCATTGAAAATTCAAATGAAGATCAAAGGAAGTCTAGGGAGTTTTAGGTCAATTTTGTTCTCTGTTTAGATTACCATTGCACCACATAAGGCCAAAGCTATTCAAGCCACTTGATTTCCCTGGAGAACCAGACAATAAACTTGAGTAGGAGAGATTTCAAACTGGCAGGAGGGAAAGTAATAAAAAAAAATTCTGCAGAAAGCGAATGACTAGTGTACCAGTTCGAGCAATGGTTGCTAGATATACTGCCGTTGCTATGTTAGCTACGAAAACGATAGCATATCCATAAAAGTCAAATGACAAGTCCCTAGCTCCAGCGAAAAATGCCCCAAGCACGATAACGCCGACACTGACATCAAACTTACAAGAGTTTAGTTGTGCATATAAAAACCAAGAAACGTGATTCTCGTTTTAGAGGTAAAAACATGCACTTTTTATGAAGGGCCTTGAAGCTTTATATCGAGATCTCATTGGATAAAGATAACACACAAACCTCTGGCGCATGTAACAGACATAATAAACATAGAGATACCATTATCTCTCACATACTGCTAAATCCTAATTCTTGTCTATTTTGATCAAACATAAGAGTCATTTCTTCCTAAAGGATACTATTACGTTCAGTATCTGACTAATTCCAGAAACTATACAAATTTTTCAATAGTGAATAGATATCGTTTTAGTACGAACAGAAACTAAAGAATGAGAAAACTGTGATTCACCTTCCAATGATAGACCGCGTATATCTCTGACCTGTGAGCATGTACTCAATCACCATAGTAAATCCCACTGTAGTACGCCTAAGCGTGGTATACATGGGAACATTTACCCCTCTCACAGATGCCATAGAGGCTAGCTTTCAGGAGATATACATTGAACAAATTTGTGATCAGTTACTATTTGCGGGATCTAAATAAATCATTGCCAGGAGGCTGGTTCAGTGAAATGATTACCATGTACAAAAGATAGGCAATTGCTAGAGGAAGGGTGTGAAACAATGTCTTCAATGGAACAAGAGTTGAGGCATTATCAGAATTGGAAAAAGAATCAGCAGCTGTGAAAGAGATGATCTTCCTGCGTCTCAACGCATATAGAAATAAGCTAGAGGAAACCATCTGTGGAAACAAAAGTGTCAAACAACTTTAGATATTCCCTTCCCTGAAGAAAATGGAAAATGTGATTCTCGTAGAAGACAATTGAGACTGCAAAACAGAATCTCTGTGTATACCTGAAATAGTGTGATAACGTTCACACACGGGAACTCATAGGAAGAGAGAGCTGCTTTATTGAACAACACAAGCATAACTGCGAGTCAACAGAAGAATAAAAACAGCTGTCAACGCCAAAACATAAAACTTAACGACAAGTCTGATTAAACATACAATCAACTGCTTTATTTGCAAAATAGAGTAACCATTAAAACACTAAACAATTACAAAAAACGTCATTTTTATGCGTAATTACTGAATTAAAGAGCGAAGAAATTCAAAAAGCATGAAACACTAACAGCGCAAACATATCCCAGCGACGGAAGAAATCGAATCCCGACACTAACTCCAAAACACGTGATTCGATGAAACATATGAAATCGAGGAAATTACCCGCACAGGCCATGTAAGAAAGAGCAGCGTAAGCTCCACGTTTGGTCATGGCGGATCCTTTAAAAAGCCGATCGTCGACACCTTTACCGTCGCTATCATTCTCTCCGGCGAGAGGAGGATCCGAAACCGGAAGAACAGGATTCCTCATAGAATTCATCGTCGAGAGAGGTAGACTCTCTCCACGCTCTCCTTCGTCTTCCTCGTTCGCCGTCTCTCTGGCTCCTTATTCTCCCTCACCCTCCGGCGAAACTCGCGTCACCGAAATGAATGATACTGACCGTAGAAGACACGGGAAATTTGAGTAAACTTATGTTTTTTTTTGTTTGGAAGTATTATTATGAAAAAGGAAACAAATCTCGTGCTTTCTCTATATGTGGGTCAAGGCCCAATTCAAAAAGTGATTTGCTTATATTAAGCCCATTAAACTTTATGGGCTAAGGCCTTGATTAAGCTCATCTCTTACTGATTTAGATCAAGAAGCTTGAGTAGTAACTAGTAAATGATGAATGAATGGGGTCCAGGTTTGTGGTACGATCCGTAAAATAGAAGTTGAGGAGACAGAGAAGAAACATGATAAGGCTTTGGTATTTACAACTTGATGGAGACAAGACATTAAGCCAGAGCTGTCTAAAAACAGCACTCAAAAACTCTTCTCTAAAAGTGTTTTTGAGTTTAAAGAGAGATTCATTCACTTCCTTCTTTCCTAACACTTTTTTGTCCCCTCGATCCTAGTTCAAACAAACAGTTTCTATCCTTTCCCACGTGCGTCCTTGATATCTCAGCACTATTTGTTATTTCCTAGATCTTCCATTTTCTAGTGGATTAGGTTTCTTGTCGGTAAATTATTAGATTTAAGAACGGATAGTTATATATCTGCAACTATCCGTTTTGTATCTGCTGCTGCATCCGATCCTAAAATAAAGGGTATCTCAAGGTTTTTGTTAACATTAGGGTTCAATATACATATGATAGTGGATTACTTAATCGATCAAGATACAAAATGTGCAAACAAATCTTGATTGATAATCACGATATTTGAACCACAATATCCAAATAGACAGTCTAAACTACTTCAATACCTATTCTTTAATGTTTGGGAAGTTTTGCTACTTTTCTTAATAAAACGAATAACATTACAGATCGATCCCACGAGCTAGACTATAAGTGTGAAAGTGGTTCCCACAAGAGTCATATATGGTCCTTCAACTTTTAAAGCCCATTACTTCAGTGGTCGACCCGACACTACGGCACGAGTAGTCACGCACCTCTACTCTCATCTGCTTGGTTGATCTCAAAAACATGTAGAGACCAACCAATTTTCATATTAATATATGATATAGACTTCAGACTCAAATGTCACTTTCGTAAATCCAAAGTCATATATATCTTAAGAAGTAAAAAGGTTATGACTTAAGTTTTTAATATTGTGTTAAGCACTACATATATCCTTCTGCCAACAGTCCTTTTTCTTAAATTGAATGAATGTCCAGCTCAGGGCTAGGCAGACAGTTAATAGCCCTTATTCATAAGTTGATCTAACTCTTCCCCAAATATTTGAAACTGTCAAAATTTGTATAGTTAATCAAGCTAGAAGTGTCTAGTGATAGCTGTCTCTTAAAAGGTTAACAAAAATGTGACAAGCTGAAAAAATCAGAGTTCGTTATTGGATACAATAATTCTTAAATTCCACTGTATTGCGTGTGAAAACAATTTTCTATTAGAAACAAAGAATGTAAACAAAAATATGGGACGTTGTCTGTTCCAACATTAACCAAACCTGTCTATTTATATTCATGGATGTGTTGAATGTCTAAATTCGTTGAATCATGTGTCCCTTGACGATGCCTCTTCTTGTTTTTAATAGTATAAAGTATGAATTCATTCGCTTAATCAAATCGTTTATTTAGTACTTGCTTTGGTTTTCTTTATAAGTACGCTGATTGGATATTGCGAGACAATGTGAGTTAGTGACGCGAACATATAAAACTATTCAACCACATCAAACTATTTTATTTTATTATGATTAACTATAATAAATAATTTATCATATAAGAAGAGTTATTTTCAAGATCCATAGATAATGTGGATTGTAGCCATATTTTTATATGTATGGTACCGTATGCATGTATGCATTGGAAAGGAAAAAAAAAAACATGTACAGTATATGCTGAATACAAAAAAAAACTAGCTATTATAAGATAATGTTTTATATTTGAAAAGCATAACAATATAGATAAAACAATGTAAAAATGTGTTAGCATCAATGTTGGGATATTGGCCGACCTGAACTTGTCAATGTCGGAAGTCATTACTTCTCTACCAAACTACAAAGGTCCCTTGTTTCTTTTTTCCCCTTCGGAAAACTAGGAACTTCCTCACTACCTTTCCCTTAATTTGAAAGCCTTTAATTTATTTATTAGAAAACCTAAGTATAACTACAATTGCTTCTTCTTCTTTTTTTTTAACGCTGAATAGTACACCACTTTGTTTGTTAAAGAAAGAATGGGAGCAAACACTCCATCACAATAGGAGCATAAAGGCTCTGCAAACAAAAAAAACAAGGCAAACATCTGAAAAAACAGAGCAGAGCAACATAACTTTAGGTAACTAAATTTACTTGAGCGATATTAGCTCGTTCATTAATAGTTGTGGGCATTTTTTTGCTCGATTAGTCTACTAAGCGTCTAAGCTACTACAATATAATTAGAACGAGCTCTATAATATCTTCACCCAATTATATTTCGTCTAATTGGTGAAACGTTATTTTTATCATGTTGGATTTGAATTTAAATACCTTGTAACTGTTGAAGATGAGAGCTTTTTCTAGTCAACTATATGTTGTAGTTTTTTTGGAACAAGAACTATATGTTGTAGTTGTTGGTCCAAGAAAATATATGAACTAAAATTTGAGGGTTCAACGAAAAAATATTATTAGTATTCTAATACTTGATCGATTACTTGTTTAGTTTATATAGTTTCGTGTTGGTTAAGTTACCGTATAGACACATCCATCGTTATACTGAATTTTTGTGAGTGTTAGACTATATACTAATGGTTATTATTTATACACATTTATGATAAAGCCATATATATCTCCTTGACTATTGTACCCTTTCCTTTTACTATAAAAAGGAAATACTCATGATCCTCTGATGAAGCACCCATCCACACAACCTTTTCTAAAGCTCAGCAACAGAACATAAACTACATAAGCTTTTGGTTTCGGTTTCATCAAAGGCGAAGGTGCACTAGAAATGGAGTTGGATCTTGATCTCTCTCTTTCACCTCATACTAATTCTTCAAATCTCGGGTTTGGATTTGACCTCAACAAGCATTGCGCGATTGAGAGTGTTGCGTCTTGTTTGGATATCGAAAAACTGCATGTTGGGACGATGTTTGGGTTCGAGGACATCGAAGAAGATAGTTACGTGCCAAAATCGCGTTTGTTTTCTTTGAATGGCCAGCCAAACGAGGAAGAAGAAGATCCTTTGGAATCCGACTCTTCTATTGTTTACGAGTGAGTAACTAGCAATATATTTGACAATAAACTATGATAAATTAATTATATTTTTAGCATTATTATATTGACTTAAGAAGTGTCGTAGGATCTTAATTATGATGAGTAGTTAACTATACTAAATGGGGACGCATGTGGATTCTAATAACATTTAATCAATTTTGATATAGTGAGGAGGAAAATAGCGAAGTCGTGGGATGGCCACCAATAAAGTCATGTAGAACAAAGTTTCATAATTATCGTCATCACAGTCGTATTCACCCATATCACCATCATGGTAGGAGAATCAACATATATAATCCAACGGCTACTATTGAAAGAGGAAGACCATCATCGCCATCATCATCATCTTCAACATCATCGAGATCATCAATGTATGTTAAGGTGAAGATGGATGGTGTGGCAATATCAAGGAAGGTGGATATCAAGCTTTTCAATTCTTATGAGTCCCTCACTAACTCCTTGATCACCATGTTTAGTCAATGTGAGTGCTAATTAAGTATATGAAATGTACTAAAACGTAAACACTCTCTTAGACCTATAAACGAGAAAATCTTTAATGAATCTAATATTGGTTTTTTATCAGTCGAAGGTTGTGATAGGGAAGACACAAACTACAAATTCACCTTCCAAGGAAAAGATGGTGACTGGCTATTACCAGGGGATGTTCCATGGAAGTACGTTTACTTCTCTATATATTAATGCTTCGAATCTCTAAACATTTAAAAAAAAAAAAAAATCAAGAAGATCGAGTTTTTTCTTCAAGTGTATATAGCGGATGGCTATATTTGAAATAATAATATTATGTTCTTGATTTGGTTTTGCAGGATCTTTGCTGAATCTGTTCATCGAATATCAATCATTAAAGACCGTCCGTGTGCCTATACAAGACTTTTGTTTTGAAATATCAAAGACTATTAATTTGTAATTAAAATGTCTATCAGATAAATATTCTACTCGATTTCTGTTCGGACTCTTCCCTTCTATTCTTTTAAGATCCAATTCATTGGATTGGTTATTGTTAAAAGGAATCATGGCTAAACATGCGCGAAAAGGCGAAGAAAATTCCTTTATAAGAATTTACTAATTCAGTGACTACTAGTGGATCAGGTTCGGTGAACTCTATTATAAACCTTTCTTGCTTTCCAACTTGTAAGTTGTAATTGGGAAACTAGAAAGAAAAAAAAAAAACAGAAAAGAAGAACATAAAATGTGTTATAGGCATGTCACATGATCTGGTTGGTTTGAAGACGTGAAACTATTTAAAACTGATCTGCGTATCATCCAAAATCATAAAATTTGAACAAACAAGGGAAAAAAAAATCATGACTAAAGAAAAAAAAAAATGACATGTGAATCGGTATGGAACATGATAAGATTGGCCCGAGGCTAATTAAAATTTACTTCTACAGCCCTAGCTTTTTACTCTTTGAACTGGAGATGATCAGATCTCGAGTTTAAGCAATAATTGAACTTAAGTGATGGATGCCAAAATTAAAATTAAAGTTGATAATCACATTAACAAAAAAAAAAAAGAGACATTTACATATGAACATGTTCAGACTTCAGACTTGAGAGTCTCGGACACAAGGCTCCGTCAATCCCGGTTACAAGCTTTCGCATCTGATTTAGATAAACGACTCTCATTAGTCCACGTCACCCTTGACTCCAACTCTTTTTCTTAAATCCTCTCTTCTCTCTCTCATAAGCCACTTCATTTGTTGACTCGTTCGGTGAATCTGTCACCACGCCAATAGTCGTATTTAAGATCTTCTTCACCTTCTTCATAGATCTCAGATCCCGACTCCGTCTCCTCCGCCGGAAAAAACAGACCTCAACATATATCCAACGCCGGAGAATTCATCGCTTCGATCCCCCGCAGATCTAGTGAATAAACTCCCGCATCGGTATCTCCTTTTTCAGAAGAATATTTCCACCAAAATTGAAAACTAAAATATCCATTTCAATCTCGAAATGATTTTCCCCGTTGGATTCTTCGCTTAATTGAACTCGAATTCTCTCCATCAATCTCTCAACCAATTTCCTCTGTTTTCTCTGTTGCTGTTTGGGGTTTTTTTTGTTTCTCGAAGAGTTTGCATTTTCAGAGAAATTCGAATCCCTAAGTAGTCATGGCGCTGAGTATTCGGAAAGCGATCGGTGTGGTTAAAGACCAGACGAGTATCAGCATAGCGAAGGTAGCGAGCAACGTGGCTCCAGATCTGGAAGTCGCGATCGTCAAGGCTACGAGCCACGACGACGATCAATCGACTGAGAAGTACATCCGCGAGATCCTTAGCATAACATCACTCTCCCGTGGCTACGTCCACGCCTGCGTCACCTCCGTCTCTCGCCGTCTCGGGAAGACACGCGATTGGATCGTCGCTCTCAAGGCCCTCATGCTCGTCCACCGTCTCCTCAACGAAGGTGACCCACTCTTCCACGAAGAGATCCTCTACGCCACTAGACGAGGTACGAGGATCCTTAACATGTCTGATTTTCGCGACGAGGCTCACTCTAGCTCTTGGGACCACTCTGCTTTCGTTAGGACTTATGCTAGCTACTTGGATCAGAGGCTTGAATTGGCTCTTTTCGAGAGAAAAGGTAGAAATGGTAATGGTGGTAGTAGCAGTAGTCATCAAAGTAATGGTAACGATGGATATGGTCGGGCTAGGGATGATTTTCGGTCTCCGCCTTCAAGAAGTTATGATTATGAGAATGGTAATGGTTATGGTATGCCTAAGAAGTCTCGGTCTTTTGGTGATATGAGTGAGATTGGTGGAGGAAGAGAAGAGAAGAAAGCGGCTACTCCTTTAAGAGAAATGGCACCGGAGATGATTTTCGGAAAGATGGGTCACTTGCAGAGGCTGCTTGATCGGTTTCTGTCTTCACGACCTACCGGTTTAGCCAAAAGCAGTCGGATGATCTTGATCGCAATGTACCCGATTGTTAAGGAAAGTTTTAGGCTTTATGCTGACATCTGCGAGGTCTTGGCTGTTCTGCTCGACAAGTTTTTCGAGATGGAGTATAAGGATTGCGTCAAGGCCTTTGATGCTTATGCTAGTGCGGCTAAACAGATTGATGAGCTCATTGCGTTTTACCATTGGTGTAAAGACACAGGTGTGGCAAGATCGTCTGAGTATCCTGAGGTTCAGAGGATCACGAGCAAGTTGTTGGAGACACTGGAAGAGTTTGTGAGAGATCGAGCTAAGAGACCTAAAAGTCCTGAGCGGAAAGAGATCGAAGCTCCTCCTCCTCCTCCTCAGGTAGAGGAGCCAGCGGTTGATATGAACGAGATCAAAGCGCTTCCTCCTCCAGAGAATAACACTCCTCCACCTCCACCCAAACCAGAGCCGAAACCACAGCAACCGCAAGTCACTGATGATCTAGTTAACCTGAGAGATGATGGCGTCACTGCTGACGACCAAGGGAACAAGTTTGCTCTCGCTCTTTTCGCGGGTCCTGCCAGTAGTAACGGGAAATGGGAAGCTTTCTCTTCTGATAACGGCGTGACATCGGCTTGGCAGAATCCAGCAGCAGAGCCGGGGAAAGCGGATTGGGAACTGGCATTGGTCGAGACAGCTAGTAATCTAGAGAATCAGAAATCCGCAATGGGCGGGGGTTTAGACCCGTTGTTACTCAACGGGATGTACGATCAAGGAGCAGTTAGACAACATGTGAGCACGTCGGAGTTATCAGGTGGAAGTTCAAGCAGCGTAGCACTCCCTTTACCGGGTAAAACCAACAGCCAAATATTAGCACTCCCTGCACCCGATGGAACCGTTCAGAAAGTGAACCAAGACCCTTTTGCGGCTTCACTAACCATCCCGCCTCCTTCGTATGTGCAAATGGCCGAGATGGACAAGAAGCAGTATCTGTTGACTCAGGAGCAGCAGCTATGGCAGCAGTATCAGCAAGAAGGAATGAGAGGTCAAGCTAGTTTGGCTAAGATGAGTCCAGCCCCAACCTCAATGACTTCTGGGATGCCGCCGGTTAACGGGATGGGACCACCACCGATGGGGTATTACTACAATAACCCTTACTGATTTCATTCATTTTGTTCTTTTTCTTACATATATATATATATATATTTTTCCGACCAATATAGATGATTATATGTCATATATCTTGTGTTATAATCCGGTTTCTTCTTGTATTCTTTCCGATCTTGACTCTTCTTGAACTTGTGAGACTTTTGCCTCTTTTGAGTTTGAAATAATGAAGTCATTTAAACCTCTTTCTGGAATTTGTATGTATACCTTTTGTAAAACATTGGATTCTTATGAGATGGTCTTTGTTGTTTCCTTGTTATTCTTTCTACAACTTAGCTTGGTGAGGTTTGCCCGTTTGGTTTGAGTTGAGAGTAGGTAGCGATTGGTAAAAATACTTGTTTTTTTTTTGCTTTGTTTGATAATATATGTTAATTATCAGGTGGAATAGACGTATTTGTCGCTTTCTGATGTTATCTTGTAATCAAACAGGTTATGAACAGACTTCATGTCCTCTTGTAAATCAGTTTTCTTGCTAAATATCTCTTTTTCGATGGCAAAACCAAAGTAAATTAAAATCTAATCTGGACTTTAAAACAAACTGGCAACCAAACCTACTAGACCAACAAAATGACATCACCGTTTCAAAAATATAGAATCCGTATAATCACATGTTATCCATACCTTTTTTGTCATCTGAGTTTATATTGATATTCAAATGAGGATCCTGATACAAACTGCCTCAAAATGGTCCCAAAAAATATTAACCAAGAGGCCAGAATGCTAACAATATGCCTAACCTAGCCCAATGTTATTTATTTATTTTTGGTATGAAATGTTAGGCCAGTGTTAGATACCTATTTGTTAGATAATTTCATTTTACCACCAATTGCTCCATAAAACAGAGGAATCTAACGAAGAACATGAACAATTTGTTCATTGTATATCTCTCTTGTAAAACTGAAGATTAACTTAAGTTGGTGAATCTCCATTTTAGGATCTTGGACACCGACGTGCATACGTGCTCATTGTCTTTCTTTTACATTCGGGTGTGGTTGAAATAAACTAATTTAGTCAGTTTAAGTGATTTCTCACCGTAATGTTCAAACCTATGAACCAAAAATGAAGAAAGTCACCAATATACAACTTTCACGAACAAGATTCTTTAATTGCCTATCACGCGATTTAGGGCTTGTAGGTGTTTACTTTTTCGTTATTTGCCAGTAAATTTCAGATATATATACATACTTTTTTTTTTTATTAAAGTAAAAGGAAGAAAGCACGGGGCAAGACGATGATTGTGGGTGTGTGTTCTTTAAGCGACAGTCGAACTCGAGTGTTGACGAATCTAAGCCCCATCTTCCGCAAGCTTAGACCCCATTTTGGATCTTTAGATAACAATGTTTATAATTTATAATCAACTCAACTAATTCATCATCCTTATCATTTAATTTGTGTCACTCTATCTACTTTTATGTATATAATTTATAAAATATAGTCTAAAAGTCAAAACACACACTGTTGTCCATTAAATATCTTGAGGTTTGGTGTGTAACCAATTAGCTCGAGAAGGACTCATCTTGAAGGATAATGATAGACTGGGTTTTTGTTTTTCCCAGCTACCCATTTTTAAGTAACAATTATTTTGTCAACTTAAAACAAAAGAAAAAAAAAACTAAAACTAAATTTACAACAGACGCCACGTAGACTAACCATTCAGGCACAAGCAGCCGAGTCATTAAACAACACGCTTGTAGCCATACCTAACAAAGGCTCGAGAGACTCTGGTGAGAACTTCCTCGCGAACAGAAACGGATCATTCCTCTCAATCGAAGACCAATCCGAACCGTTGATTCCATCCTCACCGTATCTCGGCCGAGTCTTCCTCAGCCGCACGATCAGCTCAGGCACCACTTCCTCCGCCTCGTACATCCGCGGGTGGCCTCCCTCGTTGATGGTCCAGTCCACGTGAGTCAGCGTGGCGGGGACACACCCACGTGGGTCCCTCATATTAATAAGGGTAGGAAAGTAATTTTCCTCAGGGTAGCACGTGTCTTCCCGCACGCACGTCTTGTTAAACTTCTCCCAGACACGTCGATCACGCGCCACCACACGCGCGTGCCTCCGTGTCAAAACCCAGAACTGAGACCCGATACGAAAATCCTCGAGCCTCACCTCCGGCAACATCGCGTCTTCCCCACGCGCCGCCCATCTGTCGAATTGCCACGGCTCGTCTTTGAGTATCTCGATGAAGCTCCTCCGAGACGAGACCAGTGTCTTGTAGGTGAAGCCAAAGGACCGGATTGGTACACAGGAAGGTGAGATCAGTGCAAACATTTGATTCTGTGGATCGTCTAGAAGCGCGTGAGCTATTAGTCTACGCGCCGCCGCGGCGAGAGTGGGTGTGTATCGTTCTGAGCGCTTCGAGGGAATGACCCGGTTCGCGAACACGCCGGAGAACGGCGGGTCGTAATTTCGGGTCGGATCCGCGTGGACGTAGACATTGTAGAGTTCCTTGGAGCTTCCATTGAAGAAGAGCTCCCACAAAGGCGCGAAAGGAAGAGGCGTCGTCGTTAGATACATAAAAGCAAGTTTCCGGGTCGATCCGGGTGGCTGATTCGGGTTAACCCGAGAAGCGAGTCGGAGAAGCGGTTCATCGTCTTTGGGAATTGGTTGTCGAATCGGAATCGACGGAGAAGGAGCGTCGGGGACATTTCGAGAGTAGAGGGAGAAGACGGAGAGTGAGCGGAAACCAAGTTCCGGCGAGATAACGCCGGTGTGTTCTCTCTGGACTGTGAAGATGACGGCAACCGGAAGACAGAGAAATAAAGCGCAGAAGAGTGGAAATAACGTCGGAGATAACATCTCTCTCACCGGCGGATTAAAATCAGTCACTACTTTTACTTTTTAGAGAGATAAAGAAAGCGTAGGATATTATTATTAACATTTTTGATATTTTTTTTTGGTTTCTAGAGTGAGAGAGTGGGATTTGGTATAACTTGTTTGTTCGATATCGTACATTAAGAAATTATTATTTAATTTTTTTAGTACTAATTATAGAAATATACAATTCAATTCAATGGCATTTCGTATTTGGAATTTACAGCTTTATAAAGAAAGATTATTGTTTTCGAGTCGTAACGTTCTTAAATTTTATGCCACTAATTCTCCTCACTGGTCACTTTTTTTTGGTCAACATTCATATTTTTCTTTCTTGTGCGTGTCAGTTGTCATAAATCGACTAAATTATAGGGCAGGCACATAGTGATTGTATACGATTATTCGTGGATTAGTGTAAAAGCAACATTTAAAGGAGTCATAAGTATTCGAGAATCGGACAGGTCCAAAGTCTTACACGTGGTAAGTTGGAAACCGTTGGATAGAGTACTTCTAATGACATCACGTGGCTGCGTGAATTTTCGTAATCAATCCGTTTTTAGGAAATGTTTTCATCTCGAAATGCAGCAGCTTTGCTGGATACGAGTTACGGTACGGTGTGTCCACGTGACCAACATGCAGTAGATTTGGGCCTCAAGATCTGACTTTTTGGGCTTTGCTTCAATAACGACTAGGAGGGACTTACGTAGTTTCCGGTTTGAGTCAGGGATTTAGGAAGGATTCTTCGATGATATTTGAGAGCTTTATTTTTTTTTTTGGTCAGCTCAGAGATTTTCTTTTGTTTTATATATTTCTCGTCATCGTGAATGTATTAATTGTCTGAAAAAAATGATATCAAAAGGTAGAAGTGGTACGTAACGAAAGCAAACCCAGAAGATTTCTTTGTTTACCAAACGATTAAACTTGTAATACTTCTTCTGTTTTGTAGTATGTTTTTAACTCTGTATGCATAAGTTGTTCTCGTTTCATTTTCTCCTAAGAGATGCAAGTTTGAGACAGCCTAACTCCAGAAACGGTCTGGGCCAACCCAGAATAATACATGGTTAGAACATCCCAAAATTGTACATATATTGACCCCAAAAAACCGTTCAAATATCCGAGATGAGCTAATTTGGACTTGGATTATTTGGGTTTAGGTTTGATCGGGCTTGGACAAGCATTAAATTTTTAATCCTTCCCTTTTTTCTTTTCTTTTTGCCGAGTATTTAAGAGTTAGACAGCATTTTTTAGGTATCTGAATCACGAGTGAGATCAAATAATTTCAACACAGGCCGAATCATTGATTTGTACCTGCATTTAGATGAATGTATATAGTAGTTTATTTTTTTATGTTGTCATCATAGAACTTTCATTTAGAATTAAGATATATAGTCGGTGTTTTGCATTTCAGAGTTGAAGAATATATAATAGTTAGCTACAAAAAAAAATGAATAACATGGACTAGTTTGTTACATATAATTGGTGAATGCTCTATTTTTTTTTTAGATACTTTAGAAAGATAATCTAAAAAATTATTGGACTGCAACCCTATACTGAGTAGGCCGGACCATAAAAGTTAGACCTGAGGAAAATAAGGCGGATTAAACCGGGAAAAACCGGATCAGACCAACTGACAAGACTGTCTCTCTCCCCCACACTGAAATTATTGAGAAGTGAAAGGAGGGGAAGAAAAACAATCTCACTCTTTTGTCTTTTCTCTCTCTCATAGAAACAAGAAAGTGGTGGAAGAAGAAGATGCCGAGGCCAGGGCCAAGACCGTACGACTGTATCAGAAGAGCTTGGCATAGTGACAGACACCAACCCATGAGGGGCTTGCTAATCCAAGAGATTTTCAGGTCATCTTCTCTCTCTCTCTCTCGCTCTGTATCTATCTGTGTATGTATAGTTGTGTGTGTGTGCATGTGTCCTTTATCTGTTTTCTTCAGCTCAATTGTGCATTTGAACTTTTTTGTAGGATTGTTTGTGAGATTCATAGCCAATCCACCAAGAAGAACACAGAATGGCAAGAAAAGCTCCCTGTGGTTGTCTTGAGAGCTGAAGAAATCATGTACTCCAAAGCCAATTCTGAGGTATTCTTTCTAACCATTTTTTATCTTTAAAAAAATCTCAATTTGGGGTTTGTTCGTGGAACAGAGAAACCAATTCATTAAAACAGCGACCCTCTTTCAACAGTGAGATTGATAGAGACTCACTTGTGATGATTTGCTCCATCTCATAATGAACATTGGATATTATTATGTCACTTTATATGGACTTGATAAAGAGATTTGTAACTAAATGTTTTACATTTGGAAAATTTATCTCTTTTTATTTACTTGTTGTTCTGGGTTTCATCGTTAGGCTGAGTATATGGACTTGAATACCCTTTTAGACCGTACAAACGACGCCATTAACACCATAATCCGACTCGATGAGACCACTGAAACAGGGGAATTTCTTCAGCCTTGTATTGAAGGTACATTATATTCGAATTCTTGGGGAGCATTATATAGGCTCAGATCAATGAGCAAGTCTTGTGTTTTTGTTCTTTATTGTAGCTGCTCTGCATTTGGGCTGCACGCCGAGGAGAGCTTCAAGAAGCCAACGGAACATAAACCCGAGATGTTACCTTAGCCAACAAGACTCAACTAACTTGGAAAACATCTTGTCGCCGCAGCAATACCAAGTCTTCATGAAACCGAACAACTTTGCTCCAAAGAATCTGACATTTCACAACCAAGACAAGTGCCCTGTCTCCAAGTACTCAGCCTACCCTTTATGCTATTCATTCCGAGTTCCTTCTTCGCCGATCTCTAACAATGTCACTGCCTCGTGCAAGCCCAAGAACAGACCTGCGACTGCGAGTGTCATAGATGCAACAAATGGCATTACCTTTGGTGGGTGTGATCTATCTTTGCGCTTAGGTCCTCTTGGAGATGTTAGAACTCCTAGTCAGAAACGGTGTAAGATCAGCAGCAGCAACGACAATAAAAGCTGAAGAGGAAAGCAAAGTTAGGTCTTTTTTTTAGTTCCTCTGTAGTTTTTTTGTGTAGATGTAAATAGAGAGAGAGAGAGAGAGAGAGAGAGAGAGGCAGATGTAGAAAACTAAAACAGGCAATGAAGCCGAAACTGGTCTGAAGTCTTCTTTGAAGGCTCGAACCATCAGGCTTCGATGTACTTTTAGTTAATTTGCACAATTCGAGAAATGTAAATTAGACTCGAACTAGTGTCCCGGAGACTGCTTATTGAGCCGAGCGATTCGTGCGGAGCCGCTGGGCCAGTGCCGTGCGCGTGCGGAGGTTTGTTCGCTTTTGTGATTGATAGATGTTAAGAAACATGTGATCGAAGCTTCAGGTCCAGTCGCTGTTCAACAGATACTTCAGCGATTGCCGATGAGACTCTTCTGATATGGCCTTACCTGGGCCACTCTAATTATTTTGAACTCAACTTAGACCCATTTAATAGACACACCACTCTATATGGGCCGAGTTATATCCTTTTTAAAAAACAATTTGTGGGAGATTTGTGAAACTCTTTGTTCCACAGAAAATTCAAGTGAGCTTAGACGTTCGTTAATTCTAATATTTCACAATCTCATTACACAATATCAAAAATTAAATTTACATTAGTTAAGTATATAATTGTTGATCCGTCTATGATAGCATACGATCCAGCTGTACTACATTTAGACTCGAATTTGAATCTATGAAGAAAATCTTAGATGCAAAAATTAATCTCAACAACCAAATCTCTTAAACTATTTCACCTAATATGAATCGTTAGTCTAAACACATTTTCCATTAGCATTTTTCCAAGTAGTCCATTATTGAATATTGTCAAAGTAAGATTATAAAAAGAGCTAAGCTTTCTGTAACTTATCCCACAAAAGTAATTTCTCATTGGATTTTGATTAAAGCCTTTTTTTTTGTCTCATTCCCAACCTTGTCCATTGTACCAGAAAACAAAATATAATTGATGTCTTACCTAAAAGTTGATCGAAGTAGTTTAAATTTAATTAAATAGGTGACCATTTGTGACTCTCTACGTATTGGTTTGACACGAAATGACCGGTTCTAGCTCGTCGATTTTATTACTAATATTTTTTCTTGGAATAAAGCGACCCATTATTGATCAATTAGCCATTAGATAATAAATTATTTATAAAAAAAACGGAGTGAGATATCTCAGTTATACGTTGACGGCTTCCACGGACCACGTTCATGATGATATCAAATGAGATCATTCGCATGATTGTAGTGGAAGAGACATGACGAACTATACCGATTTGTTAAGATAACATTTATAATTTTTTTTCTGTGATATGTTAAGATAAGATTTGCGGAGTAATGTAAACACACACATGACACATGCCTACATATGTAATAATGTATGCATTCATAGAACTGAGTTATTTCATTATTTGATACATGTTTTGATTAATCTGTAAAAAAACAAGTTCATAGGTTTTGTCCTGCTTTTAATAATAAAGTTTATTCTACGGCATTCAGGCACTTATTCATTACAGAGTTTATATAGATATATTTTTTCTTTTTGTTTAAACTCACGAATTCAAACCGATTTCAACATTTTGGTTTATACATCGACATATTGAAGCTTTTTTGTTGTTGAAGGACATATTGGAGCTTTCTCTACACATTTCAAGAGAAGACCAACAAATGACAAACGATTTGATGAAATAACAGAAAACGAATTAATTATGGTAGCGAAATGAGGCGAGCGATAGGTCACGTTGACGTACCACGAACATTTAACAACCCACCTAAATGCGTGATTAACAAAGAATGATAAAAATATCGGATCGGAATCATATTCAAATGGTATTTTAAAAGAAACTTTTTCTTCTTATAAAATGTTATATTCATTTTCCATTAACTGCCTTGTAGATCTTTAGGCTAGCTCTTTCTTTTTTGTGGAAAGGAAACAAAATGTGTGAACTCAGACTATCTATGATTTTGTAATAGCGACAAAATAAACCCACTTTCATGAAGTAGTTTGAGTTCGTATTTTTGTACGTATGTATAGAATCTGAGATAAAAAAAAAAAGAATCTGAGATATATCAAGGTCTAGCTTATTTCATACTGGAGCATTATCTTTTACGAAACAGTTACATAATTTTCTGCTTTAAGGATTTAAATTTGCATCTTCTTACTCCAGTATCTTATTTAGGTATTTCTCTACTTTAAAACTCTATAACGTTTAAATTTACATAAACGCGGCGAGAAGCTTTAGTAGTCATATGGTAATTAATACTGACTCCATTTAATAAAAGATAATGTTTGCATTGAACAAGCTCTAGAATGCCCATAAATCAACTCAACATGTCATTGACAAAATAACTCCACAAAATTAAAAACATTTAAGATCAGAGAGCTTATACTTATAAGTAAAATGACTTATAAAATTGGATAGAAAAAGACTTCTAGAAGAAGATGAGCCCATAGTAATAAGAAGACGAGAACATTGGTATAAGTTATAACAGATATTCATATATAAATGCATATATGACAGTATATATCCAGTAAATATACATGAATGTGTATATATTTATATAAATAATAATGGAAGATGCATGTTTGGGGAAGTTGCATTTAAGGTTTAGGGAGCCTACTTAAAGACCTCTTGTGCTGTCACTGTTTAGTCCACGTCAAAGTGAATCACTATGATCCGTTTACTATTGCGTTGCTTGTTTTTATGGATGTATAGGTTTTATAATTTTATTTTATTTTATTTTAGAAGGGTTGGTTTTTATAGCTTCACATTTTTTACTACGAGTGTAAGTAATACGGAATACACTTGGAGATTCGCCAACTAATTTCAGAATAAATTATTTTGAGGATTTGAATGGGCGTAGACGATTCGGGGTCATTAAAACCAAGTTAACTCCCAACTACTTTTTTTTTGTTTGGAACAAATCCCAACCACATTTGCATTTGAGCAATTAATAAGATCTATTTTATGAATGAAAGCTATAAAAGCATACCCCTCAAAATCCTCAATTATAAATTACTCCGAAATTAGTTGGCCCCTCCTGAGGATCAGTGGATGCAAGAGTTGAATATATCTCTACTTTCGTATGATCCTATCGTAAGAAATTAATTACATGTCAAACATTTCAGATGTTTGACTTTGTTTAAAGAGAGAGAAAATAAAAAGAGAAACTGCGATTATAAATGGTGAGGAGATTAGGTAGACTAAAACATAAAGATTAGGAAGAGCATGTGTTGTATAACAGTTCACTAATGAAAATCTACATTAACTCGATAAGGATAGATAAGAATAATCGACAATAGCTCATCAAAACAGTATCTCTAAGACTAGAGAAGTAGTTATTGTAGTTTTGTACTTTATGTACCATATAATGGTATTGCGAATTTACATTGCCGGGAATCAAAATAAAAGTTTTTGCATTAAGAAGCATGATGATTCCTGTGATTTTTGGATGAGTCGAGTCCCCAAAAATATAGACAATACTGTGTGAAACATGTGTTCTCTCTTAGTAAAGAAAGTTGACATAATTCAGAGATTAATTAAGGGACCGAGTTTTTTGGTTCAGGATCTGTCTTGTCAGAATAGAAATAACAAAAACAAAACGTATAGAAATATAGCAATGGCATATAATAATGACGTTAGGCCGTTGAAAAAGAGTGAGTGTTTGATCTTCCTTCCTTCCTGTAAAGAGATGATGGTGGATTTTAGCTGCATTAATAAGTCAAACCAAACACACGTTCGGTCGTGAAAAAGAAGAGAAGTACCCAAGCGATTTGGTCAATTTCCTCATCCAGGGGTATATTGGGTATTTCCCAGTTCGAAAGTACACGAGATACGTCTGTCGACTGCCAGATGGATCCCGTACTCACTCGTCTTCTCAAAAATAAATTAACCTTCTCAGTTTTTTTTTTTGTTTTTTTAACCTCAGTTTTCACACTTTCTTTATTCCTCTTTCTTTTTCCAACCCAATTCTTACTTATTTTTTAAGTTTTGTTGTGATTTATATATATTCTTTTGGTAGATTTTTCTTTTAGATTTTATAACAGGATAAAGTCAGGTTGCGTATTTTTCTTTTCTTTTTTTGAGAAAGAGGTTAGGTATTATTATTTGTTGACAAAAAAAAGGAGAGACATTATTTCCTTTTTTTCCTACTATACTATTTATCGAACCCACGTTTTGACGTTGGCTGATCCATCATTGAATTGCCCATGACTTATTAGAAAAAAAATGAAAAAATGAAAACGAAAGTTATCTAACCGGAGTACAAATATTTAATCGTTTATTTAAGCAATCAGAAATTCTGTTTATTTTTCAAACATTCCACAATTATTTTTAAAAATGTTACAATCGTTTTTTTGCCTTAATAATTCTGCATTCACTTACGTCTTACCAAAAAAAGAAAAAAAATCTGGCATTCACTTACGCACACATATGTATGATCCTGCAATCCATATGTTATCAATTAGATCGGTTGTCTTCTTACTTGTTTGAAAAGTCAAAAGGTCATAAGGGTTTTGAAAATCTAGAACATGTTTGGTTGAAAAGAGAAAAAGACCAAAATAATTGTGACGGGCTCAACAGGGAAAACATAAAAAGGAAACGGATTTGAAGGAAACGGCTCCAGAGAGATTTAAGACACTCTCATCATCTCTCTTACTTCTCTCTCTCTCTCCCTGTTTCAACACCGCTTGTCGTCTTCCTCTCTATCAAGGACCCAAATCAAACATCATTGAATGCTAGCCAGGGAGGCAATAAAACAAACCAGAGTTTTCCTCCAACCCCTGAAATTATCCAACTTTCCCCAATTTTCATTTTCTGGGTTCTAATCGATTTTTCCTCCTTTCTCTCCCTCTCCCATCTGAATTCCGGCCTGAAGTTCGTCCAAAAGTTTGGACCTTTGGCGAGTTCTTTATTTACCTGATCAGGGGCTCTGAGATTTGGCTTTTTCCATCTTTCTTTTTTCTTTTGATTCTCAGATCCATTGACCTGATCCACATACAAAGTTTAGGTCTTTTTTAAAAAAAAAGGTTTAATTTTTATCCAGCTGTGTGAAATTCTGGGTTTCACGATCAAAAGCCATGAGAGGCTTCTTCTTCTTCATCGTCTTCTTTACATGTCTTGCTTTCTTCCCTGATCCTCTACTTGCCGGTGTAGCGTCCGTTGGGAGCATCGCTCCAGGGTTTAGCGGATCTCAGATGAATTACATCAACAACAACGGTCTCTTCCTCGATTCCAACAACTCAGAATTCGGTTTCGGTTTCGTAACCACACCAGCTTCCGTTACTCTGTTCACACTCAGCATCGTCCACAAAAGCAGCTCCAGACTGATCTGGTCCGCGAACAGAGCTTCCCCTGTTTCTAATTCCGACAAGTTCCAGTTCGAAGAAAACGGAAATGTCGTTCTGCGTACAGAACAAGGAGGAGGATCTGAGGTTTGGAGATTGAATAACACAGGCAAAGATGCTTCAAGAATCGAGCTTCGTGACTCGGGGAACCTCGTTGTTGTTTCCGGTGACGGAACTTCAATCTGGGAGAGCTTTGATCATCCCACGGATACTCTGATTACGAATCAAGTCTTTAGAGAAGGCATGAAGCTCACTAGCAATCCTTCTTCTTCGAGCAACATGAGTTATGCTCTTGTGATCGAATCAGGAGATTTGTTTTTATCTGTGAACAGTTTGACTCCTCAAGTATATTGGTCCATTGGAAATGACAGAAGGAAGATCATTAACAAAAATGGCGTAGTGACTTCATCGTCTCTCCTCGGGAATTCGTGGCGCTTCTTTGATGAGAAACAGGTTTTGTTGTCGCAGTTTGTGTTTTCGGAAGATAGAGATGATAACGCGACTTGGATCGCGGTTTTGGGAAACAACGGTGTAATCTCTTTCTCAAGTCTTGGCAGTGGTGCGTCTGTGGCTGATTCTTCCACTAAAATCCCTAGCGATCAGTGTTCGACGCCTGAGCCTTGCGGGCCTTACTACGTCTGCTCTGGTAGTAAAGTGTGCGGATGTGTGTCCGGTCTGTCTCGTGCCCGGTCCGATTGCAAATCCGGAATCGCTTCTCCTTGTAAGAAAGCTGAGAATAATGCAACACTTCCTGTGCAGCTTGTGAATGCTGGAGACGAGGTCGACTATTTCGCTCTCGGGTTTGCTTCTCCTTTCTCCAAGAACACCAATCTTGATAGCTGTAAAGAGTTCTGCAACAACAACTGCTCGTGCCTCGGTCTTTTCTTTCAGAACAGTTCTGGTAATTGCTTCTTGTTTGATTGGATTGGAAGCTTCAAGAACTCAGGTAATGGAGGATCTGGTTTCGTGTCTTACATCAAGGTGGCAACTAATGGTGCGGGAGGTGGAGATAAGGGAGAAGATGATGGGAAACATTTTCCGTATATAGTGATTATTGTAGTGGTGACGGTTTTTATCATCGGTGTTTTGATCTTTGTGGCGTTTCGGATTCATAAGAGGAAGAAAAAGCTTTTGGATGATCATCAAGATCAGAGTTCAGAGGAAGATAACTTCTTGGAGAATTTATCCGGTATGCCTATCCGGTTCGCTTACAAAGATCTTCAGTCAGCGACGAATAACTTCTCGGTTAAGTTAGGGCAAGGAGGGTTTGGATCAGTCTATGAAGGGACTCTACCTGATGGTTCTCGTTTAGCCGTGAAGAAACTTGAAGGAATCGGTCAAGGCAAGAAAGAATTCAGAGCCGAGGTTAGTATAATCGGAAGCATTCATCATCTGCATTTGGTGCGGCTCAGGGGTTTCTGTGCGGAAGGGGCTCATAGGCTTCTCGCTTATGAGTTCTTGTCGAAAGGTTCGTTAGAGAGATGGATATTTAGGAGAAGAGACGAAGATATTCTGTTGGATTGGGACACAAGATTCAACATCGCACTCGGAACAGCTAAAGGTTTAGCGTATCTACATGAAGACTGCGATGCAAGAATCATCCATTGCGATATCAAACCAGAGAACATCCTCTTAGACGATAACTTCAATGCCAAGGTATCTGATTTCGGACTCGCTAAGCTTATGACCCGCGAACAAAGCCATGTATTCACAACGATGCGTGGGACGAGAGGCTATTTGGCTCCGGAATGGATCACAAACTACGCGATCTCGGAGAAGAGCGATGTTTATAGCTACGGGATGGTGTTGCTTGAGCTGATAGGAGGAAGAAAGAACTATGATCCATCAGAGACATCTGAGAAATGCCATTTTCCTTCTTATGCTTTCAAGATGATGGAAGAAGGAAAGCTTATGGAGATTGTTGATGGGAAGATGAAGAATGTTGATGTGACTGATGAGAGAGTTCAAAGGGCGATGAAAACAGCGCTTTGGTGTATACAAGAAGATATGCACGCGAGACCTTCGATGAGCAAAGTTGTTCAAATGCTTGAAGGAGTTTTTCCGGTGGTTCAGCCTCCGACTTCTTCCACTTTGGGCTCGAGGCTTTACTCGAGTTTCTTCAAGTCGATTAGCGAGGAAGGTGGTGGTACGTCGTCTGGACCATCGGATTGTAACAGTGAGAATTATCTCTCCGCCGTGAGACTCTCCGGTCCGAGATAGCTCGCTTGTTTTTAGCCATATAAAGTATTTTATAGTGTTATAAATAGGTTTTTTGGCTGTTGTATATTGTGCTGTGTGGTAAAATTTTAAAGATTAGTGTCTCCTCCACTCAGTTTTGTATTTTTTAGTTACTATAGAATATTTGAACTACCTGTCGGGTTTCTCTTTTTTCGTATATCGCCTTGTCGTTTTCTATTCTTTTGTATCGTCACGAATTCCGAAATGCGTGCCGTGTCCAAACTTCTCTCTCTCTAAATTGTCGATTTCTGTGTTTCTATTGGCTAGAACATTTTGCTTACTGTACTCTCACGAGTAGACAATACAAACTCCCGCAGTACATAAAAAAAATCAGCTGGCGCTCGATGATTCTCGTCCCACCGTTAAAGATGACGACGACGACGACTGCGTCTCTGTTTGAAACTTCTCTTTCTCGGTGCTACTCGTCTTCTTCTTCTTCTTCTTCTTTCAAATTCGAATCTCCCGCGAAAACGAAAACGCGACTGTTCTCGCCAGCGACTGGGAATCATGTTATCCGATCGGTGACAGCATGTCGTATCCGTTGCGCCTCCGATGATCCTGGTAAGACCGGATTCTAGTATAGTTTGCACACTCTGTTCTACATGGCTTAATGTTGTGTTTCTGGGAAATTCCTAGGATCTGTTTTTCTTTCCAGTAGAAGAAAAGTAGTTGTTCTGTTGTCCACGATGCAGCTTCTGTCTCAGTCACTTCCCCCAAATGGAAATGCAGCTGAGTGAGTTTGAGCAAATCCTTGTTTTTATAATTGACCACCAAAAAGATTGTTCCTTTTTTTTTAATGTAATTTCTGAAATCGAGTGTTGGGATTTCAGAATTTATCAACTGATGCAAAACGAAATAAAGAAAGTGGTGACAAAGGGAAAGGCTGCTGGTGTGCTTCGTTTAGTGTTTCATGATGCTGGAACCTTTGAGCTCGACGATAATACAGGTAATTTCAAAGCTTGGTCGGTTTAGGTTCAGTTTGCTCCTTTTGCTGCTTCTTTCTCAGTAACAAGATACTGCAATCCACTTTAGTTGAGATCAGTTATGTCTTATTTGTTCTTTCTTGGTAATGAAATGATTGCAGGTGGCATCAACGGGTCTATTGCTTACGAACTCGAGAGACCTGAAAACACAGGTTTGAAGAAATCCCTAAAGGCACTAAATCCCTCTCCTTTTTGTTTGTTGTTGTTGTTGTTGTTATTTGCACTTGTATCTCAGAATTTTTCAAATATTTTACTTTCAAATAGCTAATTTTCATGGTAGATGGAATCTATGTTAGGTTCTAGCGAAAGCAAAGATAAAGGTTGATGAGATACAACCAGGTAATTACTGTTTCAACTTTACACACCAGAGAAATGTGTCCTGTTAGTGCAAAATGTTCTCAATCTGTGTGTTCTTAGTGTCTTGGGCGGATATGATATCTGTCGCTGGGTCTGTAGCGGTTTCAATATGTGGCGGCCCAACAATTCCAGTAGTTTTGGGAAGACTTGATTCAACGTAAGCAATGGTACTCCTTCCCCTCTCTCTCTCTCTCTCAAAGACACTGTTTCTATATTTTTAACAGGATGATTGTTTCAATGTTTCACAGGCAACCTGATCCAGAAGACAAGCTACCTCCAGAATCCCTGAGTGCCTCGGGTTTGAAAGAATGCTTCAAAAGAAAAGGATTTTCGTGAGTTTTTCTTACACAAAACATAGCTGAGACTAGAAGACTCATGTTAACATTTTGTAACTTGGGGGTTTGTGTTGCCATTGCAGGACCCAAGAACTTGTTGCCTTATCTGGGGCACATACGCTTGGGAGTAAAGGCTTTGGAGATCCAACTGTTTTTGACAATGCATATTACAAAATCCTTCTCGCAAAGCCTTGGACATCGGCATGTAAGTCTCGTGACAAAGTTCTTGCTACTGTCTCTACAGTTTCATCATCTGCCATGTTCCGAGCTGTTATACTGAGATTATATCCTTACATAGTTTATCTTATTATGACTCCATTTCGGATGCAGCCAAAATGACGAGCATGGTCGGGCTTCCTTCGGATCACGCCTTAGTGGAGGATGATGAGTGCTTAAGGTTTCTCATCTTACATTTACGATTTTCATTTTTGCTATCGATAGTAACATTCAAAAATGATATAAGATTCGTGGTTTGGTGCATAGGTGGGTGAAACGATATGCGGAAGATCAAGACAAGTTCTTCCAAGACTTCACCAATGCTTATACCAAACTAGTCAATTCTGGGGCCAAATGGAAAATGTTATGATTTCTAATTTTACCTTTTGTTAGTTCATAAATGTTTAAAACGTACCTGAACAAGTTTGGCAGTAATGCTTATTTGAGAGTATGAGAAAAGTTATCCTGCCTGTTACTACAGTAAGTACCAACAAAAAAAACCATCCATAAATAGTCAAATTTTCATTTGCCTGCGATGATTCATATGTGAACAAAATTCCCCTGCCAACTAACTAAGAAAAATAAATAGTAATATTGTAGTCAAAATTTACACAAACTTTTTCATATTTTTCTTTCTTTCTCCGGTGGCCCACTGGTCATTTAGCTCCACTAGGGTTTCAATCTTGAATTTTTGTGAAAAAGAAAATATAGAGATAGAGACCACTAACCCCACTTATCCTTCTTCAAGCAAACTTAATAATATAATTTAAACGATATAAGTCGAACATATATTTGGTTGGGCTGTTACTTGAATTCCATTAGTCATCCTCTGTTTTAGTCTTTGGAATAAAAATTCTGTAAATACATTTTGACATGTGATAGTTTATTCAGCATGAGATACTAAAACCATTTTGATATATATACGTATGTTGAGTTGAGCATTTTGTAAGTTGATTTGATTCGTGTAATGTCTTTGTTTGTTTGTTAAAGGTGTAAAATTTGACTACTTATGGTTCATTCATGTAGTAATAACTAATAAGCAAGAAGACATACTTCACATACTGATCGTCGTAAGTAGATGAAGTTTTTTATAAAATCGTGTCGGATTTTCAGTTGAATTCGACGCTTGCTACAGATGATGACATACAACAGTTGTAGAAAAAGAAATGGAGGTCACACAAAAAAAAAGAATGGTAGACCGATGTGAATTGCATAAAAAAAAAGAATATAGTATAAATATAAATAACTTATTTTCGATTTATTAAAAGTATATTAAAAAGAAATTATTTAAGCAAAATTATGTGCGAATATGTATTAGTACTTCTAGTAGATATATTTTTTTCATTGTTAATTCAAATTGAAATCAGTAAGAAAGAAATTAGGATTAGATAGAAATGATGGAATGAGAAAGTTTTGAGAAACATCCAGAAAGGAAGGGTGTCACAGTTGACAGTTGTACCTGTATCTTACCCTAATCACTGGACCAACTTGTCTCTTACTAAAAGTGGTTTTTGTGTCTAATCACTTTGCTTCCTCTTTAATCACTCTCTCTCAGTGCTAATCAGGATAATCATACGTCTTTTCTACTAAAGAAAAGAGTTTTTTTTTAATTATTGTAAACTTAAGTAAAAACGGCACCAAACTTAACTAGTTGGGAACATGGGAGGATCCTTGTTTTCTCCAAATCCTTTTGTAATCTTAATATACATACGGTCTACAATATATGGATACAGGATACCGTAATTAGTTTCAAGTGAAAGATGCACAGTCTGATATATATACACATAGGTACTGTACTTCACACCATCCAATTTTTAATATATACTCATACCCATACACAAACTGCATGATATGTAGTAACAAACACTGGAAACTGCAAAATAACAGCAACTCAAGTTATAGCCGTTTTTTTTTTTTGAACTTTCAAGTTATAGCAGTTATTTATAGTTAAATGCTCTCTAACACATTTTTATTTATTTCTGCTAAAAACAGCTATATTTTGTTTTTCTTGCGATTTAACACCGCTAGCTTCAAGAATTCCATATGAAAGTGTTGGATTGAAAAGAAAACACTTCAAATTCTGTCAGATTATGTCGTGTGAAAGTTTTTAGGTTAGATTTTACAACAACAAAAAATCCCTATCAAACTATCATACTTTAAAAGCTTTAATGATTCTTCACATCTAATGATAAGTCGGGCTAAACTAGTTAAATGTTCAACAATTGATAAAAGTGTTATACAAAAATTAGCGTCACTCATTAACCTATATATAAATATACATCAAAAAGTTGATTCATAAATGTGAACTGCTCTATAAAAACCTTGAGATAGAATTAGAAATAACTATAAGAGTATGAACGCATGATGACCAAAATCATACATAATGTATCTTAGGAAGAAAAGAGATTTGGAGCAACACCTTCTAAGCTTGATAATTGGTTTTTTCTAATTGTTAATTACTATGACTAATAAACTATTAGTTCCTCTGTAGTCAACGAAATAAGTACTGTTAACTTTGACAATTTTTTTAAGATAAAAAAACTTTGATTTGAATTAATTATTGGGCCTACCATAAGCTTTTGGGCATGTACATGTGGGTGCATGTATTTAAATATGAAACGCTTGTGTTCTTTATTGAATTTTAATTTATTAGTAAAAACACTGGTATTCTTTGTTTTGCATAAAATGGGGAATCAGGAATGCTGTACTTTGTTAACTTCTCATTTATCTATATAATCAAAATCTGAAATATAATTGATTGGTCCAAAAAAGAATTCTGCACGTATTAATCTAATTGTATCATTATATTGGTCCAGGCAAATTCAATTTGTATCAGATATGTTCTTTTACCGTTATCAATGTATATATATCGAGGTAATTTTTATGAGTCCTGTCTTATGAGTCTGCAAGGTATTATTATTGTAAATGGGTATTATTGATTGTTACTTTTGAAAAATATGTCCTTAATCTTAAAAATATAATAGTTGTCTGTGTATTAAAATAAAAAATAGTGTAGATTCCATGAGCTGGCTTTAAAATTTCTGACAAAAGGCGCTAATTAACTAGATGAATAAAGTTCCCATTTAATTTCAGAGTAACTTATATTTTAATAGCGTGGGGGATGATAAATATGGTTTACGACCAACATAATTTGCAATAATATGTATAACTAACGAAAAGTTTATACCGTTTGATTAAGAAAATCAGTAGGACATGTCTTTCTCCTTTTGTATTTAAAATTTTAAACCAAAACATAAAGCAATCTAACCATATCCAAAACCCCCCGAAAATCCGGGTTTCTTTTCTTATAACATATATTAAATTTGGACTTGGTTCCCACTTATGTTTCTTCTTTTATTCGACCAGCCACTCACTTATGTATTTTCTAATCCCAAGCTTTTCATATGTTTTTATAACGTCCCATTTAAATTCAGTTAGTGGATTTTACTCAAATTGTAATATGATATATAAAAAGGTTTTATATGCGTATGTGTGAAAGAGTTTACAAAATAATTTAACATCTTGAGGACATTGTGACTAAACCCTTTTTCCTGCAATGATTCCATAAATTTTGTTTGAGACAATATATATGAGTCATTGCAGATCTGCTGCATCCATTCAAAACTAAAGAAATTCATTTATATTTTAGAAAATTACACCATTAATCTCAAACAAAGGTTTCAAGTTGTAGAGGAAGCTATGTTTTTGTACATATTTATTTTTACTAATCCTCCACTATATCTTGTGATGGATAGAGTTGAACAAATTGAAATCAATTACTTAAACAAAAAATCAGTTTTCAGTTGCATATGTTTAAGCTCAGAGTTCGCAATGTATTCTTTGTAGACTTGTAGTATATAAGAAGTAAAGGCAGTCCAAAGTTCACAGTCACACAGCAATTCTGATTCACAAATTTCTGACTTTATAACAACAAAATTAATATGGGTTAAGGGATTATTAGTGGAAAATATTAGAGTTCCATAAAAGTAAAACTCCCCCTCAATCCCACGATTAAATAATAAACCGCCGATTAACCGTAATATCCCTGATGACGTGGCATTAAAATTTCGAACAGCCAGGCGCAGTAATAAATATAAAAAACGTTTTATCATTTTTCTCTCTTCACATTGAAAAAAAATCTCTCACATTTTTATTTTTTATTCACAGACGGAATCAAACTTGTGTAGACCGAGAATCCATCCCTCAGAAACCCCAAAACCAAAAAAAAAATAAAACAACTCAAGAACAAATCGAAATCTCAACTCTGTGAAACCTCATCCTTCTTCTTCTTCTTCTTCTTTCATCATTCCTTCGTTTATTTGCTTCAATGGACGTTTGATTTGCTCTGGGACTGCGTTTGGTGAGGAAGATGTGCGTCTTAGTGTTCTCTATTTTTTCTTCTTTTTTTTTTTTTGCTTGTTTCTTGTTTGTTTGGTTGCTTTGCAAAATGGCGGAAGTTCTTATGAATCTGAGTAACTTATCTACTTGTCCGTTTTCATTGCTTGGTTTGAGTGTCGGTAGATCGAAAGTAGAAACTGTCACTTACCGATTTGCTTCACTATCATGACTAGTGAGCTCAGTACATCGAGATTTAGGTTTTTTTCTGATTTAGATTTGCGCCTGCTTCCAGATTAGATTTGCGTTTCTTTGGATTTGCTATCTTAGATCGATTCAGGAATCGGCAGTTATGTGTGGATGAGTAGCGGAGTGAGTCAGTTTTCTGAGTTTTGTGGAAGGTTTTCTATCGTTGATCAGATAAATTTGTGGGGAATGTGTGTATTGTCTACGGATCCATTTACTTATATGTACTTTGAGCGGCTAAACTCTGGGTATTGGACAAACGAGTGCTTTTATGTTCACCACTTTTAAAATGCAGCTTGAATATTGGTCATTGGCACAATGTTGTAAAGTCACTTGATAAACCCTAGGAAAGCTCTCTGATTTCCTGGGAAAATGTTTGTTGTCTATTGATTGATTTACCTAATAATGCCTGGTTCAAATGTGTGTAAATCTACGTGAGTGGTTTTTTAGGTAAAAAATCTACTCCTCTGCTCAGGAACTTGATTGATTAATGGTGAGCTAGTTTACCTTTTTTTGCCTCTTCACTTATCAGTTTTTGTTCCGTATTTGTTGTTTTGTAGAATACTATGGAGGACCCCGAGAGAATCATGGTTTCTGATGGGACTGACTCTGCTCTTGCAAATGGTGGGTTAACAATGGAAAATGTCGGCATTCAACGAAATGGTGTTGCTTCTGGTGAAATCTTGGATACTACTTCAGAAAGTCAGAATGAGAATTCGGGAGACAGTTCCACTATGGATGTAGTTGAACACCCTAAGGAGGTAGCTGAGGTTTGTAACTCTTGGATGGTCATTTTACTCATCCATAAGATAAACATTTGTAAATTAACATTTGTGTTTTCTCTTTTATATGTAGGTCACACAAGTTGAAAATGTAGATGACCCAAAGTATATTAAAGGCCAAAAAGCACAACGGAAGCCGAAGCAAGAGAAACTCTCAGGTGGTAAGAATGTTCCATCGGTTCATATCAAAAAGAAGAAACAGAACAAAGGTGTAGATGCTAAAGTGGCAGCATCAAATGGTTCTGTTGCTCCTAATGCACACACAACAAAATCTCTAAAGAGCACATCATTTAATGGTAGAGAGGCTCAAGTCACGGAGGTAATCATCCCTCACATTTTGCTTCTAGGTTTCTTTGCTTTGGCTTATACATATTTCTGTGCCATCTTTTTCTTTTTTCCTTCTGCCTGAATATAATTTCTGATATCTTCTTTTCCGTATCAGCATGGTAAGCCAGACTCTGCACCAGCTGAAAGCGCCGCCGGGTATTGAGTCCTCATTTTTGATTTCAAGACTTAAGTTACCATATGACTTAAGTTACCACATGTGCTGACTGCAAAACCTAAAACATTTGCCAATAAATGCCATTTAGAGACTAGACATTGGTGCTAAGTCTTACCATTTATCTTTTAGTCCCTAATCAATCGTTGAAACTGGAGATTTGTTTCTCTCTTTGATACAGGGACAAGGTGAAACCAAAGCCTCAAAAGAAACAAGTTCATGAGACATCTGAAGATGATACTCAGTCTTCTAAGTATTTGTTTGACCTTTATATTTACCACCTCTTCTTTCTTGTGGCAAGCTATTTAGCTCTCACTTTTTTAGCATTTATGTTGATTATAACTTTCTGATTTCTTAGTAGCCCGAAAGCAGACGATGGCAAACCTCGTAAAGTTGGTGCACTTCCAAATTATGGATTCAGTTTCAAATGTGACCAACGGGCTGAGAAGAGAAGAGAGGTTTGCGTTTTGTTTCATTATACTTTTCTTCTCTCCACAAACATGTTTAAAAAGAAACTCATTTCTGCTTTTTATGGTGTAGTTTTATGTTAAGCTTGAGGAAAAGACTCATGCGAAAGAAGAGGAAATCAATAGCATGCAAGCCAAGTCCAAGGTTGTGTTCTAAACCCACTTCCATGTCACACTGTTCTCCACCTGCATTTTTTTTTTTTTTAACTATTGGTTCTCTCTCAGGAAACACAAGAAGCGGAGCTTAGGAAGCTAAGGAAAAGCTTGAACTTCAAAGCGACACCCATGCCTAGCTTTTATCAAGAACCTCAGCCGCCTAAAACCGAGTTAAAGAAGGTACTTTTGCTTTCTTCTCAACCATTTAGTGAAGTACTAATTCCCAGGTTTCATGTAAAATTGTTATTTACTGCCATGTAGATACCACCAACAAGACCTAAATCTCCAAAACTTGGGAGAAAGAAGACTGATTCTGAAGAAACTCAAACCCCTCGCGTCGGTAGGCTGAGCTTAGATGAGAAAGCTTTGAAAGATAACCCGACTGCTAAGGGAATCGTGCCAACAGTTGATCTCAAGAAGCAACCGGTGCGCAAGTCACTTCCAAGATTGCCATCTCAGAAAACAGCTCTCCCCGATGGAAAACCGGCTCCAGCAAAAGCTGTCACAACCTTAGCAAAGGTGAAACCTGAAAGAAAGAAAATTGAAAAGGATGCGGAAACTCTAAACCAGTCTTCACATCCTAAAGAAGAGGAAGCACAAGTGACTCTATCATCCATTGCTGATGCGGAAAATTCACATGAGATCGTATCTCCAAGGATGGATGAAGACAGAGCCGAGTCCGAGTCCATTGAGGTATCTGAAGTGGTTGCTGTTGAGCATTAAAAACTCCGCGTTACGATCATTACCCTCGGGACTCATATCTTGCGTTAATTAAGGAGGAGGACAAGAGGAAAAGAAACCGTATAATATTTATATGTATCTTCGACCAAAACTTATCTGAGAAGAAATGGATAAAAGAGTGAAAAGAACCACATGGATTTGGTTCTTTTGGTTGCTGCTTTTAAATATTTCTGTGTTTGATGGTAATGTTTTTAATCTTTTAAGATGTTTTTTGATGTCAAGATACTGTTTCTTTTTCTTTTGCGTTTTTGATGCTTTGATTCCTACAAGGTTAACATTCGACAGATTCTACCTTCGCTCTGTGTATTCTTTTTTCTCTTCTTTTTTTTCTTTCTTGTTTTTCTTTCTTGTATCAACGAGAGTAGAGCGTGACATCTCTCCCAACCATTGATCAATAATTGATTCGTTCTCGTTTTCACAACCAATAATTGATTATATCCAAAGCGCTGGACCAATCTCAATTCACACTTTTTAACTCTAAGCCTAAGGACACAAACCACTTTAATCCTCTTTGGAATATCAGACTTTTGTCCCAATAATGCAGCTTTGGACTTTTGATACATGGTTGGCTTTTTCCCACACATTAGCATCCATCAATCTACCTCAATGTGCAAAAGATATATATGATTAAACCGGACTTTTGAGTTTTAATTATATTACACCGGTTTAAGATCAATACAAAGAGTCAAGACACAACTGACACAGATGAGTTATAGGTAGAGAAACCATTCTCATAATTAATATCTTCTTCTTCTTCTTCTTCTTCTTCTTCTTCTTCTTCTTCCTCTTCTTCTTCTTCAGTATCCCATAGAAATCGAGCATAAGACGCAAGAACATGACTGTGATAAACACCAATTATCACGCATTAGATTAACATCTACCATGATAAAGTATATTATTATCTGCGGCCACACCACATAAACATCGCAGATGTAGAGAGAGAAAAAATCATAAATGATGTCTCTGTCATTTTCGACGTTTGAGGCTATATATGTTCTGAGACAAATTGACCAACCACTTCTTCAAAGGTTGGATATAGAGCAAATCACATATGATCCACAAAATCATTTACGTGTGAAATGTTATCTTATTATTCGCTTTCAACCAAACCATTCCCATGAAACAATCTATAGCTTGCCATAGCAACTACGCAATTCCCCAAATATATCAGCAATCTTTAAAAATGGGTTAAAAAAGTTAGAACTTGCATCTTGCGTCTAAGGAGACTCTGAACAATTAGCATATAGCAATTATAGTAATGTTATATACTCACCAGTCATGAGGAGAAGATTGAACAGCTTGATCAAAGTAGGACTGAGCACGAACACCGTCTCCGTGATTTTTCCATATCAAATCTCCATACATAGACAACATCTCTCCATCTCTCCCATTCTCAGACAACATCGCTCTCTCACAGTACTCCTCTGCTTTTCTCTCATCTCCTTTCACCTGCAATATCCCCCCCACAAAATTTGGATGGTGGAGCCACAAATTACACGACTTAGTAGATTTTAACCAATCAAAACCTAAAACCAAGAACATAGCAATAATACGTACCAAGTAATAAGATTCATTCTATTTCAGCTTTAACTTTATATTGTCTCTATATAGCATCATGTGGGCTTCAAGGATTGTCAAATTACAGTAGAATACTTTTTTTTCTTCTTCTAATTGCAATATAAATCTGTGACATTGTTTTTCCCCTATATAATTAGCAACTACTATTACAGTAGATTTCTATTCAGAACTAAAACAAATATGGTGTATACCTCTTTGAGGAAACGAGCGTAGTTAGCGAGAAGAAGAGCGTCGCCGGGATAACGTTGGATCATCTCTTCATAATAACCATCTACGCCCCCACCTCCGCCTCCACCGCCACCTCCGGCACCGTCTCCGCCTTTACCGCCAAATCCACCGTTCGAACCTCCCTGGTGGAGCCCGGATCTCTCCAAAATCCTAGAAGACGCCGTTTCGTCGTAGTAGACGCTGGACGTTTTGGTTTTGCTCTCCGGCGCCTGAATCGCACGCATCTCGTAGAGATTTCCATCTGAAGAAGCTCTGGGAATCGATTGATAACCTCGAGGAGAAGCAGAGACGGATCGAGTAGCCGTTACCACACGAGCTGCGTTTGTACATCGTGGAGCCGGCGATTTCTGGGAGGCGCGTAGGTTAAGTTCCAGAGATGACGCGCTTCTCAGTATCATTTCTAGTAGTCGGAGATTTTTTTTTTTAGTGGAGTGTGTGTGAGAGAAGATGAAAAGATATTTATGACTCAAAATATCATAGGAGTCTTACGTTCTTATCAGCCCCACTATTAGTTATTTCTGTCAATTTGACCCCAAAGTTTCAGCATTCATAATCACATCCCTGCATTACTCTAGTTTATTTCTTGGTCTAGAGAGGGAGACAACTTTTAACAGAAATCGAATTGAACCACCAAAACTGAATAAAATCCCGCTAATAATCTAAATATTTATCCTTTTTATCGATTGTATTTTAGTTTTTTATATCTAGGTAATGCATGTTACATGTGATAGATTTGTTCATTCATAATGTTACTAGAGTTAGAGCACTTTGTGAATCAAATATAAACTCTCATATATATAAGACACAACTAACCGAACAAAGCCATAGTCTAGCCGTAACTTTGTGTAGAGTGCAAAATTATTACGCTACTACCAAACTGGATTGATAATATTTAAGAAGATAAAATATTTTACAGCATTTTTTTTTCTCATCAGACCAAAAAAGAAACATTTTGAAATTCTACGACTATATTAATTATAAATCATCTTTAAGAATTAAGATTGAGACTTTGACAAAAGAATACAACTTTTTTGTTGTCAGCAACAAAAGATTACAAATTGATTTTGATCGAACAAAATGATCGTTGTCATATTATCCAAGATTCTAAGGAAATTAAATATTTTAATTTGATTGGACACGGAAATACGTAAGTTACTGGATCAAGGAATTTGATTCTGCCCCACAAATAAGGCTAAGGTGAGATCTTGGGCCGATTTCGACGGTCATAATCAAAGCAAGAACATGGACAATTAAAGAGATCTCTGTTTAAAATGGATGAGGAATGACAGACGGACTTTCGTTGTAATTTAAAGACTAATTGAAGTATTTCAATAAACCAATCGTATATATACTTTTTATTTGCTCTTAAGGTTCCATGCATGTGACTCTTTAATCAAATTATATGTACAAGCCTTCTTCCTCCCAAACATCAACAAGAAAATGCACCATGTCCTGTAACATTTCATCATCATCAATTTTATGAATTTTCTTATCTACGAGATATCCAAATCCCAGATGAAGAAAAATCTAAATAATATCTTCTATTACAGTTATAGTGTCTTGACTTTTGAGCAGGAAACATGAATAATCAATCACCTGAAGAGGTATCGGTCTAGGAAAAGGCTTGTTTGTGCTCAATAAGCTATCATATGTCGAGTTCCAGCTGAAAAAAATATCATAAAGTATGAATTAGATGTACGAGTTTTCATCTTAGCATTAAAGAATTTCGATCTTCCAGTCATATGTTAAACGTAGAAACAAGTACTTTATTATTATTATTTTTTATTTGTCCGAATATTTAATAATACAAACTCTAATAAACAACGAATTTTCAGCTAGAAGATTATTCATTGATTGTCACCTTATTGCAGGTTCTAGAACTCGGCATTGTTGGCTGGTTCTGCATTCGCGCCATTGTTGTCTCGTTTGGTTCCATAGAGCAAGCCCTTCAATGAAAAGGAACGAAGAAGTATTTGTTTTTGGGGGGCATAACTGATAAGTAATAGTACTTGCTTCTGTTAAGGGAAACTTAAAGCAAAGTATCAAATGTAGATGAAGGATGGTAAAGCTAACGTAGAATTGCGTTTTTAATTAGTATAATATTTGTGGTTTTATATATGCATATGCAAATCTTGTAATAACGTATGCAGCTGATTTAGACTTTGTTGATTGATTGCGTTTGCTATAATTATGCTTAATGACTTTTTAAATTTGTTTCCAATGTACTTAACTGGCATGTAGACTCTGCACAAAGACTATATACATGCAATGAATGGAAGATTTTGTTTATGTAAACTTTTCTATGAAATATGTTTTCCATTTGTTTACAAACGAAGTTGGCGTTGAAAACAACCGAGAGGGCTTAGAACGCCAAAGAGAGATTGAAGAGTTACCATGGTTTACAAATTCGGTAGAGTTGCTTGTGCTGCACGGAGGATCAAAAGGTGGGTTTAAAGATTGTGATCGAATCGTGATATTGTGGTCCATATCACATGTACCTGTGCTCCAGAAATCATCTGATGAACCACAACCTTTTTTCACAACCTTCCCTTGGATTTTGAGTCCCTTCGATGGCTCGTCGACTTCCACAACTGAAGACCTCCCACTTTTGCTGTATCCGAAACAATTTAAGCTCTGTACACAAAATCACCATTAGTATATAGATAAGATAAACATTTCATCACCTTTTGCTACGGTTTAATATGTTTGATCTATATATATGGGGGAAAAAAAAATCAATTTGGTTCTCAGGTTGGCTCACATTGATGATGAGAGTTTTGCATTTTGATCTTAGAGATTCCATGAGCCAAATAGGTAGAGCTTGGAAGTAAGCTGCCAGGAATTGGAAGAAAGAGCAACAACTCGTCTTACTAAATTGCGTTCGTGTTTTTGTCAAGAATGAAGAACAACAACACATTGCTAGCTTATACAAAGGACACAATGAACATAAAAGAGAGACTAAAATTGGGAGCGCCAATTAAGAAAAACTAAAGAAACGGGAAGCATAGAAGTATAGTAGGTCTCATAAGACAAGCAAACACACTTAAGCACCAAAATATTCCATAGGTTAGAACTTCGAAACAAGTAAGGCATAATGACATTGTTTAAGTTGGTTTAGTAAAAAGTTTGTCTCTGGCCTTATTTTTTAGTAAAAGGCGAAAGAATAGTTCGCTATTTGCTCACCACATGTCTCTGGCCCTATTAAGTACATACATGATACATTCACATTAATTAATAGAATCTAGAAAGAAAGAAATACAAACAAACAAAAACTTTTTACAGCTTCCAAAAGAAGGGTACTTTTAAACCCTCATTCGTTATTATTTTTATTATAGATTTCTTTACTTCTTCAGGGTAGTCACAGTTTTACAGATAAAAATTCGTGATTCGTGTAATATGATAATTTAATTTATTTGCTAATGTAGTTGCTGTGACATATTTTACAGATGAGACTAATTATTTTTTTTGGACGGGGAGCAAGCAATAATCATTTTTTATGCATTCACACTAATTTTATTCTTTCTAATCAAAAACAAACTAAATTATAAGTACATGCAGAAATGGTTTACGTTGAAAGTATTACCTAATTACAAAAACACGAAATTTCAGCATTAAGTCGTTAAACATTTTGGAGCAAAAAAAAAAAAAAGTCTTTGAACATCGGTTATCACTTTATAAAAGAAAAAGCTGTGAATTAAACCCGTCGGTGAGTAAATTCCTTTATTGGTGCAGGTCTACATAATCCATGCAATAGGGGTGGACCCAGCTGTACCAGATCATTTCCACCCAATTCCACTAACAGCTGCTAGATGGTATTGATTTGATTCCTCATCAACTCCTCCTAATAAAAGTCTATAACCAAATAAAAGGAAAGGGAAGCATTAATATAGTTCCCAAAATACCCTTTATAACGTTAACATTAAAAAGGTCAAACGACGTCGTATTGAGAAAGGACTATAGTCACCACCATGTTCTCCACAGCTTGAGATGCGGTAGCTTCCATTTTTGAAACCATAGCAAAAACAACAGAAGCAAATACGCTCTTTCTCTTTCTCTCTCTCTTGCTCATCGAGCTTCATTTTCCGGCGGATCACATTCGGAATCTTCACTATCTTCGTTGCGGAATCAGAAGAGATCAAAAGATGTTTGATGGTCTCTTAGGCCGCGGGTTTGCTCCCAAAGGGTTTGTCTTCTCTCTTGATTTGCTCATCCGATTTTCGCTCTCTGAATCTATTTTCCGATTTTTTCTCTTTATCTTAAACTTTTTTTTTAATGTGCACATTTTTTTTATATTGGGTGAATTGATTTTTAATTGTGTGATTTGGTTCGACAGAAAACCACTGATAAAACTGACTAAGAATCGGATCGATGTTCTTCGGAGGAAGAGAACTGCGACGATCAAGTTTCTGAAGAAAGATTTGGCTGATCTGATCTCTAATGGCCTTGACGTCAATGCTTATAGCAGGGTATAAGTTTTGTTTCAACTTTTGATTTTGGGTTTTGTGTTAAGATATCCTTGAGAATCAATATAATTCGGATTTTTGTTTAATGGTCGCTTTGAACAGGCTGGAGGGCTTCTTGATGAATTAAGACATCTCTGGAATCTCGACTTTGTTGAGAAGACCTGCGATTACGTATACAAGCAACTCTCTACGATGCAAAAGATGGAGTAAGTGTCAACGTTTTTTTTTGTTTGAGGTTCCATGTTAGCCTAATCTTTAATATGTGTGACTCTTTTTTGCCATCCACCTAGATTCAGGATATATCTCAATTTCTCCTTTAAGTATTTTATGATTTATGAGTAGTTGTAAGTTGTAACATACTCTGAGTAGATGAGAAATTTCTTTGCACATTCTCTGCCACATCAACTTGTTAGGTTCTTTATTGAATATCTAGAACGAAAGTCATTACCTCATATTTTGTCATTTTCCTATTCACACTGTTCCTGTTTACTTAGTAATGTGAAATTTGTTATGTGGCTTAGTGAAACATGAAGTATTTGTTTCTAGGTAGAAACATGGTTAGGTTTATTAGTTGATTTGCGCTTGTGTTTTTTCCAGGGAATGTCCAGAAGATTGTCGTGAAGCTGTGTCGTCGTTAATGTTTGCAGCCTCTGGATTTTCTGAGTTGCCTGAGCTGCGTGAGCTGAGGCAAATGTTTCACGACAGATACACAGATTCACTTGGATTGTTTGTCAACCAAGAGGTAAGAGTTTTTCTATTGTATCCATTTCTCAGTTAAAATCATCTGGAATTTTATATCGCATGCATGGTTAAATCTTGTAGCTTGTTGAGAATATGTCATCAAAGCCCTTTTCTTTGGAGAAGAAAGTGAAGTTAATGGAAGATGTTGCATCGGAGTTCTCTCTTCGTTGGGATTCTAAAGCTTTTGAGAAGAGGATTGTGAGACATAATAGTACTTCAGTAAAGGTATGAAGATGACTGATTTGTTTTAGGTGACAATGAACTGAAATATTTGGAAAGAGACTAAATTATGATATCTCTCATGGACATGAACAGGAGACCCCAAAAATCACTTACAACGAGTACAAGCCTGTAGATGGAAACATGGCCTTGCCATCAGAAAGAAAAAAGGCTACCGCATCAGAAAGAAGAGATCCATTGTTTCAACCTGATAATTATCAGAACGGTATCAGAGGAAATCAGCATGGGCTAACAACTAAAGAGAAGCCAGATAATGTTTGTCAAGCCTCCAGATTGGAAAGCAAGGACAATAGGGCAGAGAGGAAAGAGTACTATGTGCAACCTAAGCAAGAGTCTTCTATAGAAAGACATGAACCTATATTTAACGAAGGCGACACTATAGTAATGAAGGTCAAGCGTGAAAATCAGAATGGGCTAACATCTAAAGAAAAGTCAGATAATGTTCGTCACGCCTCCAGATCGGATAGCAAGGACAACAAGGCAGAAAGGAAACAGTTTTATTTGCAATCCAAGCAAGAATCTTCTAGAGAAAGACATGAACCTATTTTCAACGAAGGTGACACTATAGTGATGAAGATCAAGCGTGAGAATCTCGTTCAAGGGAATGGACAAGGAAATGGTGAAGCTGATGCGCCTAAGAAAACAGAGGCGACAGAGAAACCCAAGCCTAGCAGCACCAAAAGAGCTGACAAGTTAGTCCTCGGCTTTAAACAAGAGAGTTTCTTTAAAGGATACAAACATGAGAATCATGAAGAGCATACACCTCAGAAAGTGGAAGATAACATCTCAAGACCTCCAAAACCAAGTAGTAAATCGAAAAGAACAGAATCTATTGATTCAGGTCGTAGACACCGCAATAATCAGGAGAGCAGAGAAAATGCTGTTCCTGTGGAAGAGAGCACAGAAAAAGACTCATCTGGTGATAACATCAAGGGTGGTGAAAAAGAATATGATCATGCAAATACAACAAGGAAAATTGAGGAGCGAGAAACAGAGAGAATGAAATCATCCTTCTATCAATCCCTTCCACCTCCGTATGTTAAACCAAGCGGTAAAGCAAAGAATGAAAAAGCTGAAGATAAGAAGGTTGCTGGGATAGAGAGAGGAAATGAAGCAGGTCATCATCAAGTGAATGAGATAGATAGTCAATCTCTGAAACGAAGATCCAGTAGAAGAAAACACATTCTACAATCGGTTGGCGATAATGATGACACAAGAAGCAGAAGAAGGGAAAGCTCAAGAAAAGGCCTTCAAGTCCTAATCGACGACGATGACAAGGACAGCGAGGAAAAGATGATGGACAAACTTCTAATGCATTACAGTAAAAAACCTTCAAGTTACGAAGAGAACAATGTGCATCAAGAATCGAAAAGCAGGCGTTCACATAAAAAAAATGCCGAATGTGAAGAGATGATGATGAGTCACCAGCCTGCTCGGTCACGTTCTCTACCCAGTGAACAGTTTGCCGGGCCATCTGAACCGACAAAAACGTTTGCCCGTGCTTCCTCATTTCAGCCCGAGCGTGAAGCTAAGCACGTTCATCCAAAGTTACCGAACTATGATGATTTGGCTGCCAGATTTGCAGAGCTAAAAGGAAGGTAAATAGTTGAAAAGTTTATGCCTAGAAACATTGTATGAGATATAATATTCATAGTTACACATTTTTCTCTTCTTCATAGTTTCTTCCTTTGTCCCAATATTGTATTGCATTGCTTACAACTCTAAATCGGAGAGAGAAGGCACAATGAAATTGGAGAGGTTTAAAATTACAGAACTTCAAGTGCAGTGTTTTCAAGAACTATGTTAAGCCTTGCATCTACATTTTCGGCTCTCCCATGTCTTTTCTTTCTGGCCTCCACGCCTGCTTGTGCAAGCAGAATTAAAAAAAAAAAAAAAAATTTGGGACCTTTATAGTATTAGTCATTGGGCTTCATTATGCATACATAAGGTTTAAAACAGTGTTGCTACGAACAAGGTTGATCATGTTTCAATTTCTTTTTTTTGTTTGAACCTTTTCTTTTCATTATAAACTTCCCAAACAAAATTTGTTAAATTGAAACAACGTTAAAGCCAAAGAACATGACAAACTCAATTACAATAATTATGAGCCTTTCAGGGCCTCCACGTCAGTATTACCCATCTCTGGAGCAAATAACTTATTTTATACAAGAAGTATTCTAAAAATTGACTCTTCCAATTGTTGCATATACCCTCTAATTGATATATTATAGATTTGCATTATAAATGTTAAAAAACTATCTAAGTTATTAAAAAAAAATTTAGTTATTGATAAATATATTAGATATGTCAAACAGACGATATTAATAAAAATCTCTGAATAAAACAGAAAACTAATACTTTCAATTAATGTTTTAAGTTTTATGCACAATTTTTTTTTTTTTTGTCAACATCCAATTCATCAACTGTCTAACTTTGACTAAAATCTTGATTTCTTCATGTATATTATTATCATTATCTAATTGAAGCTTTTCTTTAATTAGTTTCTTAAATATATCAGATTGTGTCGGAAACGTGGGCATTTCTCTTAGAACTATTCTAAGTACACAATTTGGAAATCTTAACAAGTAATCAAAAGTATCGTAAAAGTTTCGATTCTCAACTCTATATATTCACATATATATATAACACTTATAGCATGTAAAACTCATCCAACTCTACTATATATCGTAATCTATATAACAAAATTTATCTTCAAATCAAAATTAAGCTGGGGACAAAATACTCTCTTTCTTTCATTTGATTTTCTTTTATCATCATCTCATTATATTGAAACATTTATAATTGAAGTATTTCAACTAATTTTCTTTTACTATGAAGAGTTTGAAAATACTGTTCTTAGTGATTATAATTGTATCGTACCATTTGAAATCCGGAGATGGCCGGAGGATTCTAAGCATCAAGGATTTTATAACCGATACTAACCCTACGAACGTTGATTATTCTCAAGTAATTGTTTTGTTGTTTAGCCTATTTATCCACAGCTAGAATTATGGTAAATATTTTCATTAGATATTGACCTTTTTTTTTTCTAAAAAAAAAGACATTTCAAGAAGCATGGAAAGGGTTATGCGAAGATGAAAGGTCTGTCGGGTCCGCGCTAGTGATACATGAAAACGAAACATACACTATACAACCACAACTGTTTAAAGGTCCATGCGTATCTTCTTACATTCACATTCAGGTACTTTGAAGCTGTTATAAAATCAATTGATTTATATGAAGATTAATTCTTGCAAAGCATGTTTCTTTTAACGAGCATATAAAAATGTTTATTTGCTGACCAAAAAAAAAATGTTTATTTTAAATTTTAATAAATAAATAGATCATTACGTACACATCAAACCAAACAATTGATACTAATAGATGATGATATTGATATTACCATTTATACATACAAATCATTTGTTCTAATTAGACTAGAGATTAAAAACATCTGGAGTATAATTTGTTTAGCTAAAGATGTTGATATCAATCTCAAGATGCAAACATGTATATCTTTAATCTAAATATAATTAAAACATTAATAAACTGCAGAATATAAAGTGTTCAAGTTTATAAGTAACCTTAACACATTAAAATAAAAAGATGGATTTTAAGAAAATATAACTAATACAATAATATTATCGAAAATCTTATTTATTCTCATATATAAACATGTAAACGTCTTGAACTTTACATGGTTCGTTTCATGTTTAAGCTTTGAAACCCAACTTTATTTTGCTCATACGTATACATTTACTCATATACACGATTCAGATTATCGCATGCATGTATAATTCTTTTTTTTTTCGTGGGTAAGAATAGATTGATGGGAAAATCGAAGCGCCAAAGGCATACGGAGAGTGGAAAAACACAAAGAATATTGATAGTTGGTTATGTTTCAAAGATGTGGAAGGTCTCTTCCTCAATGGCTCTGGTACCCTTCATCCCCATGGGGAAGCTTGGTGGCCAGCTGTTAGCCATTCTAATCGACCTAGAGTAAGTCATGCCCCACACAATCTCTTTTTTTTTTTTTCAATATATATATATATAATATATTTGAATAAGAATAAATAGTTCTAATAAGATTTTTTTATTGCTTATAAACCTCATATTAAACTTAGAAAACTATGTTTAGTTGGTCATTAAATTTTGTTTTTTATAAGTGCTAATGAAAAAAAGATTCTCTTGGATATAGAAATTGAACATGATCACACGAAAAAATGACTATTTAACATTTTTAATTAAACATAATTTAACAAAGAATGATATAATATACTGCATTATTGCTTATTGTTTTTGTAGCATATTGTTTCTGTAACAAATCCAGATGGTATAAATAATTAAGAAAATAAAATATAAGTATATTAAACTTGGTTAATTTTGAAAATCCCACTTTTAGTAGTAATTTGTTCAAATGAAAATATCATGATTATATTAAACTAAATATATCATTTTATTTTATTTGAACCTTTAATATATCAGTTTAGATATATCATTAATAATATTGATAACTTATTACGTCTTGTTTGCATTTACAGACAATTAGTTTTAAGGCATGCAACGACATTATATATAATGGACTAACTCAAATGAATAGTCCAAGAATTCATATTTCAATTGTTGCTTGCAACAACGCAACTTTGTCAAATCTTCATTTAATCGCACCCGAAGATAGTCCAAACACCGATGGCATCGATATTTCTATGTCACATAATATCCATGTCTTAGACTCCTCTATCCAAACTGGTATTTTTTAATTCTTTTCATTTGAATGTTATTCAGGTTTTTTTACATTGATTGAATTAGAGAAAATATGCTAAAATTGTTTTGATTTGTTGGTCTTTACATGTTAGGTGATGATTGCATTGCAGTAAATGGTGGGCGTGGTGGTTCTTCCGATATCAATATCACTCGTGTGGCATGTGGTCCGGGTCACGGTATCAGGTTTACATATTTTGAAGTTGTTTATAGAGATTTAACCAACAAAACTTACGTATAGAGATTATAATTCATCAATTTTAAGTATATGATATTATCTGAAATTTGCCCAACATCAGGCATTTCAAAATAATGTGCATACACGATGAAACCTAATATCTCAAAGAAACTTTGATACTTATTTAAAATTACTAGTTCAATTATGCTGGATTCAATTTATTTTTGTACCCATATATATTAATATTTCACTATTTCAGACGAAATTAAATGATTCGATATATTTTTTATAAGACAAATTCTTTTTAAGCATTAAATTGTTTACTATGTGAAATTCAAAACAAAATGCAGCATTGGAAGTATGGGAAAAAATGGGGAAGCTGACATAGTTGAAAACGTGAACGTAAGAAATTGCAGCTTTTTAGGAACTCAAAACGGGGCGAGAATCAAAACTTGGCATGTAAGTATTTCCTTCCTTTGTAAAGAAATATACATATATATATATACAATACATTTATACATATTTATGTATATCATATTAAGTTTTACATTTTTTTTTGTAGGGTGGAGGAGGGTTAGCTAAGAACATTTTGTACGAACACATTACGTTGACAGATACTAAATATCCCATAATCATCGATCAACATTACTCTAACGGTGGCGACGTAGAGGTAACATTTAAACTTTACAATCGTTTTTATTTTTTTTATCGTTTTTATTAAACATAGATTTATTTTCTTGGGATTCAAACATTTATAAAAATAACTTACTAATCAAATTATATGAGGTATACATAAACCGCTAATAAACTTAAGTAAAATCTACTATATCATTTACACCTGGGATTTGTTAACCATATCTTAGATGGATGGTAAATCATATTAACAATTAGTTAAAATTGGAAAATGCTTCATCTCTTTAGTATCTTAAAATCACGATGCACGTAAAAATATAATTTCACATTAGCTTTTTGAGGTATAAATTTTACGGCTCAGTTCTTATATTTTGAATGCAAATATATTGATATATATGTGACTAACCATGTAGGGGAATGCGGTGAAAGTGAGCAACGTAACATTTAGACATTTTGAAGGGACCTCCGCAAGTAAAATTGCGATAAAATTAGACTGTGACGAAACTGAAAGGTGTCATAATATCGTGATGGAACACATCAACATCACATCTTCATCACCGGTTAAGAATCTCACTACATATTGTAAATTCGCTGATGTGCTTGCTTCATTCGTCAATATCGGTATCAATTGTAGTTCACATAAAAATCTTTCATATTTGCCATTGCCTCCGCCTTTTCATTAAATTATTTAAGGTCTTCCTATAAGTTATTTTGTTTTTTGTTTAAATTTTTTATCTATTACAATTTTAACTATATGGATATATTATTATTGTATATCAAAGTTGCGATGAGCCTATATGTCATTAATTAAAAGTGGACGAAAAACTGTTGTATTTTAAACAATTGAAGACACGATGTTTCCCTTCCACACACTCGTTTATAAGACCACATGGTTTCTCCATAAAAATGTACTACAGACGAATTCTATTTCTCTTCTCAGCTTACTTTCTGGTCATAGTGTTAATGATTTGAAATATTTGAGTCTTCGAATGCTACGAGTTATTACTTGAAGTGAAACACAGTGTTTTAGGTTTATAAATAAGTAACTAAAACATTTTTCTCTTCTTCATAGTTCTTCCTTTGTCTTAATATTATATTACATTGTTTACAACTCTAAATCGGAGAGATAATCACAATTAAATTGGAGAGGTGTAAAATTTCAGAACTTCAAGTGCAGTGTTTTCAAGAACCATGTTTCTACGTTTTAGGCTCTCCCATGTCTTCTCTTTCTAGCCTCCACGCCTGCTTGTGCAAGCAGAATTTTTTTGTTAAATAATTTTGGACCTTTAGTATTAGTCATTGGTCATTATTAGGCATACACAAGGTTTGATCATGTTTCTATATATATATTTTTTTGGAACCTTTTCTTTTCATTTAGGATTGAAATGAAGTGTTTTAGGTTTATAAATAAGTAACTAAAACATTAAAAGAAAACATGTCCCTTTTGAATTTTGATAATTACATTTTTAATCCTCTTTGGAGATCTATCCACAAGAATGCTACCTTTTTTATTCTTTCCAAGAAATGCACATTACATGATATTTTTGTATGCCACAGACAATTATATTACTATATGTAGTTTATAATATAAGTTCAACAGTTTGAAATTTTACATATTTGAATAGGTGTTTCATTTAAAGTATTAGCAAATAAATAGCAAATGCATCCAATGCGTTGAACGCATATTAACAAAGTATATTAAGTATGTCAACCCAATACCAATAAGATAGCATATAGTAACTTTATATATTTATTCAAATTTATTTACTTCTTTAACAAAAGAAGAATTTCGTGTTTCTTTACAAATGTTTGCAAGTAAGTAATCAAATTTAAAATTTACAATATGTATATGGACTATCAACTCTACGCTTGTATAAATACATACAACTTACAACACACCATCTTAAGATTAGATTTGCTAAAAAGAATAATATAACCATTTTCTAATTAATTCAGATAAAAATGGTGAGACACTCCCTCAAACTTCATTCGTGTATTTCATTGGTTTCTTTTTGTTTAAGTATATACAATAACAGTTTTCGCATTGTTATTAGGATTTCGAGTTACTGCTTTCGGTGCTTTTACTAACATCGTTCTATTTGCAAGACGGAAATAGTCAGATGACTCTAAGCATTAGAGATTTTCTATCCGATTCTGATCATACGAATGTTGATCATTCTCAAGTAACTGTTTATACAAATTATTTTATTTTCTACTAATTCTTCAAAAAAATAAATTATTTTCAACTAAAGCATTAAATCAATATTTGATATATAATGCTTATGAAACAGGCGTTTCAAGACGCATGGAAAGCGCTATGTGGAGCAAAGGAGAATGAGGCAAATTCTCTTGTAATTCATGCCAACGAGACGTATACCATACTACCACAATTGTTTCAAGGTCCTTGTGTATCTCGTAATCTTCATATTCAGGTATTTACTAAAAATGATGTTATGGATTAACTCATTTATTTGTAAATCAACTTGTTATAACCTCTTTGCCAAAATAAATAGTCACATTTATAATTATTTATGATTTATTTCTTTTTTAATTCTGCAAGATTGATGGAAAAATTGAAGCGCCGACAATGGTAAAAGGGTGGGGAAGCAAAAAAAGTGAATATTGGTTATGTTTTGAAAAGGTGACAGGTCTTGTTCTCAATGGATCTGGTGTCCTCAATACACATGGAGGAAATTGGTGGTCTTCTGTTGAGGTGTACTCCCGACCAGAGGTATGTTGAAAAACTATTCAAGATGCTGTTTTAAAAGTATATATGCAATATAAAACATTATGATAGATTGATGGTTTTATCTTTGCTTATTCAGGCAGTGAGATTCTTTGCGTGTAATGACATTATCTATAATGGAATAACTCAAATGGATAGTCCGAAGAATCACATTTCAGTTCTTAATTGCGTCAATGCAACTATTTCAAATCTTCGCCTAATCGCCCCTGCAAACAGTCCAAATACCGATGGCATTGATATTTGCCTTTCACACAATATCCATATTTTCGACTCGTCAATCGAAACCGGTATTATTATTTTTTTATAAGAAAACAAAATAATTGAAATATACCGAATAAATATTTATCATGAGATAAATTACAAAACTTCCTTCTTCTTCTTCTTTTTTTTTTTTTATAAATTATATATATGGTTTTCCTACATATTAGGTGATGATTGTGTTGCGATTAACGGCAGCTCGTACGATATCAACATTACTCGTGTGGCATGTGGTCCGGGTCATGGCATAAGGTTCACACATATATTTTGTTTTCATAACATTAGACCAGTACATGTTAAAAAGTTTATATATGATGAAATGAGATCGATTTCAACAGGTATACTAAATATATAAATATGTCGAAATATATTAATCCGATGGTTAAGGTTGACGTTTTGATTTTGATTTTGTTTGGTTTTACTAAATAAATTTATAACTGTGTTTGTTTTTGTTTGGTTGTCTTTTGTATTTTAAAATAATACAGTATAGGAAGTTTGGGGAAAGGAGGGGCCATGGACACAGTACAAAACGTGAATGTAAGAGATTGTACCTTCAGTGGAACGGCGAATGGCGCAAGAATTAAGACCTGGCCTGTAAGTTTTTTTTTTTTTTTTTTTGGAGTTAAAAAACCATAATATACATAATATAAGATATATAACTGATATATTACATTATTTTTTAAGGGCGGACGAGGGTTTGCCAAAAATATTTTGTACGAGAATATTACGTTGATAAATGCCAAATTCCCCATCATCATCGATCAACACTACTGTGATGGTGGTTCCTGTAAACCAGCAGGGGTAATTTTTTTTTTTTACAATAGTGTTTTATATACTATATGGAATATGAAGTGATATTATCTGTAAGCTGAGTTTTTAAGCCTCGAAAATTATTGAAAGTAGATAAAATATCTTCTGTTTTGAAAATTCTTCAGGGCACTGCGGTGAAAGTGAGCGACGTGACATTCAAATATTTCAAAGGGACATGTAGTGGAGAAAGTGATGCAATAAAACTAGATTGTGACAAGAATGTAGGTTGCGATAACATCGTTATGGAACACATCAATATCACTTCTTCATCTCCGAAAACGCTTCTCCACGCGTTTTGCCAATTCGCACATGTAATTAGCCGCTTTGTAAGCATTGATATCAAGTGTGACGCTCATGATCATAAAGATCCTCAACCTCCATCACCGTTTCCTGCTCTAGCTCCGTCAACACCATATGCAAAACCTCCGTCGCCGGATGCTCAACCTCCAACACCGATTGCTCAACCTCCATTATTCAGCTTTCCTTTTCTATACTTTGATTAAGACCTTTCTTGTTAAGTTAGGGTCGTATTTGCTTTTGAAATGTGATTCAACAAGTTAAGAATTTGTTTTTTTGGTGATGTTCATTTACAATACTATATGCTATCATACAAGAGAATACTTTACTTAGCAAAATAAATGAAGAAGAGAATTACTTAGATCCATAGTTTTATGGGTTAATTCTAGTAATGAACTCACAATAAAAATGTGAAATTCATAAAAGAGATACAATTGAGTTATTGATTTTACATAAATCCTATGTTATTCGTAGGCGTAGCCCGTAAAAAACAAAGAACTAGTCACAAAGCCCTGAGCTCAACTAAAAGAAAAAAAAAAGAAGAAGAAGAAGAAGAAGATAAGAGTTTAAACCAAACAGTGTCGAGATCTGTGATCTATGTGTTAGGCGAGACTATGAAATATTAAAATAAAGAGCAAAATACTATTATAGGTAATGTTGACAACATAGTAGGAATTATTAACGTCAATTTGTTTTTTCAAATGGCATTTTTGTAACACCATTGACCAGCAATAACACAAGACTAGGCACATCAAATGTTATATATACATCAAAAATAAATAAAAATTGATTTTAATAAATAATTTATCTAGATAAGTAATTTTTGCTAGTTTTGACAGGTTAGTGCACTTTGAATTAAACACAAGTGAAAAATTTATTGAATTCGATTACTTGTGTGCAACGAATCTTCCCTAATCACTGAGTACAATACTAGGATACGATTCAATCACATAATGATTAACAGAAACATGGACTTGCGAGAAATCGTTACCGAAAAAGTCTATTCACATTCAGAATCAATCAAACGTTGTCGTCTTATAGATATTGGTTAGAGATCTTCTACACTTCAAATTTCACATTGCAGTCGTAGATTTTGGAAATTAGGCAGATGTTATCTAACTAAAAGTGAACATTCATTTTCAAACGTTGAAAAATAAAAAAACAGGGAGGGAAGGAATACATAGTGGGCCCACAGTTAGGCCCATTTAGTCAATAAAAAAACGCCTTTAAGCCACGTAGCATAGCACACAGTCACGCCAAACCTCTCTCCACATTAGACCCAACAACAAAAGTCTCTCACTCTCTCTCTCTGTCCCCTCAAAATCAAAAATCACCACAATACACTGCGCCCTTCTAACCTGCGCACCCTCCCCGTCGCTATCCTGCGCACCACCTCCGTCCTCCTCCGCCGAAGCCACCATGGGAAAAGGCGGCGCACTTAGCGATGGAGTGATCAAGAAGATCGTCCTCTCGTACACCTACGTGGCGATCTGGATCTTCCTCAGCTTCACGGTCATCGTCTACAACAAGTACATCCTCGACAAGAAGATGTACAATTGGCCTTTTCCGATCACACTCACCATGATCCACATGGCCTTCTGCTCTTCCCTCGCCGTCCTCCTCATCAAGGTCTTCAAGGTCGTCGAGCCAGTTTCAATGTCTCGCGAGACCTACATCAGATCTGTGGTCCCGATCGGGGCCTTGTACTCACTCTCCCTCTGGCTCTCTAATTCCGCTTACATCTACCTCTCCGTCTCCTTCATCCAGATGCTCAAAGCCCTAATGCCCGTCGCCGTTTACTCAATCGGTGTCCTCCTCAAGAAGGAATCGTTTAAATCGGAGACGATGACCAACATGCTCTCGATCTCCTTCGGCGTCGCGATTGCTGCCTATGGTGAGGCTAAATTCGACACCTGGGGAGTGATGCTTCAGCTTGGAGCCGTCGCTTTCGAGGCAACAAGGTTGGTTCTTATCCAGATCTTGCTCACTTCTAAAGGAATCAACCTTAATCCCATCACTTCACTGTATTACGTTGCTCCCTGTTGTTTGGCTTTCCTGTTCTTCCCATGGATCTTTGTAGAACTCCCGATTCTCAGGGAAACGTCGAGTTTCCACTTCGATTTGATGGTTTTCGGCACTAACTCTCTGTGTGCGTTTGCTTTGAACCTCGCCGTGTTCCTCCTCGTTGGGAAAACATCGGCGTTAACCATGAATGTGGCTGGTGTGGTCAAGGACTGGCTCTTGATTGCCTTCTCGTGGTCGGTGATTAAAGACACGGTCACTCCGCTCAATCTATTCGGATACGGGCTTGCGTTTTTGGGTGTTGCTTATTACAATCACTGCAAGCTGCAGGCTTTGAAGGCTAAGGATGCTCAGAAGAAGGTTCAGCAGAGTGATGAGGAAGCTGCTGGGAAGCTGTTGGAAGAGAGGGAAAGTGAAGGTGCTGGAAAACGTGATGAAACCGAAGACTGAGTTTGATGATGAAAGGTTTGTGAATCTGATGAATGTGTGAAATTTCAGAGAGGAATAAGAGCTGATGGGATTAGGATGATTTTGGTAGCTTTGGAGGGAATTTTCAGCAGGATTTTGCACATCTTCGGATCGGATCACTACTTTGCTTCATCTTTTTTTTTTGTTTTAGGTATGATCGTCTTCGTCTTCTCATTCTTCTGTTTTTGAGTTTTATTTACTTGAAGCCATGGTTAATTAATATTTACATAGTAATTTGATGGTACAATGTCTTAGTTTATGTTTTAAAGTGTACCACACGAACCTTATGGTCTATGGAGTTTTCTTTTGTCTTCCTTATGCATCTACTATGTTGGTAACAGTTGTTCAAGTAGTTTACTTTATTTCCACTAAGATCATGTTTGGTTCTTCGTTATTGTCATTACAAGCTCTAGTGCTAAATGCGTACAATGAAAATCGAAATAGCCACACAATCTTTTTTCATTTATGCCAAAACTTGGGTCATTCACGTTTTCACCACAGTAAAATTAATACTTCTTTTACCATGGGAAATTTGACTCTCTCTCTTTTTCTTCTCTAAAAGGTTGTACGTCTTTCTCCAACATCCTTGAACATCATGCTCTTAGTGTTATCTAAATGAACTCGTGTCAACGACTTTTAATCAACCCCATATCGTATCAAGTTGTCTTTTGTACTTGGAAGTACGAAAGATTTTTGAGTTGACTCCGATGAACTTTCAAACAGCGATCGTTTGTGTCTCATAAAGACCTGAAGTGGGCCTAAACCCAACCCAATTGGTGTCACACGACAATTTGTCCATTCGATGAAATGTATAAAGTTTGTTACGTAATTTGAGTCTTTGTTTCTCCTAAATTTAGTTGCTTGATAGAGTGACTAGTGGCACCTAGAGGGATTACTTTGGAAGAGATCAATAATGCATCAAGGATAAAATAATCTAGCTCATTCCTCTAATATTTTACTTAATGCTTCACATGATGGTTGATCAAAAGAAGTAAGCAAACAAATGCTTCTTTTATAAAGCGTCTCGGTGCTAGGGTGCATTACAGACAACAATCACATGCTCTTTATTACAGGGAGCATAAGTGCATAACTAAGCATTGTATCACCTAAACTTAGACAACAATCACACGCTCTTTATGTTTGTGTGTGTGCACAAACATAACGAACAAAGCATATCAAATAAGCAAACGGTAAATGTGGATCTCTAAGTGTTTCCACCCAACTTTTCGTGTAAGTTGATTGAAATGTGTCTACGGGCTTTTCTTTTGTGAGTATTAAATGCTTGGATGAAAATTTACTAAACTTCTCAGTATTCTCTCTAAAACATGTGTACTAGTATTTTTCCAAAACAAAACCTGAAAATGTTTTAGTAGTGTTTTTTAAAAGTTCTCGTTACTTTGTAGAATTTCAAATGCATTGCAAAGTTAATAGAGTCGTTCATTATTACTACTTTTTTATAATTCAGCACGATTGAGTTTCGGTTTAGTTTGTTCATATGCGAAAAATATAACACCCAGTCACTTCTTCTACGGCGTTACGGCTCTACATTTTAATGTCGGCAATTATTTCGTGAGATTCTAGATTGGTAGAAATTAAATATTAATATCATAACCGTATTAAATTAAGAAAAATTTGGAGTATTATTTAAAAAAAAACAAAATTAGCTGCAAGAAAATGAAAAAAACAAAAAAAACCTAAACGCAGTCTACGTCCCACCCACTGACTCCATCTACCTACCCACCCAAAAAGGGCAAAAAAACAGCAGCAATATACTCGTTAAAACCCTAAGCTCAACGAAAGAGACGACCCATTGACTGAGAGAGAGATATAACAGACAGACTCTCTCTCTCTCGTCCTCTTCACACGATTCTCCTCACACCCATTTTCGCAAATTTCATTTCTTTCAAACGAAGATGAGTGGCCGTGAATCGTGACCATCATCCTCTGTAAGCTGTATCGTCAAACAAACTAAAAGATCATTACTTTCCGCATCAGAAGCTTCTGATTAGTATGGGGAAAACCGGAATCCAGTTGTTCGACGATTCGAGAAATGGGTTTTTCTCCGATTTCGATTTAGCATGCTCCGATTGGAGCCTAAACAGCGGAACTTACCACCCAGTTGGTGGGTTATTCGCGAGCGTTAACCAAACTAATCCATTCGGATCCGGATTCGGGTCCGGATCACTCTCTTCTCCGAGCAGAGGCAACAACAGCTTATCTGCTCAGCTCAATGATCTCTACACCAAGTATATGCCTGGTAAAGAGGAAGAGGAGGAGGAAGGAGTTAATGGCGAGAAGAAGAAGAAGAAGAAAGGTGCCCTGAAACTGAAGTTAAAGATCGCTAATCCTTCGTTGCGGCGGCTTTTAAGCGGAGCCGTGGCCGGAGCGGTCTCGAGAACGGTGGTTGCGCCGTTGGAGACGATCAGGACGCATCTCATGGTGGGAAGTGGCGGGAACTCCTCCACCGAAGTGTTCGGCGATATCATGAAGCATGAAGGTTGGACTGGTCTCTTCAGGGGCAATTTGGTCAATGTCATTAGGGTCGCACCTGCTCGAGCCGTCGAGGTACCACAATGAATCAATCCATAAAAGTCTTTGTTTAGGATTGAAATGTTGATTGAGCAAGTTTTTGAGATAAAAAGAATCTCTTTTGGATGTTTGAATTGGATTGTCAATTTTTCTTGACCATTTCTCTTTTATACTAATAATATCCTGTTGACTTTTATCTCTCAAAAGTCTTCTGTTGGTTGAAACTGTCATATGGCGAAATGATGAGCCTTTTGTTACTCTTTTTTTATTAAAAAAATTAAACTTTCTTTGTTTCCAATCTTTATATGTGCAGCTCTTTGTATTCGAGACAGTAAACAAGAAATTGTCACCAGAAAATGGAGAGCAACCAAGAATCCCAATCCCAGCTTCATTACTCGCCGGCGCTTGTGCTGGAGTTAGCCAAACCCTCTTGACTTACCCTCTTGAACTAGTCAAGACTCGTCTTACAATTCAGGTTTGGCTCCTCTCGGTTCTAAAAAAAAACAACTACATTCTTAAAAAATGAAATGTCTTTTTCACAAGAATTCAGTCAGATATTGTGCAAAAGTCAAATGGATTTGGACTAATACTGTTTTAGTTACGGCTCATTAAACTGTCTTTCAAACTAATTGCAGAGAGGTGTGTACAAGGGGATATTCGATGCATTTGTCAAAATTATACGAGAGGAAGGACCCACTGAACTCTACAGGGGTCTTGCTCCTAGTCTTATTGGAGTTGTTCCATATGCAGCTACAAACTATTTTGCATATGATTCCTTAAGAAAAGCATACCGGAGTTTTTCAAAGCAAGACAAGATTGGAAACATTGAGACTCTTTTGATAGGTTCTCTAGCGGGTGCACTATCGAGCACCGCGACTTTCCCCCTCGAGGTGGCTCGGAAGCATATGCAGGTGGGAGCGGTTAGTGGGAGAGTTGTGTACAAGAACATGTTAGACGCTCTAGTGAGCATACTTGAGCACGAAGGTATTCTCGGTTGGTACAAGGGGCTTGGACCGAGTTGCTTGAAGTTGGTTCCTGCTGCTGGAATCTCCTTCATGTGTTATGAAGCTTGCAAGAAGATACTCGTCGAGAACAACAACCAAGAAGCCTGATTGTGGAATTGTATTGGACTCTCATGGCGATTTTTAGGGTTTGATCAGGGCAACACAGAGGGTATATTAGGATTCTTAGTTCCAAATTTATACCACTTGAGATTCTTACAAATTACTACTGTCAAGGGGATTCCAAAAGATTCATTCTTTGTTTTTCTCTATGTTGTTGGATTCCTGATTGATCTAATTCTTATTCAAAATAAGCTATAAGAGTTAACACAAATAATTCAAAACTTTAATATACTGAAGAACTCCCACAATGACAAAGTTTCGTTAATGCTCAAAACTGAGAACTTTCAGAGATTCAAGCTACACTACCAAAATGCACAAAACAGAAGACGGAGTAACTATATAGTTTTAGAAATAAATTGTAGTTTAATCAAATACAAGGAGAGAAACTTGGCTCTCCGTGTGATAACGAATTTAATAATGATTTGGCTCTTAGATTCTTGAACAAAACGTTTGTATTAAAGTGAAAAGCTCCAAGATTACAAAAGTGTGAGTCTGAACAAGGTGAAGCAAATAAATATTTATGTATATAAAAAAGAAAAGAATAACAACAATTATCATTTGTAGACTCTATGTATCATTTGGTTTCCACATCTTCTTCCCCACTGGAAAAACTATAACATACAAAAGAGATAAATCATCACAACAGTGACAACTACCAACAATTTCACAACTCTCGGGCTACTCAGAGAAAGCTAATCTTGGACAATAAATCACCATCACCGCCCATTTCACTGGGTTTTTGGGGTTTAGAGGATTTGGAATGTCCCATTGCGTGTTTCCAATATATGCACACAAACGTATATAAATAGAGTCTAAAAGACACCTCCTTGGCCATTGAAGTTGTTGGCATTGGGAGTGACGGAGACAAAGGGATTGATCCTGACCCAAAGCAACGAAAAGATGGAGGCGAGAAGAACAGACCAGACAATGACGATGGTCGGCGTTCGGTTCTGTCTTCCCAATAGACCTTTCAAGAACGGGTAGAGATGTGCAATGACCCATAACGCGAAGAAAAGCTTCCCGAAGAGCGGACCCCACGATTGGTATCCACTGTTTACAGCATAAGAGACACCAGCCACAATGCCTATGAGGTTCACAAGTAGGACGGTGGTTGGTGGAATGAGAAGAGCTGTCCATTTGAAGATGTAAAGCTCTGCGAAATCCCCATCTTCGTCCGAGGCTTTGGACGTGACAGTGAAGTTAGTGTCGATACCCGCAAGAACCTTGAGTAGACCTTGGAAGACTGCGAAAAGATGAGCGGATGTGCCACCGATGACCCAGAACTGCTCGTTCCTCCACCAGTCCTCAATGCTCACACCGCTCCATCTCAGCTCCAGGATTCCAGTCACAGCAATCGAGATGAAGAGTAGAATGAACCAAATACTCGCATAGTTGCTTATCTGCAACAATGTTGTTATAGCTTTTAAAAACAAGATGATGAAGATCGAAAAAAAGAACTTTCACAGGATGGTATTTAAAAAGTAGATAAGAGTGTGGTCTGTTTTACGAACCTCGGGTATGATGAACCTGTCGGTGATGAGGCAAAAAGCGGGAAGGATACAATAGGCGATGAGAGGGATGGCTGTAATAGGGTAGACAATGGTGTTGATGTACGCGAGTCTCTCCAAAAGTTTCAACCTTCCGGTGTAGCCATACCAGATAGGGCAATGTCTGCTCAGAAGAATCTCGATAGATCCCAATGCCCATCGAAGAACTTGGTTCAAACGATCAGAAAGATTGATTGGTGCAGATCCCTTGAACGCAGGGCGTGGAGGATTGCAGTAGATCGACATCCAACCCCGGGCATGCATCTTGAACCCAGTAAGAATATCTTCTGTCACGGAACCGTAGATCCAACCAATCTAACAAAGATGCCAAATAAGATGTCATCAGAGAGGTGAGAAAGAGAAAGAGAACAGAAAAGTCTGTGGCTGCATTTGAAAACTGTACCTCTTTTCCCCATTCAGTCTTGTCCTCGTAACCACAGCTTATAACATGAATAGCCTCTTTGAGAAGAGTAGCGGGATTGGTTGTTGGTGGAATGCCACCTTGTTCCATGAAGGTGGCCGCAATAAATACCGGCGATTGACCAAAACGCTTCTCTACACTCTTTTGGGACATTAGAATAGACCTCTCATCATCATATCCTGCATAAACAAGAATCGTAAGCTTATAACATTACATGAAGAAGTGATGTTATTAAACAATCAGCGCAATCAAACCTTCAAAGCCCTCCTCGATGTCTTCCATATTGAAAAGTGGAGCATTCGAGTCACTTCTGTTGATGCCTCTCCTTTTTTGATCATAGTTATACTTCTTGCTGTTCTTTCCTTTCTTCCTTGACCCGCAACAGCTCTTCACAATAATATTAGGTTCTAAATCTTCCTCCGTCAAAACAGGATCATACCCATATAGAGCTTGCCTATTGAAACAACAACCAGTACCCACATATACTGGACCCTGGATACCATCTAACCCCTTCAAGTTAATCTGCCCAGGATAACAAATATCAGGGTCAGCCCATAGCAGAAACGAGTATATCCAACAAAAATATGAACAAGCGAGAAACAAAAGATAGTAGAGTGAATGAGGGAGTGAAACTCACATCAAAGAAGACGATATTCCTGTTGGCGTATCGATCATGCAAATCAATACCGTCAAAACGTTGTGGGAACTGGACATAGCAGCACTTCTTTCCATAAGCAGGGTCCATCATGAAACACATGGCTTCTTTAATAGCCTTGCTGTTGTTAAAGTAGTGATCACAATCGACGTTCAGAAGATAAGCTCCATTCGTAAGAACAGCAGAAACACGGATCTGTCAATGTGAAGAGAAGCTAAATCAGGACAGATCACATTTTCCTAGACGAAAGAATATGAAGCGAAGGCTGTACAAGGAGAAGTTTCCTAGCCACTGAACAAGAGAACAAAATAGAGGACACAGTAGGATTTTGAAAGCTAACAAACCAAGGCATTCATAGCTCCAGCCTTTTTGTGGTGTTGAAATCCAGGCCGCTTTTCACGAGAAACATAGATAAGCCGAGGCAGCTCATTTCCATCAGTATCCAGACCCCCACTGTGGCCTAAGAACACCTGAAATTGAAACAAAACGATGTAGCGTAAACAAAATGTCCTGAATTATTCCCTTGTAGGTTATTCTTTCTGGACTAATCAAAGTGATTGCCTCGTTGTACCTGTATCATTCCAGGATGATCTCTAGTGTTGTTACCAGGCCAAGGAGTACCATCCTGCATTGTCCAGCCTTCTTCAGGGATTTTCTGTGCTTTAGCAACAAGTGCGTTGATCCTCACCTTAAACTCCTCATACTCTCTCTGTCATTACAAGCCAAGTAAATGTTATGAGTCAATGTCTAGTTTTCCTAAGGGATAAGAAGCAGATGGACTTTTTAAATGACCTTCATAGCTCGTCGCTCTTTAACAAAAGAAGGCTGGATCTTGTCCTTCAAGTAATCTATCTTCTGGGCAAAATAGAATTCTGGGGCCCTGGGTTCAATGTTGAATTTCTTGCAAAATGGTACCCATTTCTTTGCGAACTCAGCAGTTTCAGAAAGGGATTCGAACGTAAGCATAGCCGAACCATCATCTGAGACATAACAGGCTACTTTATCTACCGGGTAGTCCACAGCAAGAATCGAGAGAACTGTGTTTGCTGTTACAAGAGGAGGCTCTTTCAGTGGGTCCACCGTACTAACAAACACATCAACAGGAGTTAGCTGTGATGGTTCACCGTCTCGATCATATCTACAATAAGAAAACCAAAATCAAACCATTGGAGATAATATGTATACTAACTAAACTCTCTTCTCATCAAGCACTTCCTTAGGCATGATTCTCATAATCTAGTCTAAAACTTCACATTCCAAGTATATCACAGAAGGTAATTTTATAAATAATTTTCAGATTTGCAGTTAATCACAACCTTCTTCATAATGAAATTAAATTTACAGTGGAAAGTCAACTATCAAAACTATGGAAGAAGGTATCAATTTAGAACCAAGAAAATGAGATAAGAGTAGGATGCATAAACTTGACCAACCTTATAGCGAGACGGTCAAGATAAGTCTCCCTGTTAATGGGGTACCATTTGGGAAACTGATCAAGAAGCCAAGAAAATGCAAACCAGATCTCACAAATAACCGAGGTCAACCACAATGGATATGCATTTTTCACTGGGTGAGTTGTACGATATTGCAAGAAGAATCCCAAGATGATAAGCCGGAGAATGATCACAACTCGATAAGGTGTCAGATGAGAAGACGGGATAGGCACCACACGACTCATAGGAAGTCGCGTATCATCAGCCCTGAAAGTACGAGATCCAATATTGAGTGGAAAAACAAAAAAAATCTCAAATGTGAATAGAAGATACTTCATTATGTCCAAATGCACATTGCAAAAATGCAACGAAACTAGAGCATATAAAGCAAAAAAGACACTGGGTTTAACTTACATTTGGAGTTCTTCACCGTTGGAACCAGTTCCTTCAATTTCTCCTCCTTTCCCTTCATGGTATTTACCAGTCATCTGTAACATATTCTTCTCCTGCTTCAGCTTCCAACCTTCAACCCTTTCTTTCCAGTCAACATTTCCAAGCCCATAAGAGTTCAAGTCTTTCGACGGGTCCACGATTCTTACAGGGACTGCAATTTCAGAGGGAGCTATCAGTTACAGTACCCAAAAAGTTGTAAATGAATAGGAATCACGCCTAACGAAGGCCTGGTGCACAAAGCAGAAATTTAAAAATTACCAGGTTGCCTTGGGTCGATATATGGAGATGAAAGAGCATTCCTGTCAGGAGGCCCCAAAGGACCTGATGTAGTTCGCACAGATTGTGTATCAGGCGTGCGAATTTCACCAGAAACCTGTGTATAGAAAAGGTTAAGAACCTATTAAAAACAGACACAACGAACAATATAAATCATAATTTCTGCACTTGGAAGAACATGTATTATCAGAAAACTTTACTGTTAATATTGTTCAATCTAGCGTTGATGTGAAAAGCAAAAATGAAAATGTCCCAATCTAGAGATTTCTTGAGTAGTATAAATCCTCTAGACTATTATGTAGGTCCCTACCGTATGGCCATGGGTGAGAAGAGGAATTGGTTGAGATTCATGTCTAGAGGACGAAGAAAACTCTTCACCGTGGCGTTGGCGTCTCGCTTTGTTAGCTCCCTGGGTGTAATTGAACTCATTTTCGATGTCATCAACATCATCCTCATCTTCATCTCCTTCAACACGAGGACTCCCTGCAACATTCAAAAAGTTGTTCAACACATCAGCAACGAAGACTAAATAGAAAAATCCATATGGAATGAACACAAAAAAAAAAAAAGACAACTGACCCCTGTGTCGTCTGTATCTAGTCTTGCATTGCGGGCAGCACTGAGTTCCGTCTTTCCTCTCGTACTCATAGCAAGGCCGACACACCGGGAAGGCACATTCATTGCAAGCCACAAAGACATCTCCAGTTTCAGCGAGCCCAACATCATCACCACAGATCTGACATATCTGACCATTCATATTCTTCAAAGGTTTGGGCTGCAGTTACACCAAAGTTACAACATTGTTAGTCATCGAGTATTAGATACTATCGGAACAGACCAGTACGGATCTAAATTCCAAAACAATCAACGAGAGCCATCTCCGAATCAATGCCGATCTGAATTAAGGCGAGTCACAGTCATGGCAAAGTAACAATACAGGAAATGTGGCCCATGCGTGATCTAACGAGATCTAGATGAGCTAGAAATTCAATAAGTAAAGTACTGGACTTTGAGAGCCAATAATAAAAGAAGCTGACGAATTAAATCCTTGGATTAAGAATCTAAAACTGAAATCCACCGACACTTTCCGTAAGAGGAAAGAAAAGATGCGGCATTAGTTCATAGATCCGGAAATGATCACTAATCACAACTATTGAAGTCTTGGAACAGAAAAGTTTCCATTTTTCAGCCACTTGAGACTAACCCAACTACACTAACAGAAGTGAAATCTCAGTGGAAGATCGGAATCTGAGTTTCCATGATCCAATTTTTGATCCAAAAGACATAATACAGAAGAGAAAATTAATGGAGAAATCTTGATGAGATCTACCCATCAAAATCGTAAGCAATGAAAAACAAAAACACCAAATGAAGAAAAGAAGAAAACTGAGAAAGCAGAGATGAAACTAACCCCGCCGTCAGATTCGTGACGGATCCGAACGAGCTCGTTTCTCCGGTAGGATCCGGCAACCAAGCCGGCACTGGCCTCCATCGCTGATTAATGACTGAGGTCAACGAGAGAGATTTACAAATTGAATTTGGAAATTCTTCGCCGATTCAATACGGCATCTCGAGAATCCTCTCCACTAAAAAGGATGTTCACACTGACACTCTCTCTCTATATCTATCTTTCTCTGATCCAAGCTTCCTCTTCAACAATCGGCTTTACCTATTTTATCGCAGAGTGTTTCTATTTTTCTTATTTTAAAATGACAAGTAGATATTTCACCGACGGAGACGATAGCCTCTTCCTCTCCCACTGTTCGGCTCAGCTCGGCTAAGGTTGTCTCACTGTTTTTAAAGCCGAGCCGTTAGTTTCTCCCCCACTAGACGCGCCAGCTACTATGTGACGTGGCCAAATCTTATTGCAAGAAAGAGACAGGACAAAACAAATTATCATTTTTATTTTTAAAATATAATCCACGTTGTTCGCTGGTCACAGCCTGTTTCTCTTATTCGCTATATCACCTGTCGGTGGACACAAAAACTAGTGTGATAATAGGTTCAAATTGTTAGCTTCAAAAGTTGTGGGCGAATTTGCAACCAGCTAAAATGTCAATATTTTGTAATTTATAGCCAGTTTTTTATTAAAAGAGGTAAGCAAAAAAATATACATACCAAAACCAACTCCGCAACGAATTATATTGGAAGGTTACCATTTGTCGGAAATTTGGCAAAAAAAAAAAAAAGGAAAATAAAGATTTGTCGGCAAACATCAACAATGATAAAATTATAAGAATGTTGGAGCATCAAACAACCTACAATATAATGCAGATGTCTTACGTAAGTAACTACTTTACCATATTGCGGGTAAAGAAACCAGCACTTAGAACAATGGTGGATCTATAAAGTATTTTACTAGGGTTGTAAGTTGTTTATTCTCTTAAAAATTATCTCAAATATCTCAAGTGTATCATTGTTGTATGTAACATGGAAGACTGACTTTATTCATTAAAGAAAAATCTTGTCTATTTGAAGTTCAACAAATATCATATAATTAACTGAGTGCAATGCAAGGCACCATAAAACCGAAATGTATATTACAAAAGGTTAAACATGAATATTAAAAAGGGAAGGGGTGTCACTTGACCCCGTATCATAAGACATGGGTCTCTGACTTAGAGGTTATTATTAATCATAGGCTACTAATGGCTTTTTCCCACCTGAGCTATTATCCGAGGATGACGAACTTGATTTCGATGGAGACCTTGCTTTGGATGGTGATCTTGACAACGATCTTGCTTTCTCTGTCTCAATGGGAGATTTTGAATATGATCTTGATCTTGACCTCGATGGACTTAGGCTGCGGCTGGAGGATGGTGACCTTCTTTTTCTAAATGGTGAACGGCTTCGGATTGGGCTGCGGCTGTAACGCCGGCGATAACGGGGACCAGGTGATACAGAGGGGCTTCTTCTTCTATACCTGAGAATAATATCCAACTGTGAAATCAACAACTAATTTCCTTTGGAGCACCAACTTTAGTTCTCTATTCCTGAGTCTTTTAAATGTTCAAAAGGACAAGTAGAAACCAATGTACTGAAGAGAAAAAAAGCAAGTACCTTGGAGGTGTTCTTGCTCTTAATGGACTTCTAAACCGTCTTGGCGAGTACCTCCTGTGACTTCGAAATCTACACACACAAAAAAACGTTATGAATAAGGGTCAGCATGTGAGTGGGAATGTGTAAAACAGAAAAAGGGTTTTCGATTGGGTGCGTGATATTCACCTGTCACGGTCACTCCTATCACTAAAGCGATAAGGAGATCGATCAGGAGATGGAGAGGTTCTGTATCTACGAGCGTAAGAGTATCTCTGGCTAAATCCTCTCCCTCTCCTGATGCGCCCATCAGGAGAAGCACTTCTTGATAAACTTCTTCTACGATCATTGAGAGGGGATCTAAGCCGGGGACTCCTTCTCCTCGCCTGAATTGGACTTCTACTCATTCTTCTTCTTCCTCTAACAGGACTCCTGCTGATACTTCTCCTGGATGATCGAATCGGACTCCTGCTCACACTCCTCCTAGACGATCGAACTGGACTCCTGCTTACTGATCTCCTAGGTGATCTAATGGGACTCCGGCTCCGGATAGGACTCCGGCTAAGGCTTCTTCTAGATAATCGGATAGGACTCCGGCTAAGGCTTCTTCTAGATAATCGGATAGGACTCCGGCTCAGGCTTCTTCTAGATAATCGGATAGGACTCCGGCTCAGGCTTCTTCTAGAAGACCGCACTGGGGTTCTGCTAGGTGATCTTCTTGATGATCTTCTAAGTGCGCCCCTCCCAAGGCTTCCTTGAGATGCAGATCTTACGGGGCTCCTGCTAGGGCTTCGGGCATTCCTACCTCTCACTGGACTTCTGCTAATACCCCTTTTAGGGCTCCTCAATGGACTTCTGCTTATACTCCTTGAAAGACTTCTACTAATATCTCTTCCCCTTTTCATCCGCACTGGACTTCTACTAATACTTTTGGTAGGGCTCCTCCTAATTTTTCTGCGTTTCTCCTCACTCCCTGGGCTTTCGCTTCTACTGTTTATCAAGTTCTTCACTTGTCGGCTACCTTTAGCAGGACTTCTGACCACATTCCGTCTAGGACTTAAACTCGGGCTCTTACTCTGACTCCTCCGGGGACTAACACTCGTGCTCTTACTCGCTTTCCTCTTAGGACTGAAGCTCCGGCTCCTGCACAGCAACTTTTTCATAAGATTCCATATGGGAGAAGAGAAAGATTACCCATTAACTGATATGTTGAGAGATTGGAAACTAGACCTAGATTTGCCAGGATGATCATCGACAACATCAGGTTGCCTATCAGAAATGTGTTCTGATGCACCGTCATCCTTGTCAAGCAAATCCGGACCCTCCCTTTTGTCCTGGTGAAGTGATTCAGCTTCTTTTTCTACCCCTGGTGGAGAATTACCTGATTGAATATTGCAGTCAAAAACAAAATAAGTACGGAAACACTATAAAATGGCCTATAAAAATTAGGGGATAAAAATTTGATCAACATGATGCTTAAACGAAAAGCAATACTGGTACTGAAATATGTTGTTTCAAATGGCACCCCAAAGCATTCTGTCCCATCCATTGGAATCAGAAACAAATCAGAGAAAATGATGTTTGCAGAAACAGAAGCTAAACATCTAAGTTTTAGAGATTACCGGTTCTATTCAAGACTCTGGGTTTCCTCTTTTTTGCCCCAATATTAACGTTAGCATCACTAAAACTTGCTTCACTTCCACTGTTGCCTTCTTCACCTGTAAGGCTGTCTGGGGACCTGAAAGGTTGCAGAACACAAATAAATAACTCTGATACACAACCAGGTAATACTAGTTCTACTGGTAATACTAGTTCTACTGGTTATATTAGTTCTACTGGCACATGCTCAAAACAGAAAAGACCTACTGAAGCAAACGATTGTTAGGATGCCTATCAAATTATTACGTACGAGCGGGACAAAATTAATCAAGCTTAGATCCATATAAATTGGATCTCATAATACACAGTATTTCCTATTAAAACCCATAGTTTTCTCCTAAGCAGCAACTCTAAACAACTGAAGTGTACAAGACTTGCAAACCTTTTGGACTTGCGTTTCAATCTCTTATCGCGCAGCCTCCGCTTTTTCTCATGGCGCTTATCTCTTCGTTTAGACCGCCTGTGCTTATCTTTCTTTGAATTTCTTTTTCTCTTCTTCCGCCTTTCATGGCTCGAGGAACTAAGGTCAGAGGATGACGAATCGGAATCTGACTCACTATCAGATTCGGAGGAATCCGTTTCAGAATCTGAAGAGCTTTCAGACTCAGATGAGTAGTGTTTTCGCCTCTTCTTTCTTCGCTCTCTCGAAGATTTCTTGTGCTTTCCCCTTTTTCGACCATCAATAGTATTACTCTTCTTGTCTGCATCGAAGAATCATGCAATGATGAGGATTGGTTATGATTGCGAACTCGCGACTTATTTAGCAGTAACCAATAGTAGAATACTTGTACCTCCAGTATATTCTCCACAACGAATTATCTTCACGCTAACAGTAGGTTTACCTTCCTCGTCACCCACACGTTCAATTTTTTTTAGTACCTCTTTGCCTTGAATAAGCTTTCCGAATACAACATTATTCCTGATGAAAAAACATAAATGTCAGAGATGAAGCAACGCCCAAAGAAAAATCCACAATTACTGAAATGATGAATCAGATATATAATTTATTCAAGGGTCTTAAAAAATAAGCGAAGTAACACTAAGAAGGAAACCTATCAAGCTGATGATTTGGCCTGAACGTAATATGAAAGTGTGATCCCAACTTGTCTCGTTCAGAAACAGCCATCGATAAAAGACCAGGCTCCTCATGCCTTAGTTTCGGTGACTCATCTGGTAACATCAGAAATTGCTTTAGCTTCTCACTATCATATTTCAAAGGACTAAGAAAAACATATCATCTTAACAAAGGGACAAGCACCAAATATTCACTTAAGCAATGCCTTTGAAATGTAATTCTCTTTGTTAATACAATATTAAGCAACGAACAATAAAGAGAAGAGATATCAATAAATAGACTTTCCAGCTTCTCATATGTTGCTGAGGTAAATGAAAAGAGATAGCTGATAGAGAACGCAAATGTAAACCGACCTGGAAATTTTCCAGCATATATGCTTTCCCCAGCGGTACCTGAAAAGTGGATGAAATATACAAAGATGTTCAGAGGATAAGAATTTTCTAAAATAAACTGCATAATATAGTACGCTATCTTATGATTCCAAGAACCTCCACAATCTAATGAATGTAGTTCCATGTAAACTTCTTATCAGATAAATATCGATTACAGAAATGAGATTTTATTTCTTTATCACAGTAAATAATCCCAAAAAACTGTGTTTGCACCTATGTAAGATCAGAACAGACAAGTATTAATAAATGTAACGGATGCTCTACTTGAAAACTGTAGGCCAGAAGCCAAACTTTATAATTAATGTACATACCATCTCGATTCACAAAGTCGCCAGCCTGAAAAACAAAAAGTAATAAAGGTTGTTAGACCAGTAGCAACCATGAATTTGGTCATATATATAGTGTAGTCGTTGCATGATAAGACCTAAGTTTGAGCATGTACAACTAGTAGTACAACCTTAAAACTATATCACATGAAAAGCAGGTGTGGCGATGAGACCTGTATCCTACAGCATAAAGAACAGCAACGGACTAAAAGGCGAACACCCAACCAATGTTGAGAGAGAAATAAAAAAAATTATAAGACTGAAACATCATAACAATAATAAATGAAAGGTGCAGAAAGAAACCTGTGCTGAGTAACCTTTCACTATTCTGTGAAAAAAGGATCCTTTGTAATGCAAAGGTTTTCCACTTCTGAGTCCGATGCCTTTCTCCCCTACACAGATTTTATAAGGCGAAATAAATGTTAAAGGAGAAGGAAAGCCAAAAAATAAACTTATATACAGCAAGGAAGCAACTAGCTTAGCCAGACAGGAGACAAACCTGTGCACAGTGCACGGAAATTTTCTGATGTCTTGGGAGCGACTTCAGGAAAAAGCTAAAGAAACGAAGTTCACAATTTCAACACTTGTCCTTTATCAGGATAAATACAAGCAAGAAAACCTTAACATAGCCAAACACCAAGGTACCTCAAAAACCATAGTCTCAGCTGGATCTCCATCAATGCATACATCCATATAAACCTGCGGATTCTTCTTTTTTGCCATGTTTTTGATATAGCTCAAGGTATCCAAAGTTATGACCTGAAAAAACCAGCGAATACACAGAATCACACAAACGAGACTTGAATATCAAATAGTCACGAAGAGTAACGCTGAACCAAACACTCAGGATAAATATAATTCAGTCATAGTTTTCACCTTCTTCGAAGACACAGATGATAATAGCACTGAAAAAACTAAAATCGCACACTAAAGGATACTTCACACTGGCCACAAAGCAGCAAAACAACTCTACAGTCAGTGACAAATAACCGGAAAATTATAGAACTTCTACACCCATCAATTAATGACAATGTCTTGCAGATATGAGATAATCATGAGCTGAACAATGTACAGGATCAAATAAACAGCATGCACGCGAGATAAATCGTTAAGCAATCCATCCAAATTTACAATTTCTAGAGAAAAGCATGCTCAGAATCACTCAGAACTAACAAGGACCTTGACGTTCCAAAGACAGAGATATTCACCCAAAAATTTATGGCACCAAATAGACTAAACCGGTCATATCAGTGTAGAATTATGCAAATTATGACGAATTCGTCGCTTATGGTTCAGCATGAAGAGAGTGCAAATCGGAGAACTACAAAGAGCAAAGAAGAAGGTTCAGGTCGAGAATCGCTAGGGTTTTACCTGAGAAAACGCCAAGCCACAGGATAGAATGACTAAGCTTGAGAAAAACCTAGCGGACACTTTAAAAAGAACAATCACCAGCTTGTCCGTATTGCCCTCTAACTCTTTCGTAAATCACAACTTTACCCTCAAAACTCTATTTTGCTCAGTTCGTCACCATTTCCCACAGGAGCTAAAACCTCTCTTCTTCATCGATAATCCATTCGTCGGTAAATTGGAATCCGACTAGTTTGCTTCTCATGACCCTTCTGAGTTACTTACACTGTAATCCCTCAAAGTCCTTAACTTTTCAAAGGTTTTGCTCGCCTTCTAGAATTGCTCACAAGCTGTTCGATGGAAGTTCCCAAAGAAATGCGACAACCTACATTAACCATTCAATCAGTGAATCCTTACGGAGAAACTCTCCGGCGAAAGCCCTTGCGATCTTCACGGAAAATCTCCAGCTGGGTTCTTCTGGGCGTATTATGGACGAGGTCACTCTTTGCCTAGCACTTAAAGCATGTCGTGGAGACCCAAGACGTGGTTGCCAAATCCACGGATTTTCCATAACGTCTGGTTTTACTTCCTTTATCTGCGTTTCAAACGCTGTAATGGGTATGTACCGAAATGCCGGTCGATTTGGCAATGCTTTGTGCATATTTGAGAATCTGGTTGATCCTGATGTTGTTTCTTGGAACACTATACTCTCTGGATTTGATGACAATCAAGTTGCTCTGAATTTTGTTGTTAGGATGAAATCCGCCGGAGTGGTTTTCGACGCATTCACTTATTCCACCGCTCTTTCTTTCTGTGTGGGCTCTGAAGGATTTCGTTTAGGGTTGCAGTTGCAATCTACTGTGGTGAAATCTGGACTCGAGTCTGATGTTGTCGTTGGGAATTCGTTTATAACAATGTATTCGCGGGATGGAAGTTTCAAAGATGCTAAGAGAGTTTTTGATGAAAAGCCGGTTAAGGATATGATTTCATGGAACTCTTTGTTGTCAGGACTTTCTCAAGGTGGCAATTTCGGGTTTGAAGCAGTGCTTGTCTTTAGGGAGATGATGCGAGAAGGGGTGGAGCTTGATCACGTGTCTTTTACTAGCGTGATTACAACTTGTTGTCACGAAACCGACCTGAAGCTAGCCAGGCAAATCCATGGTTTGTGTATTAAAAGAGGTTATGAAACACTTGTTTCTGTTGGTAATATGTTGATGTCAAGCTACTGGAAGTGTGGGGTTGTAGAAGCTGCGAAATCAGTGTTTTACCAAATGAGTGAGCGGAATGTTATCTCTTGGACAACAATGATATCCGCGAATAAAGATGCCGCTGTGTCCATCTTTCATGAGATGCGGTTAGATGGTGTTGTCCCAAACGAGGTCACATTTGTTGGATTAATCAACGCTGTTAAGTGCTATGAGCAAATCAAAAAAGGGCTTAAAATTCACGGGATATGCATCAAGACTGGTTTTGTTTCGAAAGTGTCTATTGGCAACAGTTTCATCACCATGTATGCCAAGTTTGAGGCTCTGGAAGATGCCAGGAAGGCTTTTGATGAGATAAAAATCCAGGAGATTATTTCCTGGAATGCTATGATCTCTGGATATGCTCAAAACGGATTCTCACACGAAGCTCTCAAGATGTTCTTATCAGCTGCGGCAGAAACAATGCCAAATGAATACACTTTCGGAAGTGTCTTAAGTGCAATAGCTTCTGCAGAGGATATATCTCTAAAGCATGGTCAGCGTTGCCATGCTCATATACTGAAACTGGGTTTATATAGTTGTCCTGTTGTTTCAAGCGCGCTTCTTGATATGTACGCCAAGCGTGGGAGCATCAATGAATCTGAGAAAGTCTTTAACGAGATGTCTGTAAGGAACCAATTTGTTTGGACGTCGATAATTTCGGCCTATTCAAGCCATGGGGATATTGAATCCGTGATGAACTCGTTCCAAGAGATGGTTAAAGAAAACATAGCACCAGACCTGATCACTTTTCTGTCTGTGTTAACAGCTTGTAATAGGAAAGGTATGGTAGAGAAAGGCTATGAGATTTTCAACTCGATGACCAAGGACTACAATCTTGAGCCGTCTCATGAGCATTACTCGTGTATGGTCGATATGCTTGGCCGAGCTGGGAGATTAAAAGAAGCAGAGGAGCTTATGAATGAGGTTCCTGGAGGACCAGGAGTGTCGATGTTGCAGAGCATGCTCGGGTCTTGTAGGCTGCACGGGAATGTGAAGATGGGAGAAAAAGTGGCTGAGCTTGCAATGGAGATGAAACCGGAATTGTCGGGTTCATATGTTCTAATGTATAACATCTATGCAGAGAAAGGACAGTGGGAAGAAGCTGCAGAGATTAGGAAAAAGATGAGGAAGAAAGAGGTGAGGAAAGAAGTAGGAAGCAGTTGGATTGATGTTGATGACAATGAAGGTTCTTTAACGACGCTTGGTTTCTCTTCAGGGGATACGACTCACCCGAAATCTGAAGAGATTTATAGAATGGTGGAAATTCTTGGACTGGAGATGAATTTGGAGGGGAAGTTTGATTGCAGTTTAGAGAATTTTAGTTGTAGGAACCCAGTGAGTCTGTGAGTATATATGATATGTGATTGTGATTGTTGTTTTATTCACCTACCTGCATTGATTGGTTTTGTAATGACCATGGTAAACCGGTTTAGCATGGTTCTCCAATTTTGACCTTATTGACCGGTTCGATTGATTGATGCAACACTGTATGTAACTACGTATGATATTTGATAGCTAAACAAAAAAAAAAACTTGTGTTTGAGCTTTTTTTTAACAACATTCGTATTTGGGTTTTTTTGGGGGGAAATTGTGTAACAAACGATCTTTTAAGTTTTTGACTTTTGTCTGTGCTCTGAACCTTTTTTCCAGACCTATCTATTTGAATTACTTTGTAGGTTAATTATGTCAAAAATCATACAAATCAATTTACATGCCCAATGCAAATAGAATGTTCATATAGTGAATTTAGCTGCTCGAATTACTCAAGTCCAATCAATTTACATGCCCAATGCTATACTGCTATATCCAAAATAGACTAGTCTAACTTTTGCCATCTCTCTCATAGATACATCTTCTGGATTTTTTTTTTTTGGTCAACCGTAAACTGGAAAAGAAAAAAATTATCAACATCTTTAGGATTTGAGAAGTGGACAATTCATGTTTAGTTGAAATATTCAAAAAAAAAAAAAAAGGAAAACAATCGGGCGAAGTCAAAAGAATAAAACAGGATTAGTTCGGTTGATATTATTTCTTAAAAAAACACAACATAAAACAGGGTTAATTACAATTAAGATGCTTGTTCATGGGCCATTTCAGGTTTGAAACCTTTGCTTTTTTTTGTTTCTGTTCTTTTTTGTTTCTGTTAGACAGAGCAGAATATGATGGCTTTAAGGTATGAGTTTGGTGTTGGATTAGTTTATATTTGAATAAAAATAATATGTTCTCAATTAAAGCTTCGAAATTATTCTTAAGCAACTTAAAAAGAGGGAAGGAGGAGAAGAATGTTTACGTGACTACGTCGTCGATAACCTCCTACTACGGATATTCTTATTCCTAACACGTTAACCTAACCCACTTGAGAAGCCTGTTTACTCTCTCCCTTCCAATTTACATTTTCTAATAAAAAAATACTTTTATTTTCCATTGTTTAAAATATATGTATGGCTCTGACTATTAAAACTTTTCATCATGGATTTTTTTTTTTTGGGTTCATAACTCAAAAGATGATATATTACTTGATATGAATTATCACCTACCAGTTTTTCCAGTTGAATCAAAGACTGTAGCCCATCGATCGGTATCAAACAAAACACTGATAAAAGAATTTAACACGAAAACTTAAAGGATTGTCACCCTGATTATATTTTCGAGCTTGTTAATAATGTGGAAAGTTTCGAATTCGTCATTTCATCATAGATGTTTTACGATTATTATATAGTTTTATGTTCTCATACATAGCTGATTATAATTGACGACACAAAAAAATTAAATTAAAAAACTCATATTTTGCATCATAACTACTACCAAGTTTCAAACTAATTAAAAACATATTTTCTAGTATAGAAGACTCTGACGGCGGAGGTTGAAACTTCAAACTAAGCCACACAGCTAACGTTTGTTTCTTTTTATTGAAGTCGAAAATATAATAGTGTATTACTATTACCTGAACAACCAACCTCTATATGTTACTATACAGCAAAAATAAAGCAAAAATATGATCTTTAATAAAGTTGTTGACATGTTAAACTTAGAGAGATAGAAGTATATGGTCTTTAAGAGTGGTTTGAGGAGATGTGAATAACGAAAGAAATCTATAGTTTTACAGAGTTTGGAGTGAAGATTTAAATGTTGTGATCGTAAAAGGACTGATCAAAATATTATTAAAGCGTAGAAAAGTGTGTATAAGATCTTATATTCGTTCATTGTGTGTAATGACAGGATATTTATGAAGATCACATAATCCGGATTATATCAATAGGACCTCTAATTGTGTAGGTGACTTTCTACGTTTATTAATTTGGGCATATACGTTTTTGCCACGTAAATGTTGCATTGACCAATTGTAAATTTCAGGTAATGACCTGTTATTTCCATATAAATGGTCTATAAACTTCGTTCTGTGAGGAAATAGTTTTGTCAAAAATTCATATATAAGGTTATTCAATTATATGTATAAGATGAACAGATCTATTGCGTAATCAAAACGAGATAGACTTGAGTGTGCTATACATATCAGTTTTGAGCAAAGCAAAAACACCTGTTAACTTGGTTGTATTAAATCAAATAACTATTAACAGGTGTACATATCAAAAAAACAATTCATGATCTGTTAAAACTGCCTTTAAATTAAGGGGAGTATCAAAAACTTTAAAACACAATTAACGCGCGTGACCACGCACTAAGGAGGCGAGTAAAACATATTTATACTAATCGAACCGTCATTAAAATATATTGGTTGTCTTCTATTTCTGGTACAAAAAAAAAAACTTAAATCCCACGTCACGAAAATAAGAAGAAAATAAATATAAATTTCTTAACGCCCAATTTGCTTTCCATATTTCCATTACCCGAAACCCTAATCCCCAATTTCTCTTCCAATATTTCGATCACGATATCTGAGAAATCTAGAGAGAAATCCGAAAAATTCCGGCGATCAAGTCTCGTTCAGACATTCCAGAAGGTGATCTCTTGTTCAATTTTCTGTTTTTCTATGTTTTTGTTGTCTCAATGTTGGTGTTCATCCCTTGATCTCTAATAAAAACTTGGATCGAGGTTCCTCGCTGGTTTATTGTCTTGACGGTTCCTTTTTATTGCTTGGAACTTGTTTTGGTTTGTCCTTGGACGGATTATCTGAAGAATTTATTGGGAACTGAGTTTGGATTAATCTGTTTGTATTTCCTGTGAATGATCGCGATTATGTTGGTTCTTATTTCTATTTACGAATGATTTTACTGATTCATCTTGTTTTGTTTCCGATTCTTACAATTTGTGTTCGGGGGTTTATGTATTATTACATCAAAACCAATACTTTTTAGCGGAATTTATTTGGAATCTTTTGTTGAAATCTGTGTTACGGTTAAGATTGCATCTTTTTTAACATTTTAAAGAATGTAGATCATCTGCTTTGAGTATTTTCCAGTCTTAGATGTTAGCCTTTTTATTTTGAAAGTAGCGCTCATAGAGATTTTTCATTTTTACAGGTATAATAAAGTCGAAGGAGTGATTTATCATGAGATTCAGAAAAGGAAGTAGAGTTGAGGTATTTAGCAACAAAGAGGCACCTTATGGTGCGTGGCGATGTGCTGAGATTATCTCGGGTAATGGACATACCTACAATGTTAGTTATTACTCTTTCCAACTTGCACAACAGGAGATTGTAATGGAGAAAGTTCCACGCAAGATAATTAGGCCGTGTCCTCCACAAGTGGATGTAGAGAGATGGGAGACTGGTGAATTGGTGGAAGTTCTTGATAACTTTTCCTGGAAAGCTGCCACAGTTCGAGAAGAGTTATGTGGAAAGTACTATGTGGTTCGGTTACTTGGGACTCCAGCGGAATTTACATTTCACAAAGTAAACCTCAGGGCCCGACAGTCTTGGCAAGATGAGAGATGGGTTGCAATTGGAAAGGTAATTTCATTTATCTTATGTTATCATTTCACTTCTTTATAGCTAATGTACTTTGTCAATTTCTTTTTTTTTTCTTTTCTCCATTAAGACTTCCTGATTGGTCATGTAACTCTACGCACATGTTCCCTCTTCCATTTCTAAGAACTTCTGGGTCTGGTTCGAGGTGGAAATTTGCATAGTCTCTTAACGTTATTAATTGTTTGAAATAATCTATAACAAATTAGCTAATGTTCCTTAGACGTTGACTAACTGTCTTGTTATCATTTTCTCAGATATCAGGTTCTGTGAAGTCATCCACTCTGACTGGATCAGACGTACATCAGAAGCTACAGCCTCAAATGAACAGCATACTTCTTCACGAGCCTAGTGTTGTCTCTGCTAGAATACTGAAGAGGCCATTTTCTCAGAACTGGTCGGAATGTGCTGAATCATGCACAGGAAACCCTAAGAAGATACGATCACTGGAAGCGTCTTCTAAGAATCGCAAAACTGGTTGCTGTCAAATGGTCAGTGTAAGATCAAAAGGTTTTAGTGAGAGTGTTCGTGCAGGAAACGTAGTCGCTGATGATTGTGATGATAGCGATGCTTGCTCAGTTGGTAGTTGTAGCGTTACTAGTTATGATGAGAGTAATATGCCACCTTCTATGCTAGATGGCTCCAGTCAACAGGCAGACTCATGTAACAGCGATGCTGAATCTTCTTGTGGCCTTGCGGGAGAAGTAAGGCGGAAACATTCTTCGGGTGATGGAGTAAGAAGGTCCTGTAGGTCGGAACTATATACTTACCGCAGTACTTTGGGGGACTTATTTGCTTCTGGCCCTCTAAGTTGGGAACAAGAAACATCATTAACTGATCTCCGTCTTTCTCTTAATATATCAGATGATGAACATTTGATGGAGGTAAGAAATTTGATATCTGCTGGTACCCGCAGTCAATTTTGCTAGTATCAATCAGAATTCATTCTTTTCTTTTTGATTCTTATGGTCAAGTCTGATCTTCTACTTGTCCTGGAAATATTTTCCCCGCAATGTGGATTCAACTGTCATATATTGTTCTTTTCCAGTGGATTTTATATTGAGTGTATAGACAGCAGAATATAAGTAATGTAAGGAAACTCTGAATAGAATGAAAGTTTATGAGGTTCATTATGGTGTTCTTTTATGCAGCTTTGTCAGATTTCCCTTAGTTTCCTTTTATTGTAATTCCTGGAGGAAGTTAAAAGAAAAATTCATGTATACATACGCTGAGATATCATATTTGAAAGGCTGTTCATATATTCTTTGATATCGATTTTGTAGAGTATGATGTTATGTTCCTCGTTTTGTGGAACACTTGTGTGTTGATATACTGATCTATCTGGTGTTTCTACTGGTAGCTCTATGAATGTGTGTTGCATAACGGTGTGAGTTGTCCTAGTCATTCCTCTGGACATTATTGATTTCACCCTGCGTTTTTCAGGAACAGTGTCGCCTTGTTCCGGGCATGCAGACCTTGTGCTTTTAGAAGCCTTACTCTGATGCTGGGGTTTTTTACGACTTCTCCCTTGGCCATCTGAATGGTGCAAGAATCAGAGGCCGACCCATGCTTTATTCATGTTCGACCTCTTGTAAATGCTTTATTGCATTGATCTTTTACTCTACAGATAACTAGGAAGTAGGAACAGTCTTTCATGTTACATAATTTTTTTTTTTTACTAAAAAAAAATTCTCTCGATCAATTTATTATGCATACAGAAAAAATCACCTTTAATAGAATTTAATTAGGAAATAACTTTTTTAAACAAACACAATTAAGTTAAAAGGTTTTTTTCCTATCATTGTAGTCGTTGAGTCTCAATATAAATATTTATATGCGAATATTTAATCAAAAAAAAAAAATTATATGTGAATACTTGGTAAATTCATCACCTGTTTAGGTCGTAATATCCACTCGCCTCCGAGTTTCAGACTTTCAACGATTCACTAAGAAAAGAAAAAAAAAAAATCGTGGGACTTAAGTTTTTGGAATCGTCTGGATTTGTGACACTCTCTGATTCGAAATTTGTTTTTCGTCTTTCTCTGCAAAAGTTTACCGATTTAACTTTTTGAATTCTTTCCCAGATTACAGTGTTGATCTTTTTCTCTGGTGAGCTCGGAGCAGATTCCATTTCCGGTAAACCGGTTTTGTCCCGCCAATGATATACACGAAGAGAGCTTCGCTTCTGGGCTCTACCTGTAAGCTACGCTATTCTTTTTGTGTTTCGTATGATTCCCTGAAATGTATCGATCCTGTGTTGAGAAGTCTGAGCACAGCTGCGGAGAGATTGGGTTTCGTTAACCCTAGTAATGGAAGTCCGACGGGTACATCTTCAGATTACACTGGCTATACAAATGGAGATCAGTGCCTTGGTGGGTTTCAACAGAATTCATATGGGCACAGCAAAAACCCAGAGCATCGCACTGTTTCTGGGCAGAAGAATCCGACTGGGTTTTATAAAAGCTGTTCGAGCGGATACAATCAGGATCAAAGTGGGAATTGGCAAAGTAGTGGTGATTCTTCTTCATATGGTAATGGCAATGGAATTCCACAGGAGAGCTGGAATGCACCGAGCCAGAGCTGGGATTCTCACAATGGTGGACATAGCCAGACACGGAAGAGTCCTGATGAGTTGCAAATCCAGTCTCATAACCAGGAAAGTGCACATTTTCAGCAAGCTAATACTGGTCATAGCTCATTGGACGAATTGGATGCGATTTGCAGACAAGGGAAAGTGAAAACAGCAGTCGATATCATTAAGTCATGGAGAAGTGATGGTTATATTGTGGATTTTCCCAGGCTTTTGTGGCTAGCACAGCTATGTGGGGATGCACAAGCTTTACAAGAGGCCAAAGTTGTTCACGAGTTTATTACTACTTCTTCGTTTTCCCTTTTGGATATCAGCGCTTACAACTCGATAATAGAAATGTACTCAGGTTGCGAGTCTGTGGAAGATGCATTAGCTGTTTTCAACAGTATGCCTCGGAAAAATACGGAGACTTGGTGCGCTATTATGAGGTGTTTTGCAAAGAATGGACAAGGAGAAGACGCCATTGATATGTTTTCTCGTTTTAAAGAAGAAGGAAACAGACCCGATGGCGAAATATTCAAAGAGATCTTCTTTGCGTGTGGTGTTCTTGGTGACATTGACGAGGGACTATTGCACTTTGAGTCGATGAACAAAGACTACGGGATTATCCCTTCCATGGAACATTACGTGAGCCTCGTTAAAATGCTTGCGGAACCTGGTTATTTAGATGAAGCCTTGGGATTTGTCGAATCGATGGAACCAAATGTTGATTTGTGGGAAACGTTGATGAACCTTTCACGGGTTCACGGGGATTTAGAGCTCGGTGACCGGTGTCAAGATATGGTCGAGCAGCTTGATGCAAGTAGACTGAAGAAAGAATCAAAGGCGGGTCTTTTACCGGTTAAATCATCAGACATAGCAAAAGAGAAGTTACAGAAAATGGCGAGAGGGGGAAAGTCAAGGCTTGGACGTATGTCGGCTGGAGATGCATCTCTTCCAGAGAACAGAGAATTCTATATGGCATTGAAAGGTTTGAAGGAGCATATGGTGGAAATTGGTTATGTGCCTGAGTCTAAACTTGCATTGCACGATGTGGACCAAGAGAGTAAAGATGAAAACCTTCTCAACCACAGCGAGAAACTTGCTTGCATCTCGTCGTTTCTCGAAACTCCTGCTCGTTCTGATGTACGAGTGCTGAAAAATTTACGTGTCTGCGTTGATTGCCATAACGCAATGAAGCTGATGTCGAAGATAGTTGGGAGAAAGTTGATTTCTCGAGATCCAAAGAGATTTCACCATATGAAAGATGGTGTTTGCTCTTGTGGTGAGTATTGGTGATAATATTACTACGGTTTTGCTTTCTGCTTTGTCTGGTTTCCACACGGAGAGCCGGAAAAATGATTTTAAAACATGTTTTGGGGTTACCATTCGAGAACTTTTAAAATTGTTAACTTTGTTATACATTCCGACCAAACAGAGAGGAGAATAAGATTAAACATGTTTGGGCTTAATGGCTTACTACGGAAACATGCTTTTTTCCCTTTAGTATTCTACAAGATTTTGGTGTGTGCCTTTAATCATTTAAACTTTTTCTTCTTATAAATCGAATTTTAAAGAATAGATTTATCATTAGAGAATTAGAGAATATATAAGAATGACCCAACTTAAAAATTATAAACTTTATATATTCCGATTTCCGACCAAACAATTGCATACTGCTCCGCCGAACCCTCCTGCTCAACTAGAGTGACCAGATAATTAAAGTTTGAAAAGAAAAACATTAAAGGCCCGAGAAAAGCCCAATTTCTCACGATACGCGATTGGTCGTCGTCAGTTTCCCATGTAAAACTCGCCGCCAGCTCACGGCCTCCGAGCACTAAGAAGTTTAACGTCGTCGATAACCGGCCCACACAAGCTCGAGAAATCGTCCTCCCTCATCGCGTAAAACGTGCTGTAGAACATAACCCTAGTTCGAGCCGATACGGCGACGAATCTTAGTGACGCTCGCTTGAATCCTCCTTTCCCTTTCGATTCGTACGGCACCTTGATCGTGTCTTTTCCGGCGAAAGCTTCGACGATCATGGATCCAGCGCATGCGTTGCTTGCGTCTCCGACGGCAAAGGAGAGGACGTATGTTTTCCCCGGGATCGTGCGGACGACCTGTGCGACGGCGCTCTCTTTCCCGGCGACAAGTTCGACGGCGCGACGGCCTTGAGGGACGGAGAAATGATCGGAATCGATGTATTTGACGGCTTTAAGAGATTCGACCATCCATCCCGGTAACGGAGAATGGTCGTCGATGGAATTTGGTGGGATCAAAACTCCCGATGATGAGTTGGGTAAAACCCATGGGCCTTCCTCGAATCCTCCGTTCTTCAGAATGTTCTCTGCAACCAAACAAAATTAAAAATTATAAATTAAAAATGACCCCACGAGTCTTAGATATTTCCGTATTTGACCCATCAAGAATATTTTGTAATAAAACGACACCCAATATTGATGAAGTTGCAACACAAGACTCACTGTTGGTGGGACGAGGAGGATAAAGAGCTCTGATAGCAACACCATCAATAAGTGGGCCACAAGCAGGATCTTCCTCAACACCTGGATTATGTATCACAATCTCTGCGTAATCGTTATGTGCCTTAAACGCCCACGAATAAAGATCCCAACCTGAACTACTATACACTGTTTGGATCGGCATCACTCCGTGGCGAGGAGCTACAGAAACGTTTAGCTGCTCGTCTTGTGCGCATGTTCGAGCCGCACTGAACGTGATCGCATAGTAAGACCCTTTTTTAACGTTGATCTTCTGTTTGATCGATGCTTCGTTGCCTAGACGCACTGCGAAAGCGCCTTTAGGTACGACGAGGATCATGTCTCCTTGTTTGTGTCCTGAGGGAATGTACTCGACGAACCCTGAGAGTTCCCACTTTGGGATTGCTGTTTTGTTCATCACTTGTGTTCCTTTCATGTCCCAATGTTGTGGACCTAGTTCGAAGTCACCGTTTGGTAGTAGTCCTGTTTTTTATTTATATTTTTTTAGTAAGATCTGGAAAAAGTTAGATTTGAGATCTCATTAATATGCATAGCTAGATCATGTATATTTGGATATTTAGAATTTGATATTTGTAATTCTTTCTATATAACAATACATCAACTTAGATTATAATTTGTTACATATAAGGTTCGTTACGATTTCTGATAAGGGTACGTAGTAATAGTATACATATAAATGTAATAACTGAATGAAAATCAACATTTTCTCTGTACACAGTTTTGGAACTAGTAGACGTAATGGTGACAATGATTCTAGTTAAGTACATTTTCACTTTTGTTTAACATGGGAATGTCTAATGAATAATGGTTTTGCTATTTTAGATCTATGATCTATGTCTCTATGATGATTCTGAAAGATGAAATATTCAAATTACTATAATATAATAATAATATTAATAAAAATGTGATGATATTGTAAACCATTGACAAACACCATGTGCATTTACAGATCTGTCTCACTGTAACATCCATTATTCTCTCTTAAGTATATTTTTTTCTTATTTAATTTCACAAAGTTATTCTGTTTTGTTTTTTTTTTGTAGCAATTTATTCTGGTTTGTTGACTGGTTTAATAATCCTAGTCTATGATGATGATACACAAAGAAAGAAAATTAATATCTTGATTAAAAGATAGATTGCCGTATTTCTTTTATTTATCACGTAATACTAGACTTGGTTTTAATAGTTGACGACTGTTTTTTTTTTTTTTTTTTGGTTTGGCTAATTTATAGATAGGAAAATGCGAGATTTGTATGCAAAAGAAAATAATAAATTAAGCACGTACCATCTTTGAAGCAAAAGGCAACGTGGAAGATCGAGTAAAGTAGAAGAAGCATTACCACTCCCTTCTCTTTCATTTCTTTCTATTTTTCAATAACACAACTCCACAAAGTATTATGACCTTCGAGAAGTAAGATTACTTTGGAGAAGAGCGAGCGAGAGAAGGAAATGCTCAGTGAAGTGGAGGTGAACGAGGAGGAGAGAGCTCTTTATATTCAAAGTTGTAAAAGAAAAAACCCTTGCCTTCGGCTTAAATTCCGACTTTGCCACTAAAAACTGTTGTCGGAACAACATTGGTCCCTTTTTAAAATTTTCATCGTTCCTTGGAAATGGGTCACTTTGTCTTAGAAGGTTTGACTAAATAACACTGTCGAATTTACTTACTTTTTTGGGGTTTATAACGAAATTCTTGTCGTACAATCATCGCAAATGGCCAAGATTCCATGGCAAAGTGTTGCGAAGGGCATATTACTGTAATTTTAAAACCCCGATTCCATCAAAATTTCGAAACTTAAAAAAAAAAAGAAAAAAAAAAAAAATCGAAACTTAACTTCAGCCGCTAAATCTTAAGTAAAAAACTATTTTTTGAGCAAGATATCACAACTAGTGTTTAAAGATCTATGGACTAAAATGTTAAAAAAAAAGTTGTTATGGACTAACACATATATTTCTTTTCCAAGTTTTATCTTATTCATAATAACTATTGATGCTTTGAGTTACGATATCTTTCTTTTTGGCAGATAACCCAAAAATAGATTATTAACTGAACAATCATGAGCTATATATATAGGTTTAATTGCGATTTGGTAAAACGTAAATATGTGAGTAATGGTAATATAATTGCGGAGGTGAAAGAAGACAAAAAATGTGGGACAATGCGGTCTATCACATGCCTGTTTGACATTGGTTCTCGCATCGCCACAAGTTAAAGTTACTTATGTTCTGAATTATCCTATCACATACATATAACGAATAGTATAAATATATAGAAACATTAAACAAACCAAATCCAAAGGTGGAGTTGTATCAAAAGCTTGAACTGTGTGCCAAATCCACAGCAAGGCATATGGCTCAGGTTCTTTCACGGGTTTGATTGGTGACTCCCGATCGCTACGAAGCCTACGATTTCAGTTCAAATTTTTTTTAAAAAAAGTGACTAATTAAATGAAACAATTATAGGGCTCATTTCCGCGGATTAATAAAACGATTTAACAAGATGATTAACAATGTTTTTGATCAAATAATTCGGATGTAATTAGTACGAAACCAGAATATGAGAAAACCTGTTGACAAAAAAATATGAAAAAAAAACATCCACAAAAAGAGAAGAATTATAAAATGGATTTATCCTTCCCTCGAGTAGTCAATTGCAAATCTGATCCACGATATAAATACTGTAGAGTGATATGATATTAAACAAACTGAGAATAATCGAATTTTGTCTCTGCCGCGTCAGAAGTATAATGGATCACTGCAAATAAGGCCACCGACTCTCTAAGCGGTGCTTTTATTGCACAAATTATTGTACTAACAAAACATAATGCGTGCGTGCTTATAAATACATACACATGCATTGATAAGTTAGTTGTATAATATCTTAAATATCTGTAACATGCATTCGTTGCTAACATGTTTCTTAAGCATATCCATCTATAGACTTCGTATACATATCACAAATGTGTATATCTATTGAGCATTCAAATTGTGAGAGAGTATCACACAGTTCTTAATTTCAATCAATTCACACACACATATATATATATATATATGTGTGTTTGAAATGTGGACTCATTGTGTTTGAAATGTATGATATATAAGTGGACTTATCATCTTCAGTCAGTTGAAAACTTTGTGGCTGAGTTTTACTATCTTTGTATTTGTGGTTAAACTAAAATTATGATTTTATAAATCGGGATGTCAAAAAAAAAAAAAAATTCGGGGTCGCATATTTATTTAAGTTTGGCTTGATACTAGCGGAAAAAAATACTATAAAAAGAGAAATAGATAGACATGCATGCATGGGAAAGTGGACCAACTCTTACGAAATGAAAATATGACTATTGTCTCTCTTTTTTTTTGGTTTTAATGTTAAGACTATCGTCTTTCCTGGTTGCAAAACTAGTTAAAATATTTAACTTAGTAAAATTAGAAGTTCTAAAATTGGGACATGAGAACTCTACTACATTTTGGTGGCAACGGCAATAATATCATATACATCTTTGTTGTTTTAGATTATGTTTTATTTATATATACGCCTAAAACATCAAATTAATAATTATTATCTAATGGTTCAAAGTATATATCGATTATAATACCTATCTAGTTATAAAGCCACTGTTATAATTACGATGTCACATGACTGATCTGATCTTAGAATGAATGCACTTGTATATGTAACTCATTTTGTTATGCGATAAACAAAAATAAAAATCTTTTTTTTAAAGGATTTGCAAAAGAAAAAAGTACTTATAAAAGTAGAGTAGAGAGAATGCTGATAGAAAAAATGAAACGAGTTATAGTAAATTCAATTGTTTGAATGGAGCGAAATAACGGTGAATACATAAAAGAAACAGACAAGACAGCCGTCAAAAGGATTGACTTCTTAATTCAATTCTCTAATTCTATAAGAACATCTGATCGAAAACTGGACTATCCACGTGGAACAGTGGAAGACACTTTGACATGCCTGTCTCACGATGAGTCTTTTGACGAAGTCATTCGATGTTTCTTTTGACGCAAAAAAAATAACCTCTGTTTCATCGACTAGAGTGTTGTCTAATAGTCTTAATTTTTTAGGTTTAAAAGCAAATAAAAATTTATAAGACAAAATAAAAGCGCAAAATTTTTAAGTGAACAAACATTGCTAATTAAGAAATGTCATTAAGCAAACTTTAATATTTTTTAAGTTTTTCATTAAAGTTCACATGCAACCGACTTCAACGGTCCACACACACTCCACAGGTAAGTACAACGTAATCAATCATTTTTTTGTGTCTTAAAAGAGACATCCAAAGTTAAATAAAGAAACCAATGAAATAGTTTTCAAAATTAAAGAACCACATAAACCAATCTCTAAAACCAATATGTATATGTCTCTGTCAGTAATAAGTACCCACCTTGTGTACAAATACAACCTTAATTTTCACTCCAATGGACCATCCAAGATCTAATCGCATGCTCTCTGTCCACGACACATACTATCAACTTCTCAATGTTTTAAACAAACTTATCAATTTATTCATATTCACGCTAAATTCTATGTTGAAGCCAAAACTAATTTTGGGAGCTGCATAATGTGGAACTTTTTTTATCATCTTCGTGACCGTCAAATTAGCCTAGATTTTCAAACTAAAAAACTTCATCATGGAATAATGAAAAATGTGACGTGATAAAAATCTCACTGTTATCTCTCAACTCATCCAATGTTGTTGTTATTCTCCCTTCAATTAAAATCTATATGTATAGAAGCTGTGAAAGATAGCAAAAGAAAAGGAGGAGACAAGGGTAAAGAAGGGGACAGAGAGGGAGATGGGTAACTAAAGAAGAGATCTGGCCTGAATCTATTAAAGACCTGTGTCCCAGTCTACACACTCACATGCAAATGTTCTTTTGTGGATATATTGTAATGAAATGAATCCTCGCAAATAGTAGTAAACTAGTAATTATATATACATAACATGGTTCTCTATCATATGAATGTTTTATATCTTGTAAATTATATATATATAATCTGTTGTTTTGAAATCACATGTTTCATTTCCCAATTTCGATATGCTCAAAAGTGCAAACTCATGTCGTCATGTGGATATCCTTCACTTTTCTTTCACTCGCCGGATATTTTCTCTATTAATCAGATTTAGTTTGTATATGATTGTGTTTGAACTCAACGTTAGATTTTTATTTTCGAATATGTTCATCTCATAGCCAGAGACCGATCTTAGAACACACATGCAAGAACTTTACATATGTTTGCACTAGAAATATGCTGATGAAAATTGAACTGGTGGTTTTTCGAGTACACGGGTTGATATGCTTGAAATCATTAATCTAATTAATAATTAGACTAAAGGGACCAAAAGCTTTTTCCAATTAAGTTTCTCAACGCTACCTTTTCCCTATTCGGTTTTGTTTAACGAACCAAACTACATTCCATTTTACACTGATTCTATATATTATTCCAAAAACCCAACACAAACTAAAATGTAGTATTATCATATTTCTTAAATTTGGATACCAAGAACTGGCTTTATCGGTGCCTAATTAAACCACAACTCTCCCATTAATTTCTCACATGAAAATGTCAATGCAAGAACATTGCCGGTCCCAATAGCCAAATTCGTGCATCTAGCTTCAACTATGGAGTCATGGCATGTCAATAAATAAAACTTAAAAGCCTCTGAGAAACCTATCATATAAATAGCAGTATAGCACATCGAAGCAAACCAAGGAAATAAAAAACATCGAGACAGACTTGAGTTGCATCGTCGATTTTATTTAAGCCAGGAAGCGCAAAATGTAAATAGCAACATACCCATTTAGGGAAACTATCACAAGACTTATCAATGTAAATAGCTCTGTTCAGAAAGTGATTACCAAAATACCAATGTAATCCATTTGGCGAGAATATTTATGAAGAAAAGCAGCGTTGATCACAAGAAATGGAAAAAGGATGCTTAAGGGATCGTGCGCTGGTAGAGTGGCAGAGCTCCCAAGGCCTCTCGTTCCTTTCTTTCCCTCTCAACCTGCAAAGCATAGCATAAACACAGTGATGATAATGATGATCCATCTTTAAACTCAGTCACTATTAAAACATTGCAAATAGTGTTCTCCCTGATGTAACACTCTAGAATAGGAAACCAGAAAATCTGGACAATATTTTGCTACAACCAATGAAGGAAAATTTATGCATCTCAAAGTTTCAATCATTTTATAAGGCAGTATGGTTATAACGAGAATGCGAACGCAAGAAATGATCAGCAGACAGGACAAAACAAGGAAACTATACTACAAGGAGGAAAAAGAAATGCTATTGAAAAACTAAAGTGCGTTTGATTATTATTCCTACTTCCTTATGCAGATAAGTATTTAGAGATAATTTCATCAAAAGTAACTTACAAGAGCCAGCATCTCCTGAAGATAGCCACGGAATGGGGTCTGTTTTTCCTGTATATGAAATTACGACCTCAAATAAGAAGTTGCACAATGCAAAAAAGAATGCTTAACAGAGTAATATACACCTAAGCTCCACTAACACAAGAACACCCATGACTAATATTAATTTCGGATTTTCAAAATTTAATATTTATTTCAATCTCCAACAAAATTTCTGAATCTAAAATTCATTGCGGGACTTGTAGCCTTCAATGATAATATAACATTCAATACATAGTTTTGCTCAAATTCCTCGGTCACCTAACATTCGCATATCGCTTCTAAGAAAATCAATTTTCAGCGGGAAGCAAACAACTAAATACAAGTGGAATATGACGAGTACCTGAAGATCCTTGGGGAGGTACTCGTGCTTCATGGAGAGGTCCATGGCACGCTTGAGACGCTGGTTACGAGCGTCAACGACCTCCCTGGGCAATCTGTTCATGGCCTCTTTTATGTCCATACTGTAATATTGATCGTAAAGATCATCGTACCTGAGACCTGAACAGTTCGATCCAACCAAAAATGTCAAACCCAGACACACGGAGCAGAATCAGAATCAGTCAAAAAAAAGATTCGCTCATAGAGCTCTATTGACAACAAATCCAGATTCAGAAATTAGGGTTTTCGAGAGAGATCTGACCGTATCTTCGAAGGCGAGTCGATATGGCTTTCATATGCATACGAGCGAGGAAGTTCTTCTTTGGATCGATGAACGTTTCCAGAAGCTTCGACATTTTCTCTGAGTCTCTCTAACCGATTGCGCAACAGCTTTCTCTTGTGCCAATGAAAGCAAAGCTGCTCCTTCGTTTAGATGTTCAACATCTGGGAGAGAAATTAAGTGGACAAATTTACAACGGTAAACGACGCCGTGTTTGCTTTTTTGGGCCTTTGTGGCCCAGCTAATATGCTCATTTTTCGACTTCGTATTATTGGGTCCTGTCACGTATATATGTATTCGTTCATTCCCAAATGAGTTAAAAAGGATAGAAAAAACTTTGAAAATGGATAAATGCTTTTAAGTTGAATTAAGATTTATACCCTATTTTTTCTTGGATAGAATTAAGACTTATATATCTTTGGGAAAATAATCATGTTTTTTTTTGTAGCAGAATAGTACCAACTTATCATACAATTATGTATACAAATCTTATCATACAATGAAACAACAAGATAAAGATTGATAAATAATTATTTTCGAAACTACCACAAAATCTAAGAATTTAATAAAAACAACAAGTTTTAGATTCAGAAAAGTTTTCGAAAATTGAGGATTGAAACCTAAATGATTTAAAACATAACTCTTCCTGAACTTTTGTCTTATATAATCCCTTGTTAGACCTACATTTTGTGATATTTTTCATTTCAAAGTTATTATATTTTTTTTGAACCGTAAAGTTATTGTATTTTTAGGGTACTTCTTAATTTTTCAGATTGTAAAATTCTTTTTACTTTATGACTAAGAAAGAAGTAAATGATTTTGACACTTACAATTAATAAGGTAGGTAGATTACAATTACTCCATGCGTTCAATGGCTCGTAACTCCTCGTCAAACTAATCTAGATTTTTTCTCTTTTCTCAAAACGTATCTACTTTTATATGGTAAGAAATGTAAGACATAATGGAAATTCTTCTTTTTATTACGCACAAAAACAGGGGAAATTATTCCTTTTTTTTTTTATTAATTATGTAGCAGAGCGATGATGAATAAATAAGGAGCGAGGGAAGGCAGTTAGGGAGGGGCAAAAAGGGTAAAGAAAAAACACAGAGAAACACAGAAGGTCACACCAAGTTTAGAGCAACGGCATCGGAAGGAGACCAACGCATGTGTGCGCTTCTTCTTCTCTCGACAACGGAGCGTGAACGTATTTTCAGCTAAAAATCTTTTCGAGGGTCTGTTTCAAATCGCCGAGAGAGAAAGAGTGTAGGATCGAATCGGAATATGGATAAGAAGAAGAAGGTGTGGTTTTGGCCGGAGAAACACGACGGTGGAGCAATCAAGGAGGCGGAGGATGTGGCGGCGGAGCATGTATCGATAGAAGGGACAATGAGTCACTATAGCTTTAGCAAAGGCCTTCTTCCTCCGCTCGGTGTCAATTCTCGCTCTACCGGCCGCCACGTCAAGCTCCGCTGCTTCATCGTCTCTCCCTTTGATCCTCGCTACAGGTACGACGATGACTATATCTGGTTATCTGCTAGCTGATTCTTTGTTTTTCTTGAAATCTTATATATAAAACATTGCTGAGCCTGGTTTTAGATTTTACATCAATCTTGCATTGATATTTTTGTTCTCTCTGCATGCTTTGCTTCTCTTTTCCCCTCTTCTGATAATTTCTGGAGAGAATTTTCTGCCCTAATTTTTACTCCATTGTAGCTAATACTTTCCAAATCTGTGAAACTATTTCACAATTTCGATGAATTGCTCGCGTTAAAGGGACATGCAATAAGTCCTTGATGATCTCTTAGTTTTAATTTTCGCTCTGTTTCCTCTATGTCATTGTGTCTATGATAGTATCAGTGATGATGAGCTGCATAATGTTGAGATTTTTTTCAGAGCGTGGGATTGGTTTCTAGTGTTGTTGGTGCTCTACACAGCGTGGGCTTCGCCTTTTGAGTTTGGTTTCTTGCAAACGCCAAGAGCACCTCTCAGTGTTCTAGATAACGTTGTCAACGGATTCTTTGCTGTCGATATCGTTCTCACATTCTTTGTTGCCTTCTTGGACAAGGCAACTTATCTCCTAGTCGATGATCCCAAGAGAATTGCTTGGAGATATACCTCGACCTGGCTGATTTTTGATGTGGTATCTACAGTTCCTTACGAACTTTTTGCCAGCTTACTGCATAAGACTATTCAAGGATATGGGATTTTCAGTATGCTGCGTCTTTGGCGTCTGCGCAGGGTCAGTAATTGTTTTGCCAGGTGAGATATATTGGAATGTGTATCAATGTATATATCCATTATAATATGTATACAAAATCTCTATGATACTGATGAGACTGATCATCTAGCTCTTCTTTTCCTTATTGTAATAATCAGGTTGGAGAAAGATCGGAAATACAACTACTTTTGGGTTCGATGCACGAAGCTTCTCCTCGTTAGTAACTTAATCTGTACTCAGATCTTACATTAAATAGATATATATTGTTTGCTTTAGTTTTAAGACGTTGATGGTTGTAATGTAGGTTGCTCTCTTCGTGATTCATTGTGGCGCCTGCTTCTGCTACTCTATTGCTGCACACTACCCAGACCCTTCACAGACGTTTATGGCACTTGCGGAGCCAAACTGGACTAAGGTTTCTTTGCTTATCCGGTATGTTACAGCAATGTATTGGTCCATAACCACCTTCTCAACAACGGGTTATGGTGATATACATGGTAATAATGCGGGAGAGAGGGCCTTCATTCTCTGCTACATGGTCTTTAATCTTGGCTTGTTAGCTTATATCATTGGTAATATGACCAACTTGGTGGTTCATGTGACCAGTCGCACCGTAAACTTTGTAAGTTCTGTTTATGGTTTGATTAATTGCTCATTTCTCCTTTCATATGTACAATTCAGACACATTATTCCAAGAACTCACAAAACATTTAACGCATTTTTCTTATCTTCATGCTAGATTTAATCAATAAAATCTATCTTGTTCAATTTCACTATTTCAGAGAGATACCATCCAAGCTGCCTCGGCGTTTGCTCAGAGGAACAATCTTCCAGTGCGCTTGCAAGAACAGATGGTAGCTCATTTGTCTTTGAGGTACAGAACCGATTCTGAAGGCCTACGGCAGCAAGAAATTATCGATTCCCTCCCCAAAGCTATTCGTTCCAGCATATCACATTATCTGTTCTACGAAGTTGTTGACAAGATTTACTTGTTCCATGGAATATCTAATGATCTCCTGTTTCAGCTGGTATGTTTTTCCATAACTACAGTTGTCTACTTAAACAGCTTCCTTTGATGAAACACACGTTTTAACCATATGATATTATGTAGGTCTCTGAGATGAAGGCCGAGTATTTTCCTCCCAAAGAAGATGTGCTTTTGAGGAATGAAGCACCAACAGACTTTTATATAATGGTGACCGGAGCTGTTGTAAGTTTTCTTGGCTTATATCAGATGAACAATTCTACTTCTCCATGTACATTTTATAGTTAGATGACATTTCAACTATTTCACAGGAGATCATTGCATCTGTGAATGGAGTGGATCAGGTAATAGCTGCATTGTTATTTTCCTTGTAATATTGTTTTAAGATGTGATTTGTGTCAGTTTCAAGATGTGATATGTGTATGCATTGCAGGTAGTTGGTGAAGCACAGACAGGTCATGTTTTTGGTGAAGTTGGGGTGCTATGTTACAGGCCACAGTTGTTCACAGTTCGTACCAAGCGATTGAGTCAATTGCTCCGTCTAAACCGTACGTCATTCTTAAACCTTGTTCAGGCAAATGTTGGTGATGGGGCAATCATTATGAATAATCTTCTTCAGGTTTGTCCGAAAGCTATTTCCTTATAAACGCATAGTGACTTACACAAATTTCTGTAGCGGGTTTACTATTTTTGGCTCATATGAGAAATGTTTTGGTCTAAATGCAGCATCTGAAAGACTCCGAGGATCCAGTGATGAAAGGCATTTTGGCTGATACAGAACATATGTTGGCTCAAGGGAAGATGGATTTACCTCTCAGCCTATGTTTTGCAGCAGCAAGAGGAGACGATTTACTTCTGCATCAGTTACTTAAACGAGGCTCAAACCCTAATGAAACCGATAAGAACGGCCGAACCGCACTGGTCAGCCTCCGGAATCCTCTGTATAAACAAACCATCATATCCCTCTTCATTTCAAAATTTGTTCAAGATGCTTACTCTCAATCTGTATTATATATTTCAGCATATAGCAGCATCAAAAGGAAGCCAATATTGTGTTGTATTACTTCTGGAGCACGGAGCAGATCCTAACATTAGAGGTATAGTCTCACAAAGCTTTCATGAGTCCATTATTTTAGCGCATATAGATATAATGCGTTACTGGTCTAGTAATTGCTAAACTCCTTTTGCAGATTCAGAAGGTAATGTACCTTTATGGGAGGCAATCATTGGGAGACATGAAGAAATAGCGAAACTCTTATCAGACAACGGAGCAACGCTAAGCTTCGACACAGTTGGCTATTTCTCTTGCCTAGCTGTTGAACAAAACAGCTTAGATGCACTCAAAGACATTGTAAAATTCGGCGGAGATATCTCACTCCCAGATAGCAACGGAACCACAGCTTTGCACAGAGCAGTATCAGAAGGAAACATGGAGATTGTGGAGTTCTTGTTAGAGCAAGGAGCTGATATGGACATGCCAGATGTTTACGGTTGGACGGCTCGTGGTCTTGCTGAGCATCAAGGACATGTAGACATTAAAGCTTTGTTTGATAGTCAGAGACCAGTGGAGAAGAAACCGAAATCTGTTTCTGGTACCCCAGATATTAAACCATTGATGAAGCATAGTAGCGAGCCTGTAATGACTCACCACCGTTCAAGGGAAGCCATGCCTTTCGTTCGAGCTGTCTCTCAGAGAAAGAAGCTCAGTAATTTCAAGAACTCGCTGTTTGGTATCATGTCGGCTGCAAACACTGGTAAAAAGCCTCTTGCTCCCTCCCATTGGAACGAAAACTACTCTATTATCATTATTATGATCATTAAACAGTAAGAGATACTTTTTCTCTTAATTCCTCAGGTGATGAAGGAGGAGCACCTCCAAGAAGCACTAGAAGTCAAGGAGTTGGTGAGGTTTATCCGGCGAGAGTGACAATCAGTGGTGAGGCTTCCTCCTCTGGTAAATTGGTAAAGCTACCAGATTCTCTGGAAGAGTTAATTGAAATTGGTGAGAAGAA